TATTGAATCGATCGTGCTCGTCGGATGATGCCCGACTATGGAGTGCGAAATGTAGTCGATCACCTGAGTAATGATGGGGCTACTCGGGTTCGTGAGTCTGCATCGGAGCACGTGTTTTTGAATACAATTTCTCCCTCGAGTATTCTTCGAGCATTGCTAACACTAAGGCCACGAATCGACTACGTGACCCACAACAATAGTCTGAACTTGGAAGTCTGTTGCGAACAATTGTAGCCGGAGCATCAGCCGAGAGAGCCGGACTCAGTCTTGCGAGCTGAGAGTCCAGCTCGGTCGACGACACCCGTTCGACTACTCGCATGAGGAGGGAAATGACGCCAAACGTTGAGGGGAGCTCCAAGCTTCTTCATACGACGACGGCGGCCGCACTATCCGGTCTCTGAGGCCCGGTCGGCTCGTCTCGGAACGAACACCGTTGTCGGGAAGACGGACGGCTGAAAGTCACATCGCAAGCTATCGCAATCTATGGCGGCTGGCCGAGTGCCGTGAAAGGCCCCGCTCGTTTGATTCGCACCTGCATCATAGCAAATATCAGCCCTCCAAGTCCGAGGAGACTGTCCCCGTATTGTGTTCGTCGCTATTTTCCTCTACTGGCATCAATATTCGTCTTGACCTAGTTGTCTCCGGTTCGACTTCATGTCAACACTGCAGAGAGTGAACCTGTTGCTGCCCCTGCTTTATTATTCGTAGTATCCGGTGGAATGTTTGCACTGATGATGTCCGGCCCGGGCACGAGGCAGGCGATTTCATTTCTGGCAGCAAGACACGCATCGCTTCTATTTCGTTTAGGCATATTCATCGTTGTCGATAATGGTGACAGAGCGGCAGATACATTATTCACGTGCGCCACGTTCAATTAGATTATCGTTATATTGTCCTTCGAAGGCATTGAGGAGCGCGGGAGGAGCTGTGGCACATCATGCAATGCTCCGATCCTCGGTTTCACTAAGCGCAAATCGAATAGAAACATCATGAACGATTTCCAAAGCGACGGCAGAGGATGGCTCCGATCAATGCGCTGAAGAGGAGAGGAATTTCGGTCCGGAGCCCAGCACAGGAGATAGCCACGTGCGTTTCCCCGGAAAAGCCCCATCCCGGATCATAGTAAGGATCAACAAGTTCCTTGAACTGGGCGAATGGAAAAGTATTAGTTTGATACCTCTGATGTACGGCCACAGATCCATTAAACTGAGATTACTTAAACTTGCGCAGCAACGATCAAACTCGTCGACCGCCGACCTTGGAGAGCTGAGGCACTCGGTCTCGCATCCCGTGGCTCCGGATAGCGAATGGTTTTGAGAGTCTCGACATCGCCGAGCGCTAGAGATCCTTGCCTTCTTTCGTCTTCGGAAATCTTTGGCCTCACATTGAGGCGTTCCGTCGCTCGAGTGAAGTGATTATCGGTTCTGACTGGTGGCTCGTCCGTTTCAAGGCTGTACGACTCGATGCTTTATCGGACGAGCTCGTGTCATTGGGAAGCCCGGAGGCTCCTCGGAAAATCAAGCAAATCAGAAAACACGATGGCTGCCGATCCCGCTGCACGGTGTTTGGTCTGGATATATGTAGAGGTGCTAGACAGTGCTGTTTTCGACGAGGCATCTGTTTTATTGAACGGAAAGCTGCTATGATGTCGTTGCTCGCTGACCTCCGCCTCTACTCACCGAACAAGTCTCGACGGGAAAATTCTTATCCTTGGCACTGTATTCCTGTTACTTGGTACCCATGGACGCCAGAATTCGAATTTCGGTAGGACGGCTCCCTTGAAGGACTTTTCCTGGCAGCTCGGATATGTGTGAGAGCCCGATTGGACTCCGAACGAAACTGGATTCATCTTCATTTCGTAATTGAAAAGGCCTATCCCATCGAACATTCAGCCGTACGAGTCGGAATCATTCATCCATTACACAACTAGAGGCAAGAGGGCTGTTATTGGTGTATGACCTCGTTCAGCGATCTTTATCTACATGTTCCGCCAAAGAGAGAATTCGAATCCCGCTCATCTTCCCCCCCTCGTAAGAATCTTCATCTTCTCCGGTAGCAGTACATGCGGATTCGCTCATCCTATAGCTCTGCGTCACGGGGACGTCAATGGAAAACATGCGAGTTAAGGCAAACTGAGACAATCAGTAAGAATTATGATTGTCGCTCCCGCCGGGACTCGATGGTGGGATCCTCCGGGCTCATGAGAGAACGTGCAGCAGAACCTATTCGTTCGAAACCGCTGACCTTGGGGAAACATTCTTTTTCGCCTCTTACGTGTCTTATGTCCGCGGTAGCGACGGGACGGTCGCTCAAATTTAGATTTCCGAGCCGGTAAACGATACTTAAACCGTTCGGCAGTCGCCTGCCACTGCGGTCGCAAGCCGCTGTAGGCAGTCATTAAAATATTGCCGCGAAGGCTGCCTCTGCAGGCGTTACTGCCAATGCCTGCGCGGCTGCCTACACGGCTGGCGAGCTCGGTGACGGCGGCGCCGGCGAACTACCGCATGGTCTACATGACGGCTTACCTGACTGCTTACTTGACCTGCTCTACCATCAAAAACAGTCGGGCGGCCGGCCGGCCGGCCGGGAGGCAGCCGACGAACGGCGCGGCGGTGGTTGTTGCGGCGGTCGCGGCGCTGGCGCCTGTTCGGGGTAGTCGCTGCAGTAGTGCCGTAGGCGTATGGCAGCTGCGGCTACCGTTGGCATGATGCCGCGCGAGGAGAGCTATGCCGACTGACGACTGCCGCATTGTTGCTAATGCCGTTTCGGTTTGGCGACCACTGTCAATGTGCGGGGTCGTAATCCATAACGGAATTTTTATTTCACCGTATTTCCGAGAAAGGTCCTCGTCCCCGAACGGCGGCGACAGCGTAAGCGTTTGTAGGTCGAGAAGACGCGTGCCAAAGCGTGCATGACCACTCAGGAAATCTCGCGTAATGGAAGAGCACAATATGTTGTAATCAGAGGAATTCAGCTCAATGATACTGTCTCCGAGGCAGACGAGGCGGACGCAGACGGAGAGAACGACATCGACTTGGCGGCTTGGAGGACAATGGATGCTGCGTCGCTGATCGCCCAGATCACTTCCCTCAGCAAAGCAGAGCAAGAAAGATACATTGCGCCGAATACGTGTGAACATCCACTCTTCGAGCGCGATCGAAATCGCTCACGATGAAACGATGAGCCACCTTAAGGACGCCTCGGCCGGAAGCGCCAACTCAAGACCAGGGACTTCGAATAACCGAAGACTGCGGACGCGTCCTGATCGCTGCGGCGAATAATCTCGAATTATTTCAGCATGAAGTACCACAGACTCCATCCGAGAGAGCACCGAGCCGGAACATGCGTGAGCATAGGGCATCAAAACAAATCAAGATGCGCGATCGCCCGCACCGTAGAGCTCAGTTCGACGGGGAAAGACTGAGTTCCTGCGATCGAATGCCCCTCCGGCCGATCGAGGTATTCAAGCCGACATAAGGGTCACGAGGCCGAATGAGATCGAGATAGGATCTCAAAACTTATTTGTTGTTTCTTCTTTTCTTTCGTTGTCTACTAAGCTTCTGAAGAATGACTGTTCCTTTCCATCACCAGAACGCATATACGCTGATGGCCATTCACCCTCAGCTGCCGGAATATTCGAGTTTCCCTGCGGGGAAGCTCGCCCCGGTTGTCCCTACGCGTATTGGATGCTCGCAGCATTCGACCTTCAGCTGTGGGTCGAGCGGAATCGGAGCGGGGCTCCCTGCATCCCGAAAATCACATTCGCAATTAGATCGGATCGATCGCGATAACTCCGCCGAGGCCCCGACCGCCCTCACTCTGTCGCTCCATTTCAGAGAACAGCTAAATATATGGATTAGGAGCTCAAGGGGATTGTTAGTCCTGCTCAGAGAGGACATATCACAGGTTACGAATGTCGTTCACTGGTTTGCTAGCGAGCTGCTCTTATTGACAACAGGAGCTGAGTCAAGGTTGTCATCCTGGAAGGCATCCATCCTGGCGATCTCCCCCAACTCAGATCGATACCATGCCCCATACAGATGGAAATTTATTCAAGCGTCGGGATGCTTATCTCTAGGATGTGAGAGCTCGGTCGGCGATCGTCTCTCAAATGATCCCGTAACGAAGGATTCTCAACGAACTCATTTTTGTGAATACCATGCGATGTAGTAAAACCTCAGTCTACATGACGGCAGGATAATTCCAGTAGAGGGCCGCTTGGCATCGCCAGACAGCCCGTAGGGCACGCCGACGGGCGAAATATTGTCACGTTAAAGACTCGCCGAAAGTCAAACGTGCCGACAAGAGTCATATAGATAAACTGCAGAAAATCGCGATTGCTTCCAAACGGATCGAGGTATCTTTTCCAGAGACTCCCGAGCCGAATCCCCGGGTGGCTGTCGGAGGGATCGTGATGTTCCTCGATCCTTTTCTCGAATCTGACGTTGAAAACATTCGGAATCGCCTCGATCCGATCATTGTGCACCGACTTAGATCGCATCAAGCTTGCGATCCCCCTCTCAGGCTTGAGCGAAAGCCAGTGACTGGATCTCGATTGCGAGGATTCTGGTATGTTCAGTCTCCTGTACTTAGACTAGGTTTGCGCGGTTCTCGGCGCTCGACCGGCTTTAAACTTATCCCCGATAAGACTGTGCGCCTTTACGACCGTTTGTCGTTAGAGATGCTTTCCAGTTGACGATTCATTTCTCCGGCAATGGGCTACGAGAATCCCGACGTTTTGCTTGCGGAATCCGGCGGAATCTCGGCCAGAGCTCGACTGTTTCCCGCTCTCCATTCTTCACGTAACCGGTAACTCGGAAAGGCTCATTGTGATAGCCGATGAGACAACTCGACCGAGGCTCAAACGGTTTCGTTGGCATCAGGAACCGAATAAGTCGGCGCCTGGAGAGTCCCGGGGAATTCAGATCCTAGTGTAGCACTCGGACGGTCGAGAAGCCTTATTCAAATGTAGATCCTGAACTCAATTATTAGGTACTTACAGCGAGAGGACTTTACGAGCGATTTCCTGGGGCAAGACAGGCACCTGCGTGATGTTGCTACGCTCATCGCACTCGAGCTGAGTCAAATCAGCGGTGCACTTGCACTTTACACAAACGGCGTGTTGAACTTTTTGTTTGTTGAGAGGGTTGACTTCCTTTGGGGGTGGGGGTGCCACGAGCACGGGTCCAACCGGTCCGTGTACTCCAGTAGCCAAACGATCACTGGATGGTGGCACCGCCCCCGGAACGCCCACCGCTGCGCCCACCAGCGCTAGGAGGCTAAAAAACCACAACAGCGCAGAACACGAGCACCGGGACCACGGACACAGAAAGCGCATTCTGAAAGAAAAGTAGAATGTTTCGTGAGATTTTTCGAATGCTGGATTCCGATTCCCGGCCTGTATTCCGGCTCTTTCGCATATTTCAAGCCGATCTGTTGGGAATTCGTTGCAAATGATACGGAGCTGGCTCCCGTGAGGGAATTCAAACCGACCACACTGTACAGAGGTTAGCCCGCTTCGTATCCAAGCCGCCGAGACGTGCATTGCCGCAACGTCGACGCTCCTCTGGGAGCTGTCCAGGATCGGTCCTGCTTTCCGACGAGGATAGGTATGTGTCTACGGACCTTCATGCACCGGGTCCAATGGTATTTCTTGATCCGCACAGGGGGAGTCCTGAACTTATCAATACCAGGAGTTTGGTTTCCGGGCTCGGAATGGATCTATAATTTTCCGAAGGATGTCAGGATCATCCTCTGATCTGACGTTGCTCATCGATGGAGTGAAATCACGACGAGTTCATGTCCGCGTCCCCTGTATATGCATCTTAGTCACGGCTTCTCCCGGTGACTTCGAAGCGCAACTGCAAGCTTCTCCGAATGTCGCAGCAGCCAGTTGAGGGTCTGTTTGGCTATGTCAGATTACACAGACGACGACGACGATTACGAATTCATCCGCGAGACAAGACCCGCGATAAACATAGAAGGACGGGACACGCGTGTTGACTCGGGCAGACGCTTCGTTAACCACTCGCAATGGAAGCGCACAGAACACTTGACAAGCTAGAACTCACAAACTCTCTGCATCGCTCACGGTGAAGAGGAAAACATTTCCATCGATGCATTATTTGTGTTCTTTGGCTGGCCCTGGCCAACCTACGAGAGCTGTCACGGGCAACCTAATTGTTTTGTCACGTCGAAACGAAAGGTCCGCACTGGGGAGATTACGCTGCCTAGGAAGCTTCCATTATTTTTCATAAGCGTGTCCGAGCGGGGAACCGAGGCAATTCCATGACGCGCCGTTCAGTATCCATGAGGCTTCCGGGAGCTCGAGGATTTTTTGGGAGGGTTCCTGATTATCAAGTTTTCATCGTATCGTCCCTGATCAGAATTTCTCATTGAAAACTCATGCTGATCGAAGCAGGTAAGCGATATTGATGCGGGCTTCACTCGGATCAGTATCCGGAAAAAGACGACTGCCTTCAGCGTGACCTCAGGGATCGAAGCTTTGCAAATGAGCCTTACTGTAAATTGTAGGAACTGGGAGCTGCGTCCGCAGAATTCTCTCGGAAGCGGAGGGACGAGATACTGGTCCCTCGGGCCGGTGGAATGAAATGAAAGCGAGTGGGCGAATTCCGTTGGATGTTTGCTTCCAATATCAACGAAGGCGCGCCTATTCGAGAACACGAGCTCCCAATGAGGAAGGTAACCTCCTTACAACGCAATGTTCTCGTATCTTTCTGTTTGACGCTGCCCGATGCTTATCAGAAAGCTATTCGAGTTGATTCATGATCCCACTGTGTTGTTTTCACATATGATACGAGGGTTCAAGGGCTTCTGATGTCTTTTCGTTCGATGCAGGAACAATCTAATGACCACCTGGTATCTCCTGGTCCGCCCAGAAGTCAGGGATGAACAAGGGAAAACGGAGAGACAAAAACTGAATCTCCGGTCTCTGAGGTTTCGATGGGAAGCCGGAAGCATGCACGAGAGTCTCAAGCGGGTCCTGGCTCGGAGGATGTCGCCCGAACATTCCCGTCAATTATCATGACGCTTTTTCAAAGCTCGCTTCTCCGGAGTTTTTTCCAGCGTTAACGATCCAGCTCTACGTTGGCCTCGCCGGGTCGCTCGATGAGCCAATCTCATCTCAAAGATAACAGCGAACGCTGTCTTCCGCCAAATGCTTGTTGCTTCCAAGAGCTGGCTGCTGGATCCCGGTCCGTCAAAGATTTTCCAACTTCCAGAAACACCTGATTTCCGTAATCAGTTTCGAGTAGAGGCGATAATCCCCTCAGCTAAATTTCGAGATTCGCGGGAAATTCTAGCTCTTTACAAGACCAGACTCCCCAGTGGAAAGCGTTCTCTCGATACCTGAGATGCAGAATTTATGCCCATCGGTAAACGCTGAACATTTATGGAGTCCCGAACAAAATTCAAGGGCGCTGGATCATTCTTCAGTTTCGCCTCGTCATCCTATCGAAAAATGTCGGGCGCAGTCGAGGTGGTGACGATCTCGACTCGATTGTAGCCACGTCAATTACCAACTTTTTGCTCCACATCGAGCGCGCCCGGATCAGACGGAAAAATCTGCATAGGGTCTCCGGAGACCCCGACGCCATCCAATGGAATCAGCGCTCAGACTTCCAGCTCTGCGCCGACTGCGCTGGGATTGTCGACGAATCACAACCGCGTGGGCCCGTATTTCATGTCTATATGAGTTTTCCCGGGATATCGCTCCCTGAGAGCGGCGAGGAGTCACTCCTGGTTCCATGGAGACGTTCACATAGTTTCAACATTTCGAAATTCACCCCTTTAGGTCATCGGATTGGGGAATTCAAGTATTCATCGATCCCATACATGTTCCTCTCCCGGCTCATCGTCGTCGCTTTCGGAGCCCATTGCGGATCGATCTCTGGACTTGACAATCGAACCTGCCCTGCCTTTCTGCCTCGATTTGACGGACTTCGCCCCTATTCGGTTGAGCGTGAAAAACATCTGCATATTGGCACAGTAATGAAGATTTCTCTGGGTCAGCTGAGGTCCGATACCGTTTCGGTACTTAGGGAGCAGAGCGATATACATTCACTCGAAATTGGCGCCATCAAGCCACCGTGGATCGATCTCATGCTTCATTCGAGAGTAACCTCTCGAAAAAACGGATGCTATTCACTGGAGTCTCTCTCGAGAGATATTCCCGGGATGGCACTGACCTCGTAGTTTTCTCGACAGTCGCATACGGATCAAATCTAATGAAGGCTCACCTCAGTTTCAACGGGCAGGCTTCGTTGGCACGAGCCCGTCTGAACTTAGAGTCATATTGAGACCGCACCGTTCCGGTAATTCCACTTGATTTGAAACAGTTCCGTGGGTTTAAACAGACAAACAAACGAAGATAAGTCCACGTTGAATCGATGCTCTCAACAATGATATCCTCAAGGAGTTTTTCCCTAAGTCACTGGCCACTGACAAAACAACTACGCCATGACGTCCACTCACAATCCTCTCGGTGTCCAAACTCACTGCCACCTCGGCTAAAACAATGAGTACATCATTCGCCCTGCAGAAAATCACTGGGTCGCAGGCACGCTAATTCTGTGCGGATCGCTCGTCGGCTGTTGCTGCTGCCGCTGCAACTACTCAGAAAGGCACCTGACGGGACTCACTTCCCGCTGCTCAGAGAGTTTTGTTCGAGAATCTCGGATCTCTGAATGCTTTCCACTCGCACAGCAGTGAGCCTCATGTGCGACTCATGTTCTGCGGACTTCGGTCGCGCGATTCCCTTCCGCAGAACTGTGTGCAGGCATCGGCGGATCCGGTACCCTTGGTAGCCTCGGATCTATCGCTCACGTTGTCACAAAGTTTCCAAGCAGCTGATTGTCTACCCGTGCCTGCTTGTCAATGCTTCCCTCCTCGGAGTGGCTGGCTGGCTGACTGTCCGTCCGTTTGTTCGTCAGTCGTTGTCGTTTGTGGGCAGCGCTGCCTGCGCGGAGTGAAATGCTGAAATTCTTCCTGACTGCCGTTTCGCTTTCTCCCGCAGTCAGACAGCAGCAGCGTGCGGCCGAAAGACGTCAGAGCTGCTATCCATCTCTTCCTGGAGGAGAATGGCGAGGGAAGCGTGTTTCTGGGAGAGAGCTCATGGGAGATGACGTCCTGAGGAGAAGGGAGGGCCACTTTCAGGGGATACTGGCGGCAAGCAGGCAAGCGCGCTGGCGAGCAGTTGAGCTCACTCTGGCGGAGGGAAAGCTGTTGGCTGCCCGACCGCTGGAGCTCTCTTGGAGACACTGGTGGTTACGTCTGAAGTTGAAGTCACACACATACGAGTTTTGCCAATACACAAGCGCAAAAAAAAACAATAAATATACTGCTAGCCAACGAATTCCTCCGCAGCAGGATACCGCAGGTTAGGAGTTGGAGACCTACGAGTCCCCGCGAAGGAACCACCTGTAATTTATCCGAGTCATTCGCTCCCCATTATATGACAGGGACGGAGCGGGGGCTCTCATGGATGCCGACGCGAGAAGTTCGAGACGTCGCTCTATGCTCTGTGTTCGTTCCCGCCGGTTCCTGAGTGTCCAGGAACGAGACACAAAGACGCTGGAATTGTTGCATCCGGCATCGCGCATGGAACAAGGAACTCCGTTTCGTTCTCGCTGCTTGCTCCGGCCAATCTGTATGGCAGACAGAAAATCGAGGAGCGAACCGCATTCGTAGAGCTAGCAAACTAGCGAACCGAAATCAGCCAAGCGACAGCCGTCGGTGTTCGACATGAGTTGGTGAAGTTTTCCTCCTTCACAGAATCAAAGTGTCCGACGATTTTCTCTGGGGAAGTCTGCGCCGAAAGCTCGGGATCGTCCGCGCATGACAGATTGAGGAGCCGTTCACTAGATTCTTGGGACGTCCGGTATAGCGTGTATTGCGCCACGGGCTTCCCTCTGTTCTCTTTTTTTATGACCTGAGCCCTAAAGAAACTTATCTTCGTCCATGCATGCTAGTCCCGGCATTCCTCCTGGAGATGCTCCCGAGAACGATATCGTGAAGGAGAACATTGTGATTCTCGACTTCAGCCTGTCAAGAGGGCAATATTTGCCACGAGCTCGATCGCTTCACCAAGGCTTCTCTCTCTCCAAACGGGATCGTGCTCGGTGAACTCGGGAGATATTGTCGTACGAATGATCATAGATCACTTGTTTGATGCGGATCCGAGGGAGAGACATTTGCTCGCACACCCTTCTCCTTCCACGATTTCGGTCTAAATGCATCTATTTGAAACCTGTTTTCCTGAAAGTTTCAATATCTCCTACTGTGATATGAGTTTTGTGCCGTCACACGTGGACCGCGACTCGATTGACATCGAGCGTTTTCAGAGACTCCTCGCGAAGCCCATGCATTCATCAGCTATTCCTGCTCAATATCCTGACTCGCACTCGATGAGCTCGCTGGACGAGGCATTTTGTCGGCTCCCAGAATGGAGCTGCGAATGATACGAAAGGTTGAGCATGTCTTGTCGGATCTGGGGGATATGCGATCCCGCAATGAACCAAGAGACCCCCTTCCGTCGCCGCTGAACGCCGAGCGATTCGCCACGGAATCGGAAGACTCAACGAACCAGCTCAACTCGCTAATGAAGCCCTCCGGCATCTGCTTCAATCGCTGTCCGGAGAATTCGTGGAGGAGATCACGAATTTACTTTGAGAGGTACACCGCTTGTCCGGAATCCCAGCGGGCGTGACACGTCCAATGAGAATGTACCTAGAATCTTCGTCTTTGCGGGAACCAGTCCAAGGAGTTCCGGGATATCACAGAAGCACGGACCAGAACAGAGAGATCAGCTAGATGCGAAATTCTATCACGCCGAGACTGATGAGAGCTTGGCGAACTTTCGGGTCCTAGTCTGCCCCGAAAAGATAACGGATTTAGTTCTCCCGGCTGTCATTCCTTGAGGTTTCAAGAGGACAGTGTCTGTTAATTGGTAACCATCCCGAACAGCCTCTCATCGAGGGGTCTGCCAGAGCATCCAATCTAGAGCACCATTCCCGGAGCGAAAACACTTTCCTGGCGTCCTCGGCCGGAACCGCCTGAACCGAATGCCGGAGCATGATATCACATTTCCGAATCTTCACCTCGCTCACGAGAACGACACTTGTGAGATCGTCCGTGTCCGCCGACCTGGCGCTTCACTGTCGATAGGTCCCAAATAGCGATCTATTGACGGGATCGAGCTCTTTCTAGGAAATTGGACTTAATTTTGGAGATGTTTGCGCCATTCGATTCAGGAACAGAGAACTTCGTGGAGCATACCTTAGAGGTTCAAATTATTTCCGGGCTCTCGGTCAGAGCTTGCGAAAATGCCATGCGGTCTAGTTTCCTCGGGAAGCTTTGCCTCGGGAAGTTTGATTTAGTTTGCTCTTATAGGTCTAACGATTTGCGATTCGACGCTCGATCCGTGAATATATTCGCTCGGGGTGAGTCGGAAGTCGGAGGAGGTATCCGGAAAAAGGCTCTAGATTCAGGGTCTCAGCTCTACGCCGGTAGCACTGAGTCACAGCCGTCGCGTTCCACGCCTTCGACGCGACGTCACGTGAGACGCTCGGAATGGCGAAAGTAGTCATTGAGCCTCTCGGGAAGCCTATATACCTTCTCTTGCTGAGATACTCATTCATTGAAGGTACGAGCGCATTTCTTGCCTCAGCCGCAAAATATCTCCTCTCAAGGGGATTGTTCTGCGAGAATCCCGCCGCAGCCACCCTCTTATTTTCAAGCGTGTTCCGCTGATTCACTTCCCCTCAAGATGGGGATATCGATTCATAACTTGTCATCAATGTCAGAGTGGATATTGATTATTATCTGAGTGATGTGGCAGTTGGGTGATCGATATCTTTTCTGCTCAAAACCTGTCGAGGGATCCGTCGTCACCGGGAGTAAATCCGTACCATCGCTGCGCCGGAATTTCGAGAGACCCGTCGGACCTAGTGGCTGTGGCAGCTTATAGCTACAGCGTATGTTTATGAGATACGTGAAATATATCGTTCCATTGTGGCGTTGTCTCTACTTGTCAGAGGTATAGAGTGAGCGAATGAATGCCGCTCGGGCAGCTCGTCGGTCCGTTCGTCCGAGAGAACGGCTGCATATCTGCGCGCGCGCGGTCGTCCGATAGAGCAAACTAGCTAGCGGCTGCTGGATTCGTTCAGAGCGAGCAGAATGAGGTTGTTCGAAAGAGCGGCGGAAGCCCGCGCTTGTAGTGACCATCTTCAATCAGACGGACCTGGTGGTTTTCCCGTAGCTCAGTCGTTGCTCAGTGGCCCGCACCATTCACTCTTTCCGCGGGGAACACCACCGCCCTCAGCGGCGGCGAGACCCGTAGGCCGTCTCTCGTAGTGATCGTAAATGCGCCGTTGGTCACCATCAACGCAGTTCTTTAGGCGACAACAAATACTGCGGCGAGTTTAACTTCCGTCCGAAGAGCGCTGCTGTCCGACCGAAAAATTTCGCCTGTTCCGTTGGTTGGAGCTCACTCTGCGAGAAGACAATCGGTCGGGCTTTAGGCAGGTGCGGTGCCATCCCTCACCCTACGAGCCAGTGTTTTCGTTGCGTCATGGCTTTGTGAATCCGGCACGGACTTCTGAAATCGGTTGACAGAGAGCTGCGACAATATCCGCGGCTCGGGATTGCTCTCGAGAGGATCATAGCGTCGAGTTGAAGAGAGAGTTGACGGACGCGGCTAGTGGGCTCAAGCGCCCCCTCGGAGGAATCGATGTCGACCTTTGTGTCAGAAGTTGATGAAGAAGAGAGAAACGAAGCTCCCTTCGAACGTCGCGAGGTTGTCATCAAAAAGGGCGAGGACCTGAAGGCGTTCTATAAGCTTCATGATGAACTCGGAAGGTAGGCTACCATTAGGCAAGAAGGAACAATGAGCAAGAGGCTACTCGTCAGCTAGAGACAAATTAAGTTGCCCGATGCCTTATCTTCAGCGGCACCTGGAAATACAGTGTTTGAGGGCCTCTTGACTGAATGGGAGGAATGCCGCGTTTTCGGGGCGTATCGACGCGTTTTCGAGCGTATCAAATCGAATGTCCTCGCCTGGCGTTTGGTGGTCAGTTCTCAGCGGATTCCCGGCTAGACGAGGCAACTCCCAGACTGGGCGGCGATCTCGTTTCCTCAATTCTACGTTTTCGCGATCCGGAGAGCAGTACATACTCCTGTAGAGATCGATGACGAAACGCGTGACCGCTCTTTCCGGACTTCCAACTCTCCTGAGTAATTCGATGCGCTCTTGATACTTATCCATGACTGTCCCTCCCTACTCGGATCTCTTCTGAAGAGGAACAAGAGAAGCGAAGCGAGCGAGCCGTCGTGTATTCGTTGAGCAGCTCAATTCATGAGTCTCCATCATCCCATTCCCGGAGCTTCTGGATCTAGAACCGGATCCGTCGTTTATGCACGGCTACGCGAATGGTAGTGACTCACAGACGGAGAATGATCAAGGATGTATCTCCCACATGTTATACAAAGCTGTCCATGCGATTCCGCGAGACGGGATAAGGGAACCGTAGTCGTTGTGCGTCACGAAAGTAAACAGTCAATTAGACCCAGAGCTGCCCCCCTATGTCATCATTGTCCGGACCCGAGCTTCCCATTTTGACTCCATAGTAAGATGATTCACCGCTGACTCTTTCGTTCATCATTCTCCTCAGAGGGAAGTTCGGAGTCGTCTACAAATGTACAGAAATCCAGAGTGGGAAGGAGCTCGCGGCGAAGTTCATCAGAACACAACGCAAGGAGGACAGAATCGATGTTCAGAGAGAGGTACGATATCTTGTCTGGGAACATTAGACGGAGCGAAATCTGATTCATCTTCATTGTTTGTTTCCCGTGAGCCGTTCTAATCAACGTACTCCGTGCTCTGCGGAGCTCCATGTGGGGGTAGCGGGGGAACGTTCAAGCTTTCCTCGCCAATTGCGCGATCTATGGCGAGAATGAAAATTCATTGGCTTGGGTCAACTCTGCTAAGCCGGGAGCTTAACAAGAACCAGTCGATCCTAAGCTCGATGACATCGCAAGAGGTTCGAATTGATGCTTCACAATCATCCGCTTCCCCGGTATCCCACAATTTCCCAGCACATACAATACAATCAGCATTCCAGAGAGCTCCGAGATTCCCCCATCCTGTCAGACGCTCGGACTTGCGGGACATATCCATCCGAGATTCGGGCGACCGAAAAAGATAACTGTCCCTCTCAAGCTGTGGGCTTCCGATCGACTGAGACTCTGTCGATGAAACAAACCCTCAACCATTTATCTTCCAGGTTGACATCATGACCAAGTTGCAACACCCGCGTCTCCTCCAATTGTACGACGCATTCGATGACGGCTCAAAAGAAATGGTCCTCATTCTGGAACTGTAAGTGAGCTCGACCTGAACGATGCTGGTTCCTATAGAGGGTTCCGCGCCGACGTCATACATATGAGTATCTAGTCACTCGAGCTTTCATTGACAACACGTCTCCGTTGTCACGCAGCATCCGAGGTGGTGAATTGTTCGAACGAGTCATAGACGACGACTTCGTGCTCACCGAGAAGGCGTGCACTATCTTCTTGCGACAAATTTGTGAAGGCTTGGCGTACATGCATTACGTGGCACTCGTGAGTAAAACGAAGCTAGCGATTTTTCCTTCTAGAGATCAGCTTTCGGAAACAGAAACCTTTCATGCGCCCACTCATGATGCGACCGAGTATGTAGCCACCGGCTGTGGAACTGTCTGACCTCGCATTCTTTGTAACTGAAGTGATTCAAGAAGTCTCTCGCGATCAGGTGTTACATTTGGACTTGAAACCGGAGAACATCCTCTGTCTCACAAAGACTGGCAACCGCATCAAGATCATCGATTTCGGCCTCGCACGATTTTACGACCCCACCAAGAAGCTTCAGGTATGCGGTACTCATTACCTACCATCGTTATAAGCAGCGGTAAACAAAGGAACCGACCGCAGCCCAGGACTCGGGACGATCCGTCGAGTGTACCAAAGGTGTCCGACTTCAAATTTTGATTTGGTCATGCGTCTGGAGTAGCTGGGAGGGATCGGGATCGGGCTCAAATCCAAGCATCTCTCCGAGTTTCGGGTGTCGAGAACTTTTCCTCATACCTACATATAACAGCCAGTCGGTAATGGACCGCTCTGGTTTAAAGCCCGGAAGCCGGGCAACGAGCATCATTGCCTCAAGCGACTTCTTTTTCCGCCGCCGGTATCGAGCTCGGAAGAAGAACAAACCGAGTAGTAGGCAAACAGGCAGCGGACGAACGGGCCGCGGGTCCTGTGAGTGACCAGCTACTAGAGGTAGGCTGACGAGTTGGCGGTCACAGGCTGAGCGGCCGTAATACAACGACATCAGTCCGGGTCACCAGTGATTTTGGCCAAGCAACTGCTTGCTTCAACGAACCAGAAGAGCATCTACTATGTTGACTGGTCGCCGCGTCGCCTCCAGGAGAACGCGGGAGGTCGGGTGAACGAAGCGCTTCGCTTTTCTCACATCAGTTTCCCCATAATCAGATGCGATATCGCTCGATCCTCCCGCGGAATCCCCGCCGCAGCTTTCGGAGCTCTCGCTGCTATTCTAGCTTGGAAACGGTGCACCGATTTGTATCGATGAACGCGATCTCCAGAGCTGTCTCAACGCTCTATGTATACTCGATGTCAGTGCATTCATAGAAGCGAATCGCTTCCTCTCCGGCTCATTGTCACACAATGAGCAACTATTTTCATTGGTCGTCTCCGTATCTGCCATCTAAGGTGTGAACGAATAGGGAGAAGCCATGCAGAGATTCTCGATGCTCATGCTCGTTGAAGTCCCGACATCGAATCTGCAATGAGAGCACAGTGAGCGCGTCAAAACGGCTCCACACGCAGAAGATTTTCATCCCCTGCTAGTAAGAATCTAGGAGGCTCTGTCGAACTTCTACGCGAACCCCCGCCCAGCTCGAGGGAGAATTCGGAGCTCGAGGGAGAATTCGGAGCTCGAGGGAGAGTTCGGAGCTCGAGGGAAAATCCGGAGCTCGAATCAGAATGCCAGGGATGACAATGGACGAAATCGTAGTCACGGGTTTTGGAACGCCAGTACGCGGGCTCATGATTTTCCGACTTTTCCGATCCTGCCTCCAGCGCTCCAGAATCTCGATACGAATGCCCACTCAAACGTTTCGTCGCCGCAGGTTTTGTTCGGAACTCCGGAATTCGTGGCTCCTGAAGTGGTAAATTTCGATCAGGTTGGTCCTCGAACCGACATGTGGTCTGTCGGTGTCATCACTTACGTTCTGTGAGTAGGAAATCGAGCTCCAAAAAATCCTGTGTTCGCCCGCTCAACTCATCCAGAATGCCATATGCAATCAGAGCGGGAAAGGAATTCGCAAACACACGATGTGTTCCGTCCTCAGATTGTCTGGGCTGTCTCCATTCATGGGTGATAGCGACGCGGAGACTATGGCGAACGTCACGAAATGTAAATGGGACTTTGAGGATGAATCTTTCGACAAAGTTAGTGACGAGGCCAAGGACTTCGTCTCACAGTGCCTCGTCAAAGACCGAACGTAAGTCCGTCGACTCTGCAGCCCGGGCCTGATTAGCTGGACGGCCTCGGAGATTGGAATCCCTCTCGCCGCTGTGATCCTGACCTATGTATAAGATTTTCCCTTCCAATGTAGCAAACGCCTCGATACCAAGGAAGCGCTGAACCATCGATGGCTTGCGGTGAGGATACATCTGGCTAGATATCGGGGATATCCGTACCTCGCCGGGAGGACTGGTCTTTCCGTATATGAACTCGAGAGTCCTAGTTGACCGGGCTAACTTCTCCGGTATCGATCTTCCCCAGACGAAAGAGGCCAAGACAGAGAGCGCTTTGGACAAGAAAAAGCTGAAACGATTTGTGATCAAACGGCGTTGGCAGAAGCTTTTCTATACGTACATCTTTCTACGACGCATGGGAGCGACGATGACCTTCGATGATCCCCCCAAATGACAAGCTCGCTTCAACTGAGTCCACGGAGTTGCCCTTTATGACCTTGGATGATCCTTCCGAAAGCCCGCCGCAACTGAGTCCATCAAGTTCCACATCAAGGAATTCGACCCATTACACTCTTCATGATTTCCACTCTTCATGATCCTGCCTAACAGAGAAAGCCTCGAGGACCTCGGAAATCGCTCCCATCGAGACGCGTGTCGTCGGGCGAAGCACGTTAACACCTGCCATTGCTGGGTCTCAGCGGAAGACTTGGAAACCTTCCAAGAATAAAACCCCGATCATGAATCTCTCCAGTCGGAGTTTTGTTTAAGAATTTCGCTTTTGAGAGAACTCCTCGCCTCGTCTCTTGGATGAGGCGCGCCTCGGACACACTTTCTAGGAATCCCCAAATCTCTATTGATTTTGCGGCGAAAATAAGATAATGAAGGTGCGCTTGTTCTCGGAAGGGGGAGGAACAGCGCGATCGGTCGACCCATCGATTCACCCAATCAGTGGAGATTACGCGACAGCCCCTTAGGGAACACCGTTCATGATGCGTGGAAAACGTAGACCCACATGGATATGAGATCGTTCTCTCAGCCACCTACATCCGCCGATCGATGGATCCATGTCGCTGAGCGGCGGATGGAGAGATTCCCCAAGGCGGTGCTGATTCTAGAAGATTCTTCATGATGTGTTAGGGTAGCAACGATACCATCCGACGGTCGTATGCAAAGCGCCCTTAAGAACGAGAGACTCTCGTGGAGGCTACACCTGTACTCGACGCTCCTCCTGAAATAGTTTTGGAGGTCGTCCAGTTTGCCGATCCGGCACTTGTATCGTGGAAAGTAAACAAGAAAACATTTATTTGTTTGAGTTGACGAGACGACCGCCCGATGTGATTTCTGATATGGGACACGTCGACTCGCATAGAAAGATCGAAGTACGTAGCCTATCTCTTCAGACGCAATGAGGGCAGACCAGCCGAAGACGAGTATGGTTACCAAAGATGAGTTTTGAGACAACGTGTCCTTGACACGGTTTGCCCGTTTGATCCTTAGATCTCGTTAGTCAATGCGCGCTGCTCGGGAGGGATCGTCGTGCGCATCGTAGATGGACGTAGAAGATGAGAGGTGGCAGCTCTCGGTGGAGCCATGTTTTCGGGTCTTTGCGATACCTATACTGGTCCAACCTCCTATTGATTTTTGTGATCTTTAGACTCCTATGTATGATGATTCATTCGTCCGCGAGAGCTTTAAGTCAAAGCCTTTAACCCATTGATGAAGCCCCGAGCTGGAACTTTTCACGCGAGGGATCCCGCTGAAGAATTCATTCGCATCCATCTCACCCAAAATGGATGCTGGTCGCTCGTCTTTGCGGCATCAGGGCTATTCACGAAGATATTTGTCCCGGATCGACTGATGGGAGATTCACGCGTAGCTCGAGTGACCTTGCTCGCAGTGTCCCTTGGAAATCGCGGAGTATAGTTCCCTGCATAGAACACTGATTTCGGTCGGCGCGCTTATCGAACAAACTCTATTCCGACTCTATTCCAAATCTTTCATGTAGCACCCGGAACCGGTGGCAAGTTTCCGGATATTTTCCGAATGTCATGAGACTGGCCAGAGTAGGATGTAGCAATACATATTCGTCCTGTCGGTAGTTAGTCTCAAGGGAATTCAAATTATGGCCACCGGAATCGGAAAAGTCCGAGTTTATCGCAGGGAGAACCATAATGTCAAACGCCAGTATAGATCACGAGATCCCTCCAGCAGCGAAATGAGTTCAAGTGATCGATAAACGTTTGTGAAAATAGGAGGACTTAGAGTTCGTCGTTCCGAAATCCGCGGTCGAGCTATCGATTTCCACGGCCCAAAACGCCTAAGGCGTGAAAAGGGATTCCTTGTTCCCAAATTATCTGGAACGATCAAGCGGATTATCCTGCCCGTCGAGTTCGAACGGGCAACATGGAATTCCGGCCACGCAAGTTTCGAGGGACGCAAACCACATTTTCTCGCATTTTCCGACACACGGATCTAAAATCCATGGGGTAGGGATGGGGGAAGCTCCCGTCGGTGCCGAGAGGAAAATCCTGCTCCTTCGAGAGGCCCGTGACGTCGCTCGTACTCGTGAGATCGATAATGTCGATGATATGCATCGGTGCATCGCCGCCAACATTTTTTTCCAGTACCAATGGAAGCGCGCCATCAAGTGCGCCAACACATCAAAGTGAAAGTGCATTCACTTCCCGTCCAAAATTTCACCAGTGTTCCACGCGCTGGCCGTCGCGTCGCCTATCCCCTCGCCGCTTCCCTTGCCTGTGTGTTACGTCCTCATGCAATCCAAAAGCCGCTTCTCTGTCGGCAGCGCGAGGCCCGCCAGTTGTCAGTGTGATTGTTCTCTGCGTTCCGTGGTGTTGTGATTCCGACTCCTGTCATCGAACAGAAGCTACACCATGGCGGAGTCGAGTAGCAGGGAAATGTACAATGTTCTCCTTCTGGGACTGTGCTTCATGCTGGTTTTCACCGCGTTCCAAACGGGCAGCTTGATTCAGGTATGCCTCCTACGACGGTCTCTGACGTGTTCGGCGGTGGTAACAGCTGAGCGGCGAGCCCACACAGAAATGTCAGGTGTTCCCGGCTAGTATTAATGAAGGTTTCCTTCTTTGTTGCCGAGACCCTATCCGCTGGCTCGCCAGATCCTTCCGAAGGAATCATTGGATATTGCAGATAGCTCCGTAAAATTCAGGATGCTTGAGTTTATCATCAAAGGGAGTGTGAGGGTGCGGCGTCCAGAATTATTTCATGAGGCTCCGTATGAGCCATTTCACTTTCCATATGGAATCTCTTGAATGGCTATATCCTCTCCCGAGATGTCCGTTCCCTTAACATACCGGTCTGTGGGCTGTTGCTGACCTGAGAGCGAGCGGTTGCGTGCCGAAAAGTTCAGAACGCGAGAGTACAATGCGTGAGACTTTCAAAGTGGTAGAGATCAGGCCTCGAAGACACTCCGCTCGTCTTCCCATGGCGGCATATCAAGATCGGATTGAAGAGAAGCGGGTCTTGCAGAGAGTTCCAGAAACTTGGATGCAGGTTCTAACAGCTTTTCTGGCTCCGGCAATTCATTTGAATCATGTCGACTCCCCTCGAGACGAGCTCATTGAATGATACTCCCCCACCGCGAACGAGTTTCGCGGGCCTCTTCAGACTACAATCCTCCACATGAGTAACCATGGGACTGACTGAAGCGAATCGGGAAGAATTCGACTGGGGGCTTATGTCGAAGGCCTTTCCCCAGCACGTCCTTCTCCCGAATGATTCGATAACATCCCGGAAAGGACTTGAAGTAGATTTTGACACAAGAAGTCTGAGATGCGTATTGCATATCCGGGCGACGCGACGGGTTATCCCAACTCATACGGCGATCCTAGCGAGAAGCACTCGCGAGCGAAGATCAGTTGTCGATCTCTGATCCAACTGCATATCCGAAGAACTGTCGAAAGTGGTGATTCAATCGAAAGAATAACTTTCTACTCGCAAAAGGGTGTCACTCTGCTCTCTGCTCACGAGGGGATTCCTTCTGATCAGGGTCGGCGAGGAGACTTCCCGAAATTATAGAAATCCCCGGGAGATGCCGAACTCCGTGTCGGCAAATCAAGACAAGGAACATGTGATTGAAATCTTTCCGTCGGTGATACCGACGAAGGAGAACCGGCGGTGACCGACGGGGTTGATTCGGTCGCCTCGTGACGGCTGAAGCATTGCGGGATCCTGACTTTCCGGTCAGCGAAGTCTTCCGGAACCGCGCATCGGCATGATTTGTCGGAATCAAGAATGGTAGAAGATTGTAGACTAATGGACATAGCTTTACGACAGAATTCGGACTCTTAAGGTCGAGAGCTGTCATGAATCGCGAGGGACCGGTCAGACTCCGCGCCCGTACCGGCGGTAATCTCACGGAGGATATGATTTGTTTTGATTCGAGCTCCCGAAGATATTCGGCCCCCTTCTTCCAGTGCCAACCCTGCATCCTTTTTCACGAAGTTTTCATTGAAGAGCCAGACGTCGCGTGAGATTGAGATTAGCAGTAGGTTGAGCGCCCCTCTCCAGGGGGCCCCCGCCGGTTGCTCTAGTAAGCCAGCCGAAGAGTCGGTGGACAATTATTACAGAGCGCACTAATTCCACTGGGGAGCAGATCGATCGGGAAACTATGGAGAATCGACTTTGAGCTCCTTGTTGCGGCCGAGGTCGGAGCCCAGAGTCCAGTTCTTGAATATCCCCACAAATGGATGATCCATACCTCGAATGGGATTACACACAATTAGGACTAGGTACGGTCACCCTCAGGCAGATTGGCAGGCTTTCGGAATCGGGTCAATGGGAATAAGCTTCCTTATTATCTTTCTACACCACTACTACCCGATGTTTAGCCTGTCTCTTGAATCCGTGCGTGCCACAATTCCAACTCCCTCTCTATGTAGAAGTATAAAGATTGCACCTCCGAGCGATTTTCTTGTTTGCGCTGAATCCAGTCGGCTGATCTGGAAGAACGAAAAAATCAATACCGCGACTCGGAGGCGTCCACGATTTCCCGCAGATTCCCATCACGATCTTCTATGATATACCTATTCTGACTGGAGAGGTGTCGAGGTAAATTCCTCTTCCAAGAATGGGTATATGGAATCAATTAATCGAGACCTTGAGTTCATCAATTACTGATCAGACGCCATTGATCTATCCCGAGTTCATTTCGTGAGAAGAACCGCTCGATTCGACGAGCATGGATTAGTATCCCAGCACAGTCGCCAGATTATTCAAACCATCGGCATCGATTGATCCGCGGGACGGCTTGTGCAGGGATAGGGTAGCAGATCCCGTCGTAAGGTAGAATCATTCTCTACGAGGGAAGAAGTCCGTGGAGTCCAGGGCTACGAAATCACTGAATATATTTACTTTGATTTGAATAAATAATTTTAATTCAGGCAGAAATTACCAGATCACTAGATAAACCTGGAGTAGGGGGTGGGAGGGATCCCTTTGCGTAGGTACTCATGCGGATTGCTCTCAAATTGATCGGAAACGGGATTCCCCCCTCCTTTTCCACGACGTGTGGCTCCAGCGCAAGCTGTGGACGGCTTGCCAAGACCGGACGACGAGCGCTGCTCGCGGATGGAAACGGAATAACGCAATACGGATGACGGCTCTTCAGCGCTTTTTCATTCAGCGATTAGCATCGATGCATCGTACAACGCCGTACGCTAGGAAAGCTAGATGATCACAGCTCTCCTGAATGATTTTTCCGAATGCTGCTTTCGTGAATGAGCGGAAGCGGAATGAATCACTGCTCGGTGCTCGCTGAGATCCGAAGCACACCGAAGGCTTCACGCCCCCGCCTGATTTGAGCTTGAAAAAATGCCGTGCTCTACTAAGAGATCCTCCTTTGCAGAAAAATGTGATGAGCTCAATACACGAGGAAGACCCCTCCTATGCTTCAGACGGTCTGATATCGCTTTCGGTGATCTACGCTGTATTCGCTGTGGCTAACTGGTTCGCGCCATCGATGGTCACCTTCCTTTCGCCCAGACTGTCGATGATTCTGAGCGCGATCACCTATAAGTGAGCGTCTACGAGCCTCTAACTCCAATTCGGCTATGGCTCTTAATCGGTCGACACTCGGGAATGATCAGGCTTCCCACATGTGAATGCTTTCGTTCTCTCACCCGGGAGCTTTATTGACGAAATTCCATTTTACAGCGTTTTCATCGCTCAATTCTTGTACCCGACGAATATCGGATTGTACAGTGCGTCCGCCGTCGTGGGTATCGGAGCTGCTGGTACGAAATTCCGATCTCGATGACTAGAATTATGAACCGTATCGGAATTCCTCATCTGGAACAATCATTCAAAATCTTGGAAGCCATTCAGTTTCCGATGACTTCAAACTCAATGGTGTTCGATCCACAGTGATATGGACGGCTCAGGGGACATTTTTGACGCAGAACTCGACTATGGTTACCATGTCCAGAAATTCAGGAATATTCTGGGCAATGATGCAACTGTCTCTGATATGGGGGAATATTTTTGTGTACTTCGAGTAAGCGAAGAAGGGCTGAAAGTTTATCATATTGTTGTAGAATCACAGCTCATTTGGATCTGTTGCTGATTGATGGAATGAATCTCCCCAAAGGTTTGACAACGAAGAAAGAATCGACAAGAAGACTCGAAACACCGTCTACGGTGTGATGGCCATCATTGGGATCTTGGGGAATATCCTCATGATTTTCTTCCGCAAAGCCGCTCATATCATGTGAGGATATACCCTTATTAGGAATATTATCCCCTGGGCCTCCTCCCCTCTCCCTAAAATTCACATCCCGTCTTGATTTCCAGCGAAGATGACAAGAAACCACCTTTCGTCAAAGGGATAGGTCAGCGAGGATCTTCTTAACTTTTGATGCGATCCGGATCGAACTTCACACTCGGATATCTAGAATATATTTTTTATTTCAGTTGACTCTTTCAAGCTCCTCACCACCAGGCGGATGATGCTTTTGTCGTCGACTTTCATCTATACCGGCTTGGAACTGTCATTCTTCAGGTTAGTCCGACTGAATCCGACATTCTCTGCTTGGAATCGCACTTCGCATGGCATGAAATGAGAGACATGAGATTGAATCCTACATACCTATCTAGTGACCATACTCCGACATTGGAATTTATTTTTGATCTAGCGGTGTGTACAGCGCCTGTATCGGATTCACCAAGGCTTTCGGGAAAGATAGCAAAAAATATGTGCCAATCAGTGGAATCGCAATCGGCGTCGGTGAGGTCGCTTGTAAGTAGACTTCGAATTCCGGTTTTTGAGCAGGCGCAGCCTTTTCAGTGATCGTTCCCCCTCCGGAGCCGTTCCTTGACGAGCCCGGGGGAACATAAAAGAAAAACGTCAGCGTTAAGAGCGACGAGGAGCGGGATACGGGAGCTCCTTTCTCTTTTCAGCGGGCTTCGCTTTCAGCATTCTGGAGAAATATACAGCCAAGATGGGTCGTGCCAAGATCGTAGGCCTAGGTCTGGTAGCGCACGTCGGAGCCTTGATTATTGCGCTGATAAATCTGCCCTTCGATTCGCCGTTCAAAGACACCACTTCCGCGGCTCTCATCCCCTCGAAGTGAGTGTGACGATCTACTTCGACAGCGATAAACTTTGTGGTACCACGCATGTTCCTCATAAGGAGGAGTTCCATACGCTGCCCTGTCCGTCTGCTCGTGATCAGAATCACAGGATGGATGTACATATTTCAGCATCTTCTTGGCTCTGTTCGGGTCTTTCCTGCTCGGTTTCGGAGATGGTTGTTTCAACACGCAAGTATACTCCTTGATAGGAGTTCTCCACAAAGAGAATACGGCACCCGCCTTCGGACTCTTCAAATTCATGCAGTCGGTCGCTGCGGCCGCAGCATTCTACTACTCGTCGCAGCTCATGCTGCCATATCAGGTGCGTATGACCGGTGCTGGTAAGGGATCCTATGTCATTTCCCGGTGGCAGTCTCATCGCTGAGAATCGCTTGATTGAATCCCTACTATTGCAGCTAGCGATTCTCGCCGTCTTCCTCTTGGTCGGGACCGTGACTTTCATCGTAGTCGCACGAAATGCGGACAGCAGAGGTGAAACTTTCGTCGGAGTGAGTCTGAGCTGATAAGAGAGGCATGTTCTGTTCCCACGATTCGATAGTGACGGAATTTTCATCGATGTTGCAGAATCTGACGGTGCTTGAGTCGGATCGCCAGTTATCGGATCAGGATATGCGTTCGGCAGACTCCTGATGTTTGAACGGTACTTCCAGCGCACATTCCAAAAAACCCTGTACATACCCCTCGCGCCCGCCCCTACTTAAGTCCTCGAGGAGCAATATCCTGAGCACAATGAGTTGGATTGAGTCCCTGATTCTGACTGGTGCTCTTAGGTAGACTGCGTGTTCGTTCATGATCGGAGTGAAATGACCCTGCCTTTTCGACATCAATTCTACAGAAGGGTTCCTTCTGTAGTACAATTCCATTGTTTGTAAAGAGAGCGGGGAGTGAATAAATTCGACTCGTCGGAGAATCGTCAGATTGTCTTGATTGGCTACTCCTTCATTCCCTCAGAGGGGAATCAAATATGCCTGACCTTGTATACACCTAATATCCGCTTAAATGAAGAGACACATTAGATACGCTCACTCGAGTCCGGGCGACCCATCACCAAGAGACATTGAGCCGTGATTAGCAGCGGACAGCGGCGTCCCCTCTCTGAACCTCGATAGACAATCGCTGGAGAAGGAACATCGATTTTGTGAGGAGCATCATTTGTCCGACCTTCACTTGGAATGAGCAAAATATGATAATGAAATGTATAAAAGTAATCATTTGGAAAATAATCGTAGTAAGTCGTCGCCTTTGGAGCTGAAGCTAAGTCGTCGCGGAATCTCGAGCTCCTGCGAGCCAACACGAGGAAGTCAGCCTTAATCGAGTTCGATCCACGCCGGGACTCCTCCCGTCAGCTGTGCGAATTTGAGTTCTTCTGTGGGAGAGCCTCGCCTCACTCCAGCGAAGACGGCTGAGCATTCCAGAATCGTATATGGATATTGCAGCGAGTGGGTGAGGATGTTTCCATCCCCTCATTCGAGCATATTTATAGGGTATTATAAGTGTCTGAGCCCCTTTCCGGGCGGTGGCTCCGTGAGTCAGAGGTCACGTTTTTAAGAAGACAAGGACACTGCTGAACGCCTTTCAGGGTCAACTCACATGCTGACGTTTATGCTTTGTACGCGTCGATCTATGCACCCGTAGCGATATGTGCTCATTGGAATACTTAGCACTGGCACTCGCCCGTTTTGTCATTCTTTTCGAGCGGTCCAGTGCAACTCGAGACCAATCAGGTCCAATCTACGGTGCCCGGGTGGAGGAAGGTCCCCAGCGGACGTATTTCAGCGCCGTGGAGAAGGAACCGAGCTGCCATCGAAACCCCATGGCTTCGAATCTTCTGGGGAAGCTCGTATACAGTCATAAATCGACAGGGCCGGCCTCAATCAGATTCTTATGATAGAATCAAGAGAGGTATTCTCTATGTTGTCGGAGCTCGTGATAAGGCCGCGGGCTTGGCCATTTTCCGTCCGTGCTCAGCACGGGATCGCGCCCCGAAATTATATCTGAAGAATTCTGCCGCTGTAGATACTCTGTCGCGGTTTGAGAGCAGATAAGCAAGAGAAAGGGGAGGGAGTTTTCGTCATTACAGATCACTCTCAGAGGAATATCTTTTCTTTCCCTTTGTCATCGAAACTTCGGGCGTCTGGGGCGAACGGGCGACAGCTTTCTCCAAGGAGATCGGTGGACGACTTGAGCAGGCTACCGGGGAAACACGCTCGACGGCATTCTTCAGACAGAAAATCGCACTGGAGACCCAGCGAGGCAACGCAAGATTGCTTCTCGACGCTCTGCCCCGCGGGAGGGGTCTTGATGAGCTTTTCTTTGTGTGAAATTTTCCTTTACTTAATGCCCGTAGATTCAAATCCTCTCTATATGTAAAAGACTGAATAAAATCAGGACGGAGTGGAGGGAGTTTTCGTCAGCGTTTTCATCATCGTTATCCATCGACCGCAGGAACACTCTCTAAGAAGGCCGTCTCTGAGAGCGTTTAGGTGGCTACTTTCCCTCTCCAAAGCTCTCAGAAAACCTCGGCAGCCCACTCTGACGGATGACAACTCGCCACAGTCTTGAGAGCAGCGTTCAGAAGCTAAGATGAACTATCCCGAAGTGAACGCAGGTAAGTGGTCCGGCAGACGGTCACTCAGTCTGTCAGTCAGTCAACAAGCGATTTACTGTGGTCCGTAGGAAGCCAGAGACTGCCCGAATAAATATCGCTCAGAGGTTAGGACGGTCGACCGAATAGGCCGACTTTCTCGCCGAAACATGAGCAAACGATCACGCAAAGTTTCGAAGCACCCAGCTTCTTCATCTGACCCACGCGTTTCGTGCGAGTCTCCGATCGCGAAGTAAACGACGAGAGTTTCCTTTCAATTCATCATCGCGGTAAAACTATTCCGCGGGCTATTTGCCCTCCTCGCCACAGCGGGCGGGAGGTTCAGACTCGCGGAGCGGGACTCTCGCGACTCGATGGAGCTCGGGGGTCCATTTCTTCATCTGAACAGACCGACTTATGGCGTGTCTCTGGCTCATGAATCCCGGCAAGTCTATGAAGTATAGAATTTCAGCGTGAACTTATCAATAGCCTACAGTCGATCGAATGAGATAAACAAAATATATGAACGCTCGAAAAGAGCGTGCCGGACTGAATCGAGCGCGAGCGATCCATCGACGAGTTCGCAGAGTTTCCCCGCGGAACGTGGCTCCAGGAGCTGACGCATCGTTGCAGATAGATCGTTCCCAGTTGACCCCGGATCGTCTTCTGTCCAGGAACCCCCTCTTCCATGGAAACCCCAATCCGGGCCGGGGGAGCTGCGAATTCCTGTGACGCTGTGATTCCAACTCCCTACAAGTTTGTAGGAAGCGGGATTCCGAATCTCGCATACCTTTAATTTTTCTTAAAGAATACGTCAGAGAGGGAGGCCCTGAGCGTTGGACAGATTTCGACCAGTGCAACACCTCGTCGATTCCCTCTCCTGCATGGCAACGCGAGAGTGGAGCTCGCCGTGATCGATGCGGTTGCTTCCCCGAGTTTCTTTGGATCTATCCGTTTCTCGGAGAGTTTTCGTATCGTCATATCCACGGCGTGGATCGATCGATTCTCGGCAGATATCGAAATTTCGCGCTGATCAAGAACTTTATCCGGCGTATTGCGATGATCAATGAGGTCCCACTTACAGATAAGAACCATCGATCTACCAGTGAGACTCTCTCCAACAGTGAAAGTGCCAGGACTCCTCTCATACCCCTTCGATACGGTCCCCACCAGATGAAAGTCCAATGTCCGTATTGCAGCGGCCACATCACGACGTCAGTCGAATACAGTGCCGGTAATAAACACATGACAAAAGTAGGAAACTTCAATTATCGAGTTCGAAATTTCATGTTCATCGTCGACTCAAGAATCAATATTCATACCCGTACAGATGGCGGGGAAATGGCGAATCAATAATTTTTTCCTTCCCAAACAGGTCTTTTCAGCTTCGTCGCGTCTTTCATGTTGATGACCATGGGTTGCTTCTGCGGCTGCTGCCTTGTTCCATGTTGTTCCGAAGGCTTCAAAAACGCGGAGCATACCTGTCCAAAGTGTGGGAACTATCTCGGTATCTATCATCGCTGCTGAGAGGCTATCAATCCCGAGAAAAATCTAAACACTCGAAATGAGCTCACTCTGCCGTTCACAGGCGAAAACTGATGAGTTCATGAGTTTTCGCCGCCCAAGATCTCATTCCTAATCTCTGGCGGACTGCCGAGGCTCGCTGCGGGGAGTCGGAGCACTACATCAAGCAGCTTCAAGTTTACTCGCGCTTATGATCTCGTAACACGAGTCATTATCACATGCGGTGGTTGACTCGGTAATCTATCCATACTACATGGAACGGAAAGATTGACATGAAGAGGATCTCTGCCCTTATATTTTCGCCCGAATGTTTCCGTGATCTCCTCACGCATGAATGATTCCCTCCGCCCCCGCCCTCTATCTGTTGAAGTCCGATCACTCCCGGTTATCAAGGAGTCGAGCTCCCTTCGAGCTCTGAGGAACAGCGACCACGAGCAGCATCGTTCAAAACTCTCGGAACGAGTTCCAGTCACAGAAATCATCTTGCCGGGCGCCTCTCAGCTCTACTCACACTCATACCGGCAGTGCTTCTTCAAGCTCGGGAGGAAATAAGTGCGGTTTGATATTTTTAGAATCCTCTGGGTTTGACTGAATTCATTCATTGCGTCGACATCATGAGGAAGCTGAGCGAACAGGTTGTATACCGTCCCCGCGGTCAGTACTCTGATTGAATATTTTCGCTGCAAAGTTATACCGATGACTCGTTTACTTTACTTTGATAGAATAAAAAAACTCTCTCATGAATCGTGCTCTCCCCTCAATCGTGCGATGAAATGTTGGGTCCCCTCCTTCGAGGTCATCCGAATACGGCTTCTCAGACTTGCTCACGATAATTCTGAATACCGATATTCGCAGGCTTCATTAAGTACCCCTCACGAAGACTCGCGTTCCGTCTCATTTCATGTGATGTGGTCGAACAATATCGAGGGAAGCACACCGTCAAGTGACAAACGCGAGCTTAGGAGAGGTGCTCCATGAGTAGAAGACGTATTCACCAGGATTTAATGTGAAACATTCAACGGTTTTATTTAGAGATTGCTCCCATCCTACAACAGTGGATGGAACATTTGTCAGAGATCTTGTACAGTATCGGACATCTTCTCATATCCTGGTGACTTCCTGCGTATCCGTCATGTCGTCTTGCGCCAGAGGAGCGCTACTATGGGTGCAGAGACTGTCATTCGAGTTTTGAGCTGATGGTGGCAGCCATGAAGCAGGACTGTGACGGATCTGCAATAATGGGAGACTTGACGAAGGAGTTCTAATCTAATGCAGCATCTCAGAACTTCGATACACACCCAGAGACCGGAACGATCTCTGAGACATTTCCCGCTGGACACCAAGACTACTGCTACTCACCTCGTGCTGGAGTCTCACGTATTCAGGTGGATGGAGTTTTAAGTTACGTCGAGAGACGTATTTGGCGAGCCATCTCGTAACAAAATAGGTCTGGAAGCGAAAACGAAAATTCCGATGACAAACGCTCCGAATTGGATCCTGAGCTTGAGCAAATAAGGAATCAGAGGATTTAAGGCTATTCATCCGGAATCTCACCTCGATGGTGTACGCAATGAAAAAATGTGCGAGTCCCAGAGCTACGCATATCATCCGGAAAGAGATCGGGACATCATCTATGTCCAATTCGAAGAACTGCTTCAGCCATTCGAAGGGGTGAATCACGAGATAGAACGAGAACGCAGCCAGGATCACCACGATCGGAGTCAGCAAGAGATTTGTATAAATCGGCTTCCTGTGCGGATGACCCGTGGAAAAAATCACAGCGAGCGTGATGTACTGGAAGACGCTCACAGCAAACACGGCATAATTGTCCTGACACTGTACCGCATGTTCGTCGCTTTGGCCTGCGATATTGGGTCGATACCAAGTATTGTTGTGGAGTATGAATGTCGATGCCAACTGAGCTAGCACCCCGAGAAGTATCTGAGCCGTAATTGAGAAAATCGGAGCGATTCCGACCGCCGATGTCGGCGGGGGGTTTTTGAAAGCACTGTCCGTGGTCTGGTATAACCGTACACGGTGGCGATAGGCATGATGAGGAAAAGATCAATGAACAGGAACTCCTGAAAAATGACCAGGTCGGATTTGATGAGTGGAATTCATAATGAGGCAGATTCCAAATAAATTCGACTTCTACCCTGCTGATGCGGATATAATCCCTCCCATATCAGACAGGGCTGAATAAGGATCGATTTACCTTATCGGTCAAATTCGAGAATAGAGTGTACAGGATGAGCACAGAAGAGAACTGTGTCATAGAATAGCACGCCATGTATTTGAGCACAGCGAATGATGTGACCAATGCGGAGCGACCCTCCTTGATCAATGTCGGGACGCAAGATATGTCAGCCACTTTAGATGTAAACGGAGATGCCACCGAAGCTTCAGTCTCCGAAAGCGAGACTCCCGCGTGAGCCGCTTTCAAGGCCCCGCAATCGTTGGCACCGTCACCGCACATCCCTACGTAATAGCCGAGCTCCTGCAGGAGTTCTATGAGTTGCTGCTTCTGCTCGGGAGCCATGCGTGCGAACACTGTTCCGCAGACAATGACCCGCCGCAGCAGATCAGGATAAAAACGTCTCAAGGCTGAGAAGGTTTTCCCCGTAGCTACTATGTGGAAGTCAGTGGTCGACACGGGAATGTGAACCGCATTGCCCTGCAAAGTAGATCACTGATATTTAGCAACCAACATGGAATTTTTCCTAGGAAACGAAATTTCGCGGTCTTTTCGATCGAATGGCGATGCAATGAGAGAGGGGTCGATGGATGCAAAACAGGAAACGCTTAGACAGTATGCAGGGTCCGACTCACCACAGTGATCGGCTCGATGCTTTGCGGAATATCGGCGTAATACCAGCTCAGTATTGCATCGGTTTCGTCGTTTGTTACGGTCGCTTGCAGAATAATAACATCTTGGCCGTGATCGATCATGTGGCATTCTCGGGCCACTGATAGTGCCGTCAGCACATTGTCGCCGGTAACCATTACAGGGCGAATGTTGGCTCGTTTCAGTTCATCGATTATTTCTGTCGTTTTCGGCTTGAGCCGGTTCTCCATGATGAGGAGTCCGGTCAAAGTGAGATCGCATTCGAGCTCTTCACGAGGCATTCGTTGCGCCTGAAGCGGTATTAATGTACATAGTATAAACTCGACTCGAAATCGGGAAAGGATGAATCGTCTCCGAGCCTCCGAGGCCTGACAAAATTATCGGAGGGCCAAGACGTAACCGAGCTAGATGATCTTGACGGGCGAACGGGGGAGACGCACCTTGGCAAAGTTCACGTTGAGTGTTTTGTAGGCTAGAGCCAAGACTCTGTACCCTTTTTCAGTGTATATAGATAGGATTTTCTGATAGTCATTCGGAATCGATCCAGGAACACACATCCCGGCGATTATTTCCGGGGCACCTTTCGTATAAACAGTGAAATTCCTCTGACCAAGCACACGAGTTATGACAGACATTCGCTGAAACATCAATGAATTCGGTGAGAAGCGATAAGAAATCGTCATCGGATAAAATTTGTTCATCAGCTTCCCGAAACTCGCTCGGAAATGAACTCTCAGGGGTAGGTCAGTGAATTCGATAAGGACCTGGAGACTAGATGAGAATGGTAGCTCCCGGATAATCCCAACTTCGAAGGGTATTTTGTCATTTTCGATCAAGTCCGAGTTTTCCATGGTGCCTTTCTGGCATATTTCTGCTGGCCGCACGACAGTGGGGGTGATCATATCGAATTTGTTCGTATCTTCCACATTGGGTTCTTCGAATATAAAATTCGTCGCTTCAAACATCTTGAGGTCGAGCGGATCCCCCGTCAATTGGCCTTCGATGAGAGTTAATGAATGGCAACTAGCCATGGCAACTCGGAGAGGGTGGTTGTGCGCGAGTTCGGACGGATCCTGTGAGAGAAACATAGCGGGTTAGCTCTGTATTGTTCATCCAAGGCATGGTACGAATGTCGTTGCTAAGACTTCCTTACCGCTATGGGATCCTTTTGGTCGAAGGAAATTGCTCCCCAGAGGTCGAGTCCATCCTCCGTCAGGGTACCGGTTTTGTCGAAACAAAAGCAGTTGATACAACCGCTGATATTTATCGACCTCGGGGAAATGCAGTAAATCAAAGCCTTTCTGAGTCTGTGGTGCGAACAGACTATTCCAGCTGGAATCAAGGAGCACAGATGTGAGACGGTTCCGACGCTTAGAATCGATGGGGCTCGGTATGCATTTTCAGACAATCATCGTTGGGCGGGGAAATTTCACAGACCGAGCGTCATCGTTGCCGGCAATGCTGGGGGGATCGTGATGGTGAGGACGTCCATCGAGCGGATGAAAATTTCGAGGGGAGCCACTTTCCGCATTGCCTATGGATTTCGGAAATGTCAGTTCGTAACGCTCGATGGAGACGTCCGTGCTCCGCTCGTAGGAAAGCTTAATCGATCGAATGCTCGGCAAACCTTCAGCACGACGGTGTACGTTAGCCCGATGCTTGCGAAAACGGCCAAAACACAGAGGAATTTGGTGACGTCCTGACCTAACTGGAAATCTACGGGCTTGGGGAAAAGCATCGACCGGACCAATTCGCCTTTCGCTGTGAGGAAGCCTGTCCTCAGAACAACAGCCTCAACGTTCTCGTTCCCGATGTATCTGGAATGAGAAGAACTCCGTGGGTTTCATGAGAGCCGAACCGGTTCCTGTCTGGTGCCCGTTTTTCTTGTGATGGGTCTTGTCGGAGCTCCGTCAGGGAAAGGATTCTCCGTGCACTGACCATCGATGTAGTCGCAAGTCGAGGCGGCCTTCCCAGCGGAGGGAAGCACTAACCTTGTTTGGATTACTTTGGTCCCACTGAACAGGGTGTATTTCGAATGTTCTTTCGGATGGAAGAGTGAATCGTTCGGGCCTGAGTGCACCAGGGCAGTTTTGACCACAGGAACACTTTCTCCAGTGAGCATACTCTCGTTGACGATGCAACTGAGAATTGAAATATATAACATCGCAACTCCGCAACGGCGAAACCAGTCGTAGAGCTTCAGGATGAAAACCAGGTACTCACCTTCCAGTGACGAGGCAGGCATCGACGTGCATCATACAACCGTGTTTTGGGATAATTATCACATCACCAGGGACTAGTTGCTGGGAAGATATCTGCTCGAAAACCTCCCCTTTTTCCTTCTTCCTTTTAACACATACGACATCCTGAAACAGACGGCCTCCACTCTTTCACAATGCGCGAGCTCGCCGTGGGGAAAAAGGAAAAGCTCACCGAAGAGCATCGTTTCGGAACTTCGCTGCCGAGCGTACACGGCTGGGACACTTGCCTGGCCTATTGCGGTGTCCCGAAGAGCTCTTTGGTTCTTGTAGATTTGCCGAACACCAAGACATAAGGAAAATACAGATATGATGATAATGGCTCCCGCGTACCAGTAGTATTCATCCATATACCTGATGGGAAGGAGTAAGTAGAGGATTGCGGGCACGCGGGATGAAAATTCGAAAGAGCTGTGCGATTAGCTGCCCAGTAGAGAGATCCGAATTTCCCCAAGGAGAGAACGAGAAATCCCGGAAAAACAAGGCGTATACTCCGTGGCATGACATGAGGCGTGCTGCTCGATGGAAAAAATTTCCGAACGTTGCATCCGGAATGATTCCAGGAGCTCACCATATGATCAGGGAGAACACTTGGAAGACGTAGAAAGGCTCTAGGACCTCAGTTATCAGAATAGTCGTTATGCCCTGGACGTCGACATCGATGAGATTGTTCCCATAGAGGATCCTTCTTATCGTTTCCTCCTTGAGGGTGAGTCCCTGAAGAGACAGAACACGAAGTCAAACTCGCCTATTATTCTCGGGAATGAGCTCTGAGTCATGACTCATGACTCATGACCAATGGTGTCTTCTCTTCCGACACAGCGAACGGAACTAACCTGGCGCTGTTGCATAATGTTTGAACATTGAGTGTTATGGTCTAGACCATGCAACCGCAAGAAACTTTGCGATTTGCGATCCCAGAGGAACTTGTGTTTCTTATTTTCGAAAAAGCGGAGTTGATCCGTATAGCGGAGGCCTCCCTGGAACAAAAACATCTATGAGCATATTCCGCAAAGAAGTGTTAGGAAATTCGAGATCTGATTCTTGGATCCCTCCATGCTACTACTTGTTTTATATAAACAGTGATTGAGCGATATCCGAATTGTCATCATGGGGATCGGATGCGCGCGATCGAGACGGAGATGACTCGGACCGGCTCCGCTGCAGGAGAAAGTCTATCTCGGGAAAACTTCGAGTCGAAACTCACGCCTGGTTCGAGCTGCACCAGCGAATCGATCTCGCCAATCTCAGCCTTGATGACGTCGAGGTTCCCATCAATGTTCTTGAAAAGGTCTTTCAATCTGCGGATATGATGATGATTGTAATGCAATCAGCTCCCTTGCAAGAGATTCAGGATGCATGGATATAGCAAGGTTTTCTCGACGGAATCTCACCTCACATTATCCGCAGTTATAATGCGAACGTCCTCTACGAAAATTTGGTCATATTGGTCCACCAAGAGTACCTTGGTCGCTTCCGGGAGTGAGCACAAGTTGAAGGTGCATTTGAGGTACCAGTGGGGTCGCCAATGAAAAACGAGACGAGCGATTCCCAGGGAGAAGACAATCCCCACATAGGTGAGAATCGTTTTTGGAATGCTCCGTTGGTAGCCATAACAATCCTGAAATAGGTATCCGCAGTCAGAATCGCCTGCATCGGGGCAAGCCATCTTATCAACATCCGAGTCACTGTCTGGCCGTCCAGCTGACTGAATGTTCGCGGCTTTTTGCTCCCTTGTCTGACCGATTGAGCGATCCAAGCGATCCGAAGGTTTCCGACTCACCAGCTTGCTGAACTCATCTTCGCTGAGTTTCTGCGAGAATTCTTGTCCATAGGAATAACCTGAAATGGGACCGTGGACAATCATTTTCATAGCGTTCTCGGAATCCTGTTCTGGAAATTTTCAGTCTTCAGGATTGAAATCCAGGTTCGTGAGTTCGGCGCCAACTCGGCTTGGGTCTCTTGATTCCTTTCATGGAGAATCTTGAAGCGCATATCTCCAGCGCTTATAAGATAAGGGTGATCAAAGGAAAGGTTCTCTCCGAGAAGAGGAGCAGCGACTTGGAATGAGATTTTGTTCTCGGGCTTAATAATACTACAAGGTGTCCGGTTCCGTGATTCGCGCCTGATGGTCACGGAAAAGGATGGCGCTAAGAATCCGAGGAGCATTCCTGAAGCACGATCCCCACAAGGCTCCTGTAACTAGAGCGCATGTCTCGACTTTTTCAATAACTACGTTCCGGAAGCGAACTAAGCCTTCGATCAATCTCTCATCATCTGCAGCGAATCGTTAGCAGATGAAAGACAGAATGCAATCCCAAGCCTACGGCGGCACACCGAGGTAGACGTACTGCTTTCCAAAAGCGGTTTCTCTTCTGAATCTTCGCTCCGCATCCCGCGTCGAATTTCCTTGACTCTAAGGGGTCCAGTGGATTGGTGAGCAACAGCTCCATAGCGACTTCTGCTCATGTGGGTCCGCTCTAGTTCGGCTGAACACTCGCCGAATTCTCTCTCTCTCTGAACGCAGGAATTTTGGGCAAGCGATGACATCCGTCAGCACCAAAACGGTCCGTTCGCATCTGTTGGGACAGTTTCGGCACGCGGCAGACTGTTCCACTTTTTCACAGGCCGAAACCTCCGGTCCACGGCTTCGCTGCGATGAGATCACCACCGCTTTGTCGCGTCTGATTATCGATATCGTTCGGAATCGCATGGAACGTACGAAGCACGAACTTATTGAGCTAATTCGTGAAAGCAAAAAGGCGCATGGAGTCTTTACCGAGCCGAGTGAGGACATCATCCTCAGCTCTCGCTCTTTCGAGAGCGAGCGAGTGAGCCAGCCGACGACGGTAGAGAGCGCCGCGGGTAAGGGATTCCTAGAGCACGAAGCTCCGTGCGAAGGTCAACTCCTCTGCGCCAAGATGTGGCTCACGTCATCGGGAAAAAGTTCTATGGGCCCGTGCGTTCTTTTCGAAGGTTTCCTTCGGAGCGCCGCTCCAGAATTTTTCATCTCGAAATTATTCGAGCGTACAGTTGTGCGTCACGTGAGTCGGAACAACCTCGTGATCACTTGACCTGGACTCTGGATTCGTCCATAAGCGGACACTTAAATAGCACAGCGCTGCGATGAAATGGACGAACAAGTCTCGAACCGAGCAGCTGTGGGATTACCCTTGATGGGAGAGAACGTCGAGGCTCTCGTTCAAGTTGATCACAGTTATTACGGCTCAAAGTGACCGAGCTACAGCGTTAGCTCCCAGAGGGTTTGTGAGATACGACGAGCGGTGCAAAGGAGACAGAGCTCCAACTTGACAAGGACGACGCCGATGAGAAATGATTTTCTGCAGATACCGAGTCTGTTACAGTCAGCAGCCATGACCAGCTTGAGATGTAGCATTCTCGGCACGGAGTAGGATCCCGACCCTTCATCCTCAGTTATCATGTGGTCACGTTGCCATGGACTCTTCATTGAGAACCGTCCGGAAATGCCAGATTTCAGGACTCAATTATCGAGCTGCATGAAAATCGGCAGATAGACCCGGCCTGAGAGTCCAGAGGAGTCAATCGCTCAGAATCTGAGAAACAACGTCGCGAACTCTGCATCACTCGATCCGATCTTGCGGCCGATATTTGACTCAGATGCTCGCAGTCAAGTGTTAGGATGGCGGGCGAAATTTTTCGCGATTCGCGCGCAATCTCATGAGATTATAGCGTCAGTCCGAGAATTCCTCGCGCTCCGGCCGAATTCATGCTTTCTGCCGCTTGATTCATACAGCCGTTCAAATTGCAGAAGCAACAAGAAGGCACTCCGGAGGAGGGATCTCCCTTTCTGTCCAATCGAGACGGGACAGCTCATGAAAATACGCCACCATGTCGGTAGAGTCCGATGACCCAAGTTGAGTCTTATCCGGAACGAATCCCGTCGGCTCATCACAATTTGACAATTAGCATTGGAATTCATTGGAAATTAAGGAGGACAGGTAAGAAGACAAGGGCGGCTTTGCGATAAATGTACAAATGTTTCGATTCTCGCGTAGCGGGGCGAGATTCTCTCCTGGCTTGGAATATTCAGCCACGCTGGACGCTCGATCAGCTGAAGAATAATTCAACAAGAAGCGACCTGACGATCTTGGGTCCCGCTTCATCTGATATTCACGGGAGAATTTTTTCTTAAGATAAAGCGCCCCAGCCGATTTCGGTGGAATCGAAATGTAAGCAGATCCTCATCTTATCCAGGAACTCACCGTCATCGACTTCTCGGGTATTTTTCGGAGGCTCGGCTGGTTTGCATTCCTTGTCGTTGGGTTCATGATGGGATCCGGGTGTGAGGGAAACACTCAGGTCACCCAAGCAAACCATCACGCCCCTAATGCTACTTATTCGCTGTCACAATTCCACCGCAAACTCTGTAGAGACGTTAACCATTCTCACTAAGCGCTGGTTCCATACACATGACGTAAACGCACACGGGACCGTGAGGCAAAATATTTTAATTTAAAGGTTTCCCAGAATCGCCTGTTCGAATATCGACATGGAGATCGGAAGCTCGATCGATAACTCATTCATGGATCCGCCTGCAGCGGATCTTCCCAAGGGATATCATACGAGGGCCGAGATGAAACGGATGATCGCGACATCTAGCGCTCTTCCAACCCACAGCAGAACCCCGACCGAGCGCGAAACCGCGCTGTCAGAAGTGGACACACTGGAACCCGAGGAAAAGATGCCCCATGGATGAATACACCGAGTATCCGCAAAAGAGTCATCATCAGCCCGAGGCTATGAGGGATCGCCGTATCATGGCCACGACTCGATGACAGATGCGGTCGCAGAATCGAGCTTCCTCGTCGCCTCGTTGGGTGATCTGCGGTCCTCCTTGTCGCACCTCCTGCGCGGTCCCCGCTATTAGCGGGTTACGAGTCGGTACACCTCGCGTTCGCGGTTCTCGCGGGTCACAAGTGGGCGATGCCAGAGAATCGATATCAATACGGAAATATCACGTTCGGACTGAAACCAACCATTACAGGGCTTCACCGAATCAGAGTCGCTCGACAAGTCTCCCTTTCTCCATGGCTCACAGCGGCGGACTGGCCTGTCGCGTGCTCACTGCAGGCTAGTCTACGGTGAAATCTCGGTGAGGTTTCCTATCGAGCTTCCCCCAGTACGGAAATGCCCCATCTACACACTTCGGACAAATTTCAAATTCTTCCGTGACCGAGTACTCTCAGGAAGAGGGCATGCAGAAATCCGGTTGCCTGAGATTCTCTTCAAGGGAAGATCCGATTTCCAGCGGCAATCATGAACGCTTGTGTTTGGAAGCTCGAAAGAACTGCGGACGGACAGAAAGTTCACCCGACCAGGTCGTGTAATCGAAGATGGGAGAGCTTGAGTCGATATATCGATGCTCATCGAGCGTCGCTCAACAGGTTGCCGGAGAAGATGGAAGCCTATGTTTCTCTGGCGCGCGGATACCATGATTCGGGTGACGACGATTGGCAGAGCTGAATAGCACCGGCGAGAACGATGCAGCTGTCTAAACTCGCGATCGTCTAATTTTACCGAACCTTGGCACATAGACAAGACAGCAACGTCCCACAACAGCTAATATCGCCGATCATGGGAGTCAAGCACTCCATGTGAATTCTCTCGAGGAACCAGGCTGAGTCCGTAGAATCAGGAGCGGGAAGTTGATGAGGATGCCCGATCGCTATCGGGTCATTTACCCGAACCCGACACCGTAAGGAAGCACTGACCTTGGTGATCTCAGAAGCACGGAATGGCAATCGTGTGGAGGGAGTCTGTCAAACCGCAAGCAAGGGATTCAACCGTAGCCGTCGGTGGAGGATGAGCTTTTTCCCGATCGGCCGTCTACAGACCGCGACATCGGATAGTCTCCATTTTCCTCCGGGCGAGTTCTCAACATCAGACTAGTTAGAGCAAGGGGATTTTCGAGACATTCCGACCTAGATCTTGCGAACCCCGTGATCTGAACGCCGCTGTGCCTCTAGGTGACCGTCTATCTCGAAGGGTGATCCATTAAGTGATAGAATCAGAGGATGACAATCGATCAATGCACTAAATCGACTGTATACAGAATTTCAAACGAGCGCTGTCGGGGGATAGGGGTCGGAAGCCTGAGGATCTGAGCTTCCGAGGAACCCTAGCGAGCTGGAGATATCCGTGGTTTGAAGTAGGAATTCCGCAATTCAGCTCTCGAGGTGACTGGACGGAACGGGTGCGTTATTCACTCACGAGATCTAGCTGAGTGAGCTAGATTATCCTCCATGTGCTCTGATGAGAGCAATCTTGTCCGGAACATTCTTCGACGGAGCGCATTGATGAATTCGGAATCCAAATCACGCGTCCATGCTCCTGTCAAACCAGCTGAATGAGGCCCGAGCGCCCCAGCGGGTCAGAGCGCTCCTACATGAAGGCTCTGGGAATTAGAAAAATACATACTTCGAAGTTTGGGGAGCGACGCTTCCCGCAGAGACGCTTTCAAGTTCCGCCGAAAGTGTGGAAATCGAGTTGGTTTTACGACAACCTCGTAAATTTACTCGGCAGATACTGTTTCGATGGATAGGGAATGGACCTAGAACCCTGCCGAATTCGAAGGATTCCGGTTTCCGCATGGAATTTCTAAATTCTCGCGCGGACCGGGCGCTGCTGGTTTTCCGGTCAGAAACTGGTAAGCCTACCCAGAACTCCTGGCATTCAGAGGGACGGCTTCATTTCGGACGGGCGGCAGTGCAGCAAGTTTCCGCGGGTGCGAGCACACTCGACAATCATTGACTCAGTGATTTGATTTCCAATAAGCCAATAAGGAGAGATACACCGGTGATGGACCCGGAAAGTTGTTAGCAGCGCACTAATGAGATTGAGGAGCTCACAGACGAGCTCAGATCGTAAACACGTGCACACAGAATCACGGTATCACACTCACAGCTGTGGGGACACACTGTACCGGCCTGGAAAAACTCTCCACAGCCGGTCGACTGGGAGAGAGGTAGATGAATTGGAAAGGAACAACGGCACTCCAGACTAGCATGGGTCAAAGCCTAAGGCTGTGAAGTGACGTACGATCATTCACTCAGTCAGTCTGATGTTGAACCATTGATCCTCCACGGACAACGTATCAATCGCGCTCATGCATGGGCGGGCCTATCGTGAACAAGGATGAACGACAGCGAAGCTTAAAAGCAGCAGAGCGCTCCGGGACGGTTAGCTTTGAGCTCGCTTCAAGGGTTCGAGGGTTTCGCCGCTCCGGGAATCTAGGTGATTGCGCCGGGGATCCATCCGAGCCCAAAGAAGCCACGGGAAACAGATGTTCATCGAGTTGTGATGCGACACCTCATAGGCGATGCTCTTCCCCAGCATCGGTAATGCTCCGATCTTGCTAAAATGCAATTCTCTCGGAGCGGCATTCACGACCGCACAAAAGCAAAGAGGAAAAAAATCGGAAACTTTATCCATTCGCCGATTTGGTCGAGTTCCCTCTGCGGAAGATGTTCTCCTTGGAAGGCTGTGGAGCTGATTTGATGGCTATGAGCCCGATTGGCGGGTTGACGGGAACCTTGCAGTAATCTTTTGGGATAAAATTCTCGCGACCGAAGGTTGCTCGAGTTGAGGCTCACTTAAGTTTCATCATTGAGAGATATCCAGCGGACGGATAGGATTACCCACGGAGGGGGCTATTGATTCTTATTTTTTCACGATTCGGATAAGCTCCGATCACGACGAGTCTCGACCGGACTAGATAGCTACGACGCATGCTTTCGGTGAGCTCTTTGTCTAATTGGTGCAGCTGGGATCGATGCAGACAGCAGGATCGATGCTATTGCGTCAACGAGAGTCGAGCCTCCAAATGAGTTGACTAGGAAATTTTGTTCCGTCTCGACGACATTCTCCTCCCGATTCGGAGCCTGGCAGCGAGTTCGCGGATGATGTCTCCTCGCCGCTCGAGTTCCGACTTCGGGAGGCTCACCGGAATCGGCTGGAGCCATGAAGTCGTCCGAGCCACTGGTATGTACTGCTCTTGAAGTAGATTCATCCGCCGCATTGAGGGACGTCGCCGAGAGTCTGACCCCAGGTCCAGCTCAACAGCGATCAACCTCCCTCTCCTCCTCGGGGACAGATTTTGGTCTAAGGCTGAAGCGTTCGATGTCGCTCGTCGGCGCATTTCTTGCTCTGTGTATAGGACAGCTTTTTCCGCGGAATCGTTGCTCCCCGAAGAGCGGCGAAACGTCCTCGATTCTTGAGATAAATCGGAGGAGAAAACCCTCATCCACCGGGGAAAAAGATCCGAACCGGTTCATCAAGAGATTTGCATCCATACAAGCGTCAGGAGAACCGTAAACAACTCCTCCTCGACGCGTGGGAGACTAATTCACCTTGGATCGGACGGTCATGATCCTCATCTTCACTTTTCTCTAGTCTATCGCTCCAGCTAGACTAATCGATGCCGATTCTGCTGGAACGACTGAGCCGGGAGATGCAGGCAGACATGACCACGCCGATATAAAAAACTTTCCAGGAGCAGAATGCTCACGACGAATGCCGGGAACGGCGCGGGTTGCCAACAAAAAATTCCCCAGCTGAAGAATTCGGGGACGCATGCTTCCGGAGCGGAGCATGATCCACAGCATTCCCTCACACCTCATCGTCTATCTAGACTACTCGGTCCAACTTGAGGTTTCAGTTCTCGCTCGGAGTCGTGATTCTCCCAAAGCAGCCGAACGCGAAGTGGTACGAGAGCTGCGGTGCAGTTTCGAGCCTCGAGTGTCATGCTCTGGCCATCCCGCCGAAGCGAATCGACTGTCTCGACTCAGAGGGAGCCAAGAGACTCTGTCGGAAATCTGAGCTCGCCACTCTGGCTGACGAGTACTCATCCCTCGAACTCCAGAAAGCCTGCTCGCTTGGAACGAATGAACGTTGCATCTCAATTCCTCGAACATTCTTGTTCAGACTCCAATACTCGACTCGCGAGCAGTGCGACTCAGTCCGAATGGGGTGAAGAAAGGCGAATCTTGGGCCTTCCGGATAGAACAGCATGGAAGGAAGCGGAAAACAACTCGTGGGCAAAGCCATCGAAACCGCTTCATCGCCCGGGCAAACTCAGGAATGAGAGGGACAGCGACTTACAGACAGCTTCTCCAGCTCGGGATTGTCTACTCCGCTCTATCGTTCACCTTCTAGATAAATTAAGAATAATCGCGGCCGGAGAATGTCCGAATGGCGACGCGCGTGACTTTCAGCCCCAGTTTCACATTTCATTGAGTGCGTGCAAGTACTAGACTCTCAGCCTAGCCAGTGGCAGCCTACCGCTACCGCTCCATACGGTAGACAGTCACGTTGAGCCGACGTCTCCATGACGCCAGAATGACGCACATTCGAGCACTCATCGCGATGACACTCGCGCGCCTCGGGCCAGACACCGGTGTCAGAGCGTGTTGGGACCGGAACGACGAGACGGCTCTCAGCACGTGGGCAGATGTCGAACTCGTGGCGCTTCCGAGAGCGCTCATGGCCGTCACACGAACCAGGGCTTCCCGAGGCTCGAGCTCCCGGTTCGATGGGAAAGCTTCGGAAAATCCTGGACTCGATCGATCGAAGTTCCCCGTCGAGGGGAGAGTCATGGAGTCAATGGGAGTTTCGCTTCGTGCCACGTAATTCCCCTCCGGAGACGGCAGCGCGACTTGCGTCAGCAGCTTTCGGAGTCTTTCGTGGAGAAAGGTCTTCGCTCGGTCCTCTAGGGAGCACTATGAAATAACTCGCGGCTGTCTGTATGCTGATGATGTACTCCGAACAGAACGCGCGAATGAATCATCCTTCTGGACACATGGGCGTGAGTAGCACTTCGAAGCATTTGGTTCGAATCGATTTCTCCCTCCGTCCGTCTGAGAAGCGCGTTCCATTACGATCTGGGCAAAGCTCCGGTTGCGGGTTTCGGTGCAGCGGATAGCTCGTGAGATTTGGAGCTTCATGAGTCACTTACCTAATATGAGGAGTTCTTTCTCTTCGAGGGCCGTACTCGCGGCGGTGGCTGAGCTGCGTGAACTATCGCCCATATTCGGCGGTTCAGCTCATCGGAAAACAATAACAAACGCGCACATGGTGTTCACTCTTTCTTCGAATCGTCGATATACTGAAGTGGGAGCATTCCCGCCAAACGCGCATATAGCGACAGAAAGCCGAACGAGACGTTCACAGCGGCGACGCTCTAAGGCCGGTTGCTTCGGGACCTCGGCTCAGAGTTCGTCCCATGAACGAGCGAGGTAACAAACCGACCACTAGCACCACCGCCGGGTGCGAGAGAGGAGAGAATACGGCGGGCCATAGGGAGACGGCCACCACATGGGACAGTGTGGAAAGAATCCGAAGAGGGCGCCACCCTCAGGCCCTCTAAGCGAGTCACTCCGGCTGACGACTGACTACCGATTACATAGAGAGCAACAGGAACAACAACAACAACAACAGCGGCAACATCGATCCTAGGTTATCAAATTCTGGAGGGTTTTCGGAGCTCTTCGTGGCGATCACGAGACGGAGCTTCCGCTCCAGCCTCTTCATGTGTTGCCAAGTCTCTTCATGGGCTCTATTATGTATTCTGTGCCAAGAAACGACTCTAGACTAACCGAATTAATTTTGACTGTTTATGTCTAACGAGAGCTCCTGATGAAAAAGATCGCATGATGTCGTGCGTGATAATCCGCTGCAAGAGTTTCGGCCGAGTAAAGTCATTCGTGAGCTTGTCAACCCCGGGTCAAAACAGGATCATTTAGTCTTATTGCTCGATCAAAGTAGCTCGTGATCGCCACTGCGCAAGCGAACGGAATCATGACTCCCCATTCTTCGATTGCAGAAATTTCGTCAGAAGTGATTCAGATGTTGTCGCCGATCATCATTCGAATCACTGGCATTCATGTGTCGCCATGAGCAACAACTACGCGAGGAGCTAGAACGACGGCGCGGCATTCTTTCTGTAGGTCTCGATGGGTTGGGGTCTGGTGGGCAATCATTCGAACTCAGGACTATTCGATGCGTTTGATTGCATGATCTGTGTTTCGGTGCAGCTGTGATTGTGCAGGAGATCTTGCATAGGATATCCGTACGGAACCCGACGCCTGGGATTCGGCGGATGAAGGTGATATCCGACGTCTCCAAATTGATATGGGCCGTACCGTAATTTACCGTGCACAGAGCATACATGATGATAATAATTGTCTGCTCACGTGGTGGTCGCTCGAACTGAGAATATTCGCGGGGCTCATATGACCTCCTTGAGCAACGACCTGACCCAGAACTTCGAAGAGGGACATTATAGAATTATTCGTTGCGCAAACCCGAGATGGCCATGTTTCCTCGAGGGAAGATGAGCTCAAGATCCGTACGGGTTATTGCACTGAAGTAACAAATTCCATCCCTCCCAATAGGTGCGAGGTTCATCACAGTCCGTGGCGTGCCCGGAGGAGGGGGGCATGGGGCCATGAGCCATGAACCCCTTCCCCCCCGAGATCTCTCCCCGACCCAAAGGGCTCAATGTCGAGGCTCGCCATCATCGGTAGTTGGTTCTTAGCAAAGCAATGGCCCTGCCTCCCCCCTCACAAGAAAAATCTCGGGCCCGCGCCTCGTCAATCTTGACCATACATTTTGTAAACGTATGTCCGTGAGGGATCTCAGAGGAGCCAGGACACGGCTTCCGAGAAGATTCGCGAGCAGCTTCTGCATTTTCGACGTTTCTCTGACGATCGCTCTCTGGGGACCTTCATAAGAATAGATCGACTGGGTGCTCATCCGCTTTGTATTTGGGCAGAGAGGCTCGAAGAACTGACACCGGAATCAGGCCCAGAACCAGGACTCTCGCCCCCATCGGAACATGAATCCTCGGTGCGATTTAGATGATGATTCTAAGAGTGAGCGACTTGCGAAAGTAACGACGAGCGGCGCATGAGCACCCTACAGGAAAGAGTATCGGACGGTGGGGCTCGACTGTGCCTGATATGAATTGCTAATGAAATATAATCTATGAAATTCGCGTACTGATAAGCTCACCTTTAGGAGGTCCATCGGGCTCCCTAGCTGCGACCTGACGCTTTTGCCCCGTGTATATCACAGCCGTTGGCTTCCGTAGCGGCTCGCCGTTATCGAAGGCGGCATTCAAGTGGCCACCAGCGGAATCGATTCGATTCATGACTATGGCGGCAGGGTTCACTGCCTAGAAGGAATTGAGTTAAGTTTCGCAGGAGGGTAACGAAGATTACTTTCATCCCATACGTCGGGTTGAGAACCGAGGTGAGCACAGGTGTTGCGGCAAGTCAATTGAGCGGGGAGCGGCGAAGCCAGTTCATTGTCTGCTCCCTGTGTTCACTATGCGCTCCACATTCTGTCAAATCGGGAATTGTATAGGGTGTCTCACGGTCCCATCGATCTCGAGCGGGCCGGAAGGGCGCTCCCCGTCATCGTTTAGCCTCCATCCTAATGCCAAAAACTGCCGTGGTCACGGAAGTTTGTGATTTTCAGAAGGTCTTCAAATGTCGTGGTCTTCTGAAAATAGTTGAACGAAGGACTGATCCGCTCTGGACCGCATCGGATATTCATGTGTACTCACCTGGATCGCTGAGCGCTCAGTCCGAGTTTGAGGATTCACCGCGGGCAGACTGTCCCTTCCCAGCGCAGGAAATTAGGAAGTGATTCCCGAGTATTCGAATGGGTTCCGGCGCCTGCCGAATTGCTGGCTCGGAACCGCTGTCGTTGCCGATCCACTGCGTTGACGGAATGTCGTTCAGCTGCGCGAGACATGGCTTCAGAGCAGAAAATGAATGAGAGCGAAGTCCTTCTTTCTTAGGCGAGTGGAAGCAATGAGCTGAATTATTCTGCCTAGCTGTAGCTCAACACGCAACTACAGTCTCGTAGTGTGAGGTGGAAGAGCCTTCCTTGAGATTGATGTTCATCACAGGAAGGAGCGAGCGAGATCCGAGCAAGGAGACAGCGCGGGCATTCCGTCGTCGCCGTCGGGGAGGGCTATCAATGAGATCCCTCGAGCGCTCATAGCGAGATCCATTCGTACCTGTTGGGAGGCCGAGCAATTTTCTTTTCCGAGCCACATCCAGAGCCTCGGGTGTGCGGGAATTTCGAGCCTGGCGATCTTGAATCGCGCCTCGAAAAGGCTCCCGACGAATGTCTCAGGGTGCTCCGCTCTGCTAAACGACAATTTCTCCAAAGAGAGCATTCCTTCGGCTCACGGTGAAGTAGGCACTAAGTACGAAAAGTCATGTCGGATTCGGAATGCAATCTTCACGTGGTTCTCATGGGATCACAAAGATCCAGGCAAGCGATTCCTCGGAGCTCCACGCGTAACACGTCGATTTGCGACTCTGTTCCGAAGTCGTTTCAACGCTGTTCTCGAATCAGAGTCTAACTTCACGCGCTGCTCGTTTCTCACAAGGAAGCCAAGTTGAGACGGAGGAAGTCCGATTTTCTGTCGTGATCATTTTTTGCCCATCGCGGCATTCAGTCGACAACACATCATGTTTTTCAACATGCGTACAAGCTTCGACAGTCGATTCCCAGTGAAGGGGCAAATTCTTCGTTGATACGCTCTACGGGCACCCGAACTGACGGCTTCAGGGGAGGAAAGTAGGGCAGCGTTGTAGGGGTCGAGAGGGGTCATCGAGAGACCGATGATCGAGTGGGGAGACGGAGAGGGAGCGCACAGATAGAACGAGATCCTCATCTACCCTCACCGACACTCCGCAAGCGCTTGACTTGGGCCCCTGTCGGACGGTACGTGCTGCTGGACTCAGTCTACCACAGTCTATCAGCCGGTCAGCGAACCGTCATGCTTACCTGGAGCTCACATCTGGACACGGGTCACCCTTTCGTGGGAGCATAGATCGCCTTCACAAGGCGGAGGCCCCGGAGTACGTTCCACCTTTTTTTTCGACTTCTTGGAACACGTCTCAAACGAGGCGCCTTTCGGGTGGACAAATATTGGTGGGATCACATTCGGAGTCCGCAAACGCTTGAGGTCGAATCTGCGGGTACGACGACTAATGTGGCGGGATAACCCATGAGCGAGGAGACGATGCAAAACTCTCGATGGAAAGTTTTCCGGAAGCCAGAGTGAAATTGCGACCAGAACTGGTAGTCCATCCGACTGCTCCCGTGGAGCCTTCCTCGCTCAAGAAACGAAGGGCATTGCGGGAGGAACCATATTCACCAGAACTTTTTTTTGCATCAGGACTGGATTCACAACCGGACCGGACCGAGGAATGGTGGATTCGGCATACACGGAATCTGGCAAGTGGAATCCGAATACGGGGGAATACTGAGATCTCCCCGGTATTCCGAGAAGTTCGTTGCGTGATTCAGCCTCTGTCTACCGAGACTTTGTTGACTAGCTTGTTTCTCCCCATCGCTCCAAATTGGCATGTCCGGCAGATCAGGGATACGTTCCAGTCACGGAATTGCGAAGCGATCCCGCGCGCCTGACGTTCGAGAAGATTGAGTGACACGATGGGAGGAAGCGCTATCGCCTATCGGCACGGTGTTGGGGAAATCAGCGACTTACCGACGTGACCTCACTGCACGCGAAAAAAATTTCCCGCTGTCGTCTGCATCGTCGTACGCGAGGACTTCAGCGCACGCTCACGATGGATGCGTCTAGATCCTGCTCTCTCAAGGAGATTTTCCAGTTTCCTCTTCCAGTTGGGATAATCAGACTCGAGAATTGTTGCATTATTGGTCGTGCCATACTCCTATGCAGCCAGCGCAGCTCCCGAGACTCGATTCTGATCGCTCGATCACCCGCATTGAGTGGAGGCAATGAGCTGGATGATGAAAATTGTGATATCATTGTCGAATCTGTTCTCCAGTGTGAGGGAATGTGTCTCGATCAAAAACTTCTCAGTGGATGAACCAATCGATGTCTTCGGAGCCCGAGCCGTTGGCCAGCCGCTCCCGTTATTCATAGAACTGAATAAACCACTCTAGCTGTCCCCTGCGGGTGGTCCTGATTAGCAAACCGAGCCCCGAAGACACTTCCGCATGTGTCCCTCGGTCGATACGCTATCGTTTTGAAGAACGACGAGCGATGTTCCATTCGGACATCTGTTCCCGCTATTTGCGAGAGGGCCTTAGATATCACGAGTTCCCGCTGTATCAGTCCAGTTTGACTGAATCGGAGAGTGTTTCATGAATTTCGAAAGTGAAGTGGGCTGCAGAGCACTCATCTCCAGAACAGATTGTGAGGTCACAGGCCACGCGCAAACGTGACCGGCGAGGGCTTTACGAAGCTTTGCGATGAGCTTCCGGGTCCTCCAGACCTGCCGGATTCGAGTCGAGCTTTTGAGCGGACAGAGTTGCTCGTCATGGAATGTCGTGTCCTGCGATGGATTCTGAGTCAAAAGGTTGATTGACAGCTGCATCGATGCTGGCCGTCGACTTGTGATTGCCAGTAATCGACCTTGATTGTCCTGGTGTTGATTTGATTCGCATGACTGCGATATTGGATTGGTGCTCGAGCATCGAGAAAGGCTACGCCTCTCACGGTACTGTAGGACGAATTACCCTCTAGGCTCTAACACCAGAAATGAATCCCCCATGTCGTTCTTCGAACTATCCAAAAAAGGATGGTTAGTACCAAGCAAGTTTCTCTGGGCGTATTGGTTTTCGCCGGGTCTGTGTTGGTGGTTTTCGGTGTACTGTTCGGTCTCTACAAGGCTTTGGCAGGTGCCAGAGGCCGACCTGTGTCATCCGCTCTTCTCCACGCGACCAGGTAAGTGGAGGCGAAGATTTGAGTGAGTCGATGCCATGTCATGTGAGCCGTGGATTGATTAGAATTTTTCTTCCCGGAGCGCGGGGGGATAGGGGCGAAATAGGGTTTTGGGGGTTAGGGGTCTGAAATATTGGAGCGTCCTCTACTCTAACATTACTAGACAGAGATTCTGTAGAGGAAAATTGAGCTCTCCAGGATACACTCCCGCAGGGGAGGAGGATGCACTTGGAAACTTCGAGAGAATGAATCCCTTCCGACTTATTTTTTTTACCATAATTATCGCCCACCGAGATCATTCTTCCCCTTACACATGTGTATTTTGCTCGAAATGAAAGTCGGGTCTGAAGTAAACCCTACCGAAGTTGAGTTGCGTTCACCTTTTTGCCAGACTGGGATACGACCCGTGCGTGGAGATACCCTTAGAGAAAACGACGTGCTACACATTGGTGATACTCAGTCACACGAATAACGAAGGCTTGCGAGACCTGCTAGCATTCATTTACGCCAACGAAACCGTCAAAAGAGACTTTTGCTTCGAGCCCATGGTGGTGGTATTCAACGGAAACGACAATAATTTCATCACGAGCCGCATCGAGAATGAATTCGGACAGCCGACGGTCGTGTTCGAGAAAGTGAGCGCGGGCTTCCTAGCTTTGCTGCGGAAGCGAGATCATCCCTACGTATTCGTACTGGATTCGTTCGCGCCGCATCCGAGACAACTGCGTCAGGTACCTACTTCATTCGAGATTGTTGCAGTCTCCAGATGTCCATGCCGTATTTCTCCCGATTCTTTTCGGTTGCTTAGGATCCCGCATGAGAAATAAGTCAAGTTGGATACTTCTCGCGCAGATAGTCAGTGATCAAGGCCAGACGTGGAACTGTACCCTGCGTTACTGCTCAGTCTTCGAACGGCTCTTCTCGCCGACTGCTTGTGGCAGCACTTGCTCCATGTCGCTCAGCCCAGCACTAACAGGTGAGCGATTCGCACCCTTCGAGAGCCGCACCCGACCAGCACAAATAAAAATATGTGAACCCTGAACCTGAACGCACGCGATCATCAACGATCAGCGAAGACTGGCACGAATCCCGGGGAAATTAGGCGCTCGAGGAGGTCGAATCTAAAAGTCTCCGTAGAGAAATGCTCTGGAGTAATCAGTGACTTTTTGTCGCTCACCACCCGACCAGAGCATTTCGGAATTTGTGTCAGCCGAGTCCAACGGCCTGTCGTTGGTTTATGTGCGAAGAGCGAGCAAATCCGAAACTAGGCCACCGAGCTCGGGGCGGAAGCAAACGGATGGGCCCTAGGCGCCAGCCTTTGCCTGAAAGTAAGGCCGCGGTCATCCTCTACACAGAATGAGCTCGATGGCGAGTCCCGCCCCGATGGTATCATCGCGCTTGACCTACTCGACAACCATGGAATCCTATAAATGGGGATTAATAAATAATCGACCATAAGGTCGAGTGTCGAAAGCACTCCCTGAGTCGCGCGGGAACCTTGCACCGCTATAAGAAGTCGCCAGCGTCGCTCTTTTGGCGGAGCAGGTCCAGCGGCGCGGCCCTCTCAGTTAGTCGATTTTTCTGCGGGAGCAAAAGCGAGGCATTCCGTCAAGAAGCTCCGTTTATCTTCACCGACGGGCAAATACCCGATGGTACACTCTCTACCCGAGAAAGTTTTCATAAGCGATCGCACTGGGTTATATTCGAGGCACGGCACGGCTAAGCAGTCAATAAAGCTCAACTGAGAACGGACTTCGGAGAGCAAAGTCGAGGGCTAAAATATTCTGCCTTAAACTGCATGAAACTTCTGCTCGGGGAAGCAGAATTTGAATCAACCCGACCGGTGATCTTCGCAATGATGACCCCGCCCCTGCACCTCAGAAAGGAAGCGGTGCTATAGTCCCCAAGCTCTCCTAAAGAGGGATGCGTTGGAGAACCCCGGCGGCGCGGCGTCGGCCCCAAAGGATCTACATGTTCTCTCCCCACAGAGATAGCGATCCTCTCTTAAAGCATGTTCATTCTCGACAGGATGCGCGGTCTCATCAATGGTTTTCGACAGGAGGGCAGAGTTTTTCGAACGGTGGTCTTTCGCCCAGGACGTCCAGGTACGCCCGGATTCCCTCCAGCGTCGCTACATTCAACCAAATTTAGAATAACATATGGGCCGCCGATTCAACAAAAGTGGAAAAAGCACGTATTGATCCCGCGCATGCTCCCTCTTGCAGACCTCACTCTTCACCGCGCTCCCAGAGGGATCCTCTGTTTATGAAGTCCACAAGGAACGTTCTAACAGCATATCGGTCCAACGAATGGTCAGGCATCACCGTCTGTATTACCGACCGAGCTCTGGTACTGGGTGAGGCTGTGAATCAGACACCTACGAGCGATCCGGAAGCTCTTCTGAAACACTTTGGAGCGGAAAATCCTAGATGCAGCCGAAGGACACGATTCCACGAGAAGACCGGAACGATGGTGATTCGAAGCTCGTGCAGGAATCCTCTCTGAGTCTCCGTGAAAAGCCGCTCGATGACGCTGCCTCCCCTCGCTTTTCCCAACATTAAACTTCTTTTACCCTTCCCCTATCAACTGTCTAGCCAAAATAATTAGGATCCGCCCCCGAAGAGATCCGCTGTGTGCAAGGAAGCCCAGATCACGAATATGCAGCTCATTCACATAGTTTATCATCGCTTGGACCACCCTGATTACCTGGGCCAGGGTTTATGCTGCATTTCCTAAATCTGATTCTCCGTTTCCTCCCCCTTTGAGAGGTTTGCGCTGCTGATGTGACTCTCCTGAATAACTTTCCGACCCAGATATAGACTGATTCCCCCTGGATGAGGGGAATCCGGGCCTGATTCTCGTGTACAATTGTACAGCTCTCCTACTCGTGCTCAGCCGATCTCAACGCGGGAAAGTCGCCAATGAGAGGGGTCCCTAAGGATGAGATCCCTGAGAGGACCCTAAGGATGAGATCAAGAGGTCTCTATCATGACTTATATCACGATCCGTGGTCAGATGAATCCATCTAAGATGATAAACATTCTAGAGGCGAAATAAAGTACTTATGTAGCCACTCTGATCTCTTTCCTCTCAATTTTCCCATCGGAGCGCTTCCCGACACCTGTAAATGCAAAAAGGGCAGGAACTCTCATCGGAATTCACAGGCTGGATCAGATCGGAATCGAATCACATGCTTAGTTGCTTTTTTTCGAGCCCTCGACGACTCTCACTCAGCGATGGATTGTAATGGAGGAATGATTTCGAATAATGGCGGAGAAGAAGGGGCAGAGGTGGAGATGAAATCCGTGGAAAATACATTCTCTGTCTACCGATTAGTATTACAATACCCTCAGGCCCGCCGCGCTGGCATTTTTGGGCGCCGTGTCTCGAATGATGACTCGCAAAGCCTATCTTTTGCTAGGCGCCAAAAAACGCCGAATAATCAAGGACTCGCTGACGGTCTCCTGGGAATTCAGTGTCTCGAAGGAAAGGGTCACCTGTGATTCTCTCATGCGAGCTAAGGAATTTCGCTCCCGGTAGACGGCTACGCGCTACAGACTTAGAAGTCGAAGGAACAACAATCCATGTGGGATTCATCAAAGTCTCCTTCTGGGGATATCGATTGCTCTTCGAGGCGTCGGGAGCTCATGACTTGATTGTTAGTCACCTTATCACAAAGCGAGGCTGCGCCGTAATGTATGGAATCCGCGAGCTCCTCGAAATCGCTCCACGCCGCGCCGCAAGATTAGTCAGTACTCCCGAACGCGGATCGTGACGTGGGCTCGTCTAATGAGGGGATTGTAATCGTATATTATGGACTACTTGATTGAAGCAACATACTTAGCGCCTCGGTCCGACTCGTTTTGGAGACGTCTCGAGCCGTCCGCTTCATCCGGCTCCGTAGTAATCGACAGATTTCCTGATCGGAATTCCGCGGAATGCTGGCGCTCCTCTCAAGCGTATCTGTGTCAGGATCCGAGCGATCATTGCCAAGTTTCACAGGTCACCCAATGGTCAAAGCGTCTCGGCATCGACTAATAAGATCGAACTGGCGAGCGCTAGACCAGTGACTCCTAGAGCGGACTCCCTGGAACCCCGAGGTTCCAGCCGGTATCCACGCTGGATTTTCTGTTTCGTTAGCTCCATTACTCAATTTAGGTTCCGAAATTATACTCAATGACTAGACATTCCCTCATTTTCCCTTAATAACCTCTCTGTGCAGGTGACCCAGGTGTTGTGCTGGCTCCCTAAAAATTTCCATCGGGCGCGAAATCGTTCAAGGAGTTTGAATATAACATTTAAATATTGGAGAGCTATAGGGCTCCACGGGGGTCCCTCGCATGGCGGGAGAGCTGAGAAGGGCTCTACAACGAAGAAAAAGTTGATCTAGACGATTGAGACGACATGGGAATCTGACGAACTGCTGCCGGTTCCGTAGCTCGACTTCACTTTTGGCTTCGGTCGGAGGAACGGGTCCAAATAGCTAAGGTCGAGCGGCCCGTCAACGAGTTCGGGGCCGATCAGCCGAGCTTCATACAACGTCTTAGCCAGAGATCCGGATCGAAATCAGTTTTGCGGACAATTACAGAGATTATCCGGGAGCAGAGTAGCTCCATTTGATGTGGTACGCCCTTCAGCATCGATTTCGGCATTGTGATCCGACAAGGAGGAGCAGATGAATATAAATCCTCCTCGTCTCGATACTCATGGGCTTGGATCGCGTTGCTGTTTTCGTTTCTGTCATCTCGTGTATACGCTCATTTACGAAGCCCATATTTTATTCATCTGTTGACCTCATCAGTGTCGTGCATATGTACCGACCGGAGGTGTGGCCTTTCCAAGGGGGGGATGAGCGCTCGGACTCGATGAGCGGCATGAGTAACGTCCTCCTTATCCGCATTTGACGGGCGCCTGATGCGAGCAGCCGCCTCGGAGCTTCCAGGCTTAGAGGTGAGTGGTTCTATTCCTGTTTCCGAAAGGGAGCATCGTTTCATCCTATACTCGCATCGCTGCAATAATCTCACTGATTTCGCCGAGCTCTCGGCGGAGCGCTGAGATCACCCGATACGACCCGATCCGGCGCGTCGTAGGGGACGGAGGAGATTCACGTCGAAGGTTTCATTGCAAAAAAAGTATCTGGCCCCGTCGATTGGCCTTCCGAACAATAAACAATCGAATTCGGCCGTAAGGGTACGAGGCCAGAAAGAAGCGGACCCTGTAAACAATAATTTTGTCGGCGGAGCCGTCCAACACTGATCGGGCTGAATCACTTCATGGGCCCTGGTGTTCGTGTAGGAATACGCTCACGCCTAGGATCTCCTCCTTCTCAAACGTCATTCCGACGCTGTAACATCGAAGGTCCAGCCGCTTTCGGCGCCGTGTGTGTCATGCCATCGACTCTGCAGAGCTGTTCTTGCGTGCGAGACTCAGTGGCTTACGACTATCGCCTCAGCTCCCAAGTTCGAGATTTAGATGTGGATCCATGTCCAGGCCAGACTCCAGGGATCTCCGTTGAAATCTGTGCTGACAACTGACAACTGGTAGAGAAAAACTCACTGTCCGTCACAACCGTGTTCTGAACTCCAGTGGTGAGAGAACCGCCAGTGCGCTGTGGCTGGAGTGGATGCGGAAGGCTCTCCGATCTCATTAGGCACGTCGAGGGAACTCACCGGGCAGCAACCATGGACGACGCTGCACCCCCACGTTCGATGACTGCCCACGTATTGGACTTCCTCTTCGAGTATCAGACCCTCAAGATAGTGAATATTGGGAATAAAAAAATTGGATTACTCAACAGATGCATTCAAGGAATTATTGTGGCATACATCATTGGGTGAGTAGAGAAATCAGAACTGCAGTGATTCATCACGAATATGAAATGAAATCAGTGGGATTCTCAGTCCAACATGTGCTGCCCTTTCTATTGTGTGACTCTCGGACAGTCAAAAAGAACGAAAATTCTGTTGTCAATGTCGAAGCGCCGAGATTGATCCGTCATAAGACTACAGCGCGCGTGACACGGGTTAAACATGTTGTTGGAGTTCAACGGTATACTGATAGACCTGATCTCTTTTATTTCTGCTCTGTGCGTTGCCATTACGATTCGGACGAGCATGGAATATCGTGTCATGAGCCTCTCGATGATTCCAGATACGTTATCGTGTACAGCAAGGGTTACCAACACTTCAGTCCCTACAATTCGGCTACCACCTCGAAGGTATTCGGAGAATCGTCCAAAGATCCCTCGTCAGATTAAAGAGAACCACGGAGGATCTGACGCAGAACCCATCGATAGCAGAATAATCTCAAGGATTACCTACAAAGAAATTTCCAGGTTAAAGGCGTCATTTCAACGAAAAATCTCACTGACGACGACTTCGTCGAAAACTTCAGAAACAAAGACGATTATAGGAGAATTTGGGATGTCTCTGAAATCGTGATACCGCCCAGCGTGAGTGAACTGGCTACCTCATGGAATTTTTTGATGATGATTTGCATACCTCGCGACGATCTTGTCCCGGGATATTGAGGTTGAGTTTTAACGAACTGACACCGAATCATTTTATGGGGGCCGTTTCTCAGGAGGCAGATGCTTTCTTCTTGACAACGAATCTCATCATGACCAGACAAGGCCGCGACGTGTGCTTCGAAGATCCATCTACACCGAACGTCCAGTGCAGAGGACCGTCCGACTGTCAGAAGGGGCGCGTGGACCTTCTGGGAAACGGTGTGCAGGTTAGCTTGAAGGGCCCCGAGTCGCCAAAATAGTGAGCTAGCAATCCGTCATTCCTATGCTAGAAGCAATGGAACTTCCCAACGTAAATGTCTCAATGGGATCCTGAGAAATGTAACCGTCGCTTTTTCCCCGAAAAATATCCCGTTCATCTGTCTGCAGACCGGGAAATGCGTGAATACGACAGAGCCTTTCAAACTTGAGTCTGTCTGCGAAATCGACGGTTGGTGTCCACCGGAGTACGACAGAGGTCCGCTGTGAGTGACTCATCCGTTTCCGCTCCACGATCATCGAAATCGGAGGAGTCACATTCAAAAGACAGAGAAGGAGGCGGGTAGATCAATATTCCTCACGTACTTTTGATCTTCCTCAGGAAAGACAATAAACCGCTATTTGCCAAGGTCGAGGATTTTACTGTGCTCCTGAAGAACTATGTGGAGTTCTCTCTGTTCAACTTGACTCGGTCGGTAAGACACCTCGTGACGGAATTGTCTGATCAATGAGTCCGAATTCGAAACCATTGCGCGATTGATTCGGTCATTTCAGACGGAACATACGGGATTCTGACACTTCGAAATATTTGACATCCTGCAATTATGACCCCGTGAAGGACCCTGCATGTCCTGTCTTCCGGATCGGAGACATCTTGAAGTTCTGTGGGATCGACATGTCCCAGATCGGTAGCAAAGTAAGCGAATGCGCAATCATTCGGCTCCCTCCAGATGATTTGACCCGGTGACATCAAGAGATGATATCCCGACAAGCTATAGGAATTGAATTTTCTTCTCCCCGAAACGAAGGGCGGTGTCATAAGGATCACTATCAATTGGGATTGTAATCTGGACTTCAGTCTTGACTACTGCACGCCGACCTACCACTTCATGAGAATCGATGATCCTTTTGCAAAAGTTGCAAAAGGCTGGAACTTCCGTTACGCGACGGCACAAGGCGACAACAATCGGACCCAGTTCAAGGTAAATTATGCTGCAGTGCCTCTGTGGGCGATTTGCCTTCATCTCGCTCCTCCGTCCATCTCTAGATGTCACTGTTCTAGTGGCGATGAGCGCTGGATCTTGCCGGGCAGACACTATTGTTCCAGGCGCTGGAGAGGGAGATTAGTTGGGAAATTATGTTGTCAGCGAGTTGGGAATCTCCAAGGAGCAATTCGATTGCGGTGATGACAATCATTTCTATTTCTTCCCTCTAGGCCTACGGGATAACTTTCCGAATTTCAACGCTCGCTCGCGGAGGAAAGTTTTACATGGTCAACCTCGCCGTGAACATTGGCTCGGGTCTGGGGCTCCTGGCTTTGGTGAGTTGAAATTAGAGGATGTATACCGCGATGACGTCAAGTACCGAACTAGCCGAAAATCCTCGGTATCAGCGCCTCGGATGTCGATCTATCATTCTCCTTCTCCATCTAGGCTACCTTCGTGTGCGACTTGGTCGTTCTGAATTGTATGAAAAAGAAGGAACTGTACAAGAGGAACAAGTTCCGCTTCGTCGATCCCCTCGAAGACCCTGAAGCCTTGGATGATTCTTCGCTGGATTACGGAAGGTAGATACAAATGGAGGCTTACGCTGCCACTTGTGAGAGATCCTTATGGTGTAAAGTCGCATGATTTTGGATTTTCGTCCCCAGAATACAATAATCCGAAGGACTTTTGGCTTGAGCACCGATAACCCCACCATCCAGCTGCACGACATCCACGCTTTTGCTCTTTATCGGCATTCGCTCATGACTTCTCGTATCCTTCCCACATTGCTCTTATCACGATGAATCATTCCCAATATCGCTTGAAATCTGACATTCTTCGATGGTTTCAACTTACCAGTCTTCTCTAAGAGAGCATACAATCTTGCCATATTCCCGCTCAATTTTCGTCCGAACTAATTTGGAATATCCCCAAGACGACCCAATCGAATCAAACGGAAGAAGGAAGCCAAGACCCAAGTAGCGGAGAGCAATGCGGAAGCGTCCAAAAAGGATATCTCCCTTGAAACAATCCGGGAAATGTGACGGCGAGCCCTGGGCGAATATTCATCTGATCAAGTACTTGAGGGCACAGTCAGTGAGCCGAGATCACGATCTCGATCTTGCGCTGGCGGATGCCTGCAGAGTGCGCAAGTGTGGTAGATCGCAAAGCTCCAGAAGGCCGAATTCTCTAACTGAATATGTACTCCGAGTGCGGAAGGTCATGCTCGTCTCTCAGAATGGGCGCCTTGGACCTTAGCGAGTTTCGAGCCGAAATGATGTAGAGTAGAGGGATAGTTTCAACAGTCGAACTCGTCTGAGCACGGTCATCAACTTGAGCGGACTTGAGTCACAGATTCTCGCGAATGAATCTCTTCAGGGAGGTCGCAACCTCAGTAGATCATTTAGGTTCTCAGGAGTCACTCCGACGTCTTTCAAGAGAGGATTACCGAAAAATACACCAAGCTCATAACAGTACTCACTCGCAAGACGCGAATAGCAAGCTTTGCTCGTTCGAAGAAGATTCACCATGTTAGAAACCGCTTGGATCGTTCAATCTCATCAATAAACACTCATCTTCCGAATGCCGTCATTCTGAGTTTTTCTTCGATGATGATCCGTACCAGGATCCTCGCGGAGCTCGAACCATCCATGAGCCCGCCCGGAGGCTCGGACATGTGCATGGATATAGGGGAACGCTTTCGATCACCGATCACAGTCTAGGATGGCTTCAGTCGGTCGGATGCCGTTAAGGGAAGAATTCGGCATTCGGCGTCTTCGGGCGATGAGTCTCCAGGACACACCCGTGGAATTGAAGAGCAGTGAACCAATTCTCCAGGAGAATTGTGAATTCTAACCTATGGGCTTGGGTCTCGGACAGAGTTTCCTGCAAGCTCGACCGAAATAATCCTCGTATGATTCGTGTCTCATCTGTGCGTCAACAGGAGCTACCTTCCACGGCTTGGGGACGTCGAGGAGCCCTCTCCCACGAATAATGCCAAGAGCTGAAACACTATCTCGATGATCTGGTAAGGTGATATTTATTCACATCAAGAAATAAGTTGTCGGGTCTATACGACGACAAGGTATGGTCGACAAGGCAGGATTACACGCGGTCATCCATCGGCGCAGATCTTTCCATGATTCCTCCACAACGGGCAAAGTCAAACTTAGCGCGGCTTAGAGTCATCGAACTCATCTCTCATAACAAGCTACGACCTGACATTGAAGTCGCGAAATTCGACTTCCGCTAGAGGAAATCTCGCGCTATCGCCCAGGAAGATTCTGTTTAAGCGCTCGAATTGGGGTCCGACTTCTGAGTAGCAGGAATGCTTCTGATCTATAGGGTATGATATTCATCTGATTAAGGAGGCGTAATCTGAAAGCTGGCTGAGCTCCACGTTAGGGGATTTTTCTGATAAGGGGAATCTATCTTACGGGGAGTTCACTTCATACCGAAAACGGCCTCCAGGCCGAGAGCACCGTCGTAAGCATTGCCGGCCCTGTATGGATTCCTGTCGAATAAGGTGGATATAGCCTGTGCAATCATCTTATCTCAATGCCCCCACTCTCTCGCATGGGAGAGAGCGCGCGTTCCCCATTTAAGATTCTTCTCGCTCTCCCCTGACGGGACTCAATGATTCCAAGCCTCGGAGGTCGTGATCTCATATCATCGGTTCGAGCTCTCCACAGATAGAGTCTCCTCCCTTGGGAGATATGAATATGTTCCTGAAGGGACGCGTCGGGACCCGATGCGCGAGATCGGCATCCCGGAACGATCATGATGACGAACATGAGGAATTCCTGGAGCGAAACCCTTATTTCCGTATACCGTGGGCGGTTATTGAATTGCCCATAGTTCGATGATAACGCTGTGGTAACCGAAGCGCACCCGCCACGAATCAATCACGGATTCGCTGCTGGGAAACCGACTCCTTGATGGCTTGCATGACGATAGATCTTTTATTCTAACAACCGCCCCGTTATGTAGCGCTGAGAGAAGGCATCTAGTCCTGTCTCGTTGGGCGGGTGATCAAGTGAGCAAAGTTTTCGGAAATGAGCAACCATCCGGCCTGACAGGGAGGTAAGTCTGCCCACCGCACCGCTCGACCACCTCGACAAATAGTTGAGAAGAAGAGTGGCGTCGAATTATTGAGACGTACGATATTCCCGGCCCTGAGATTCGGGCTAGCCGCTTCACAAGGTAAGTGCCCGCATTCTATTCACGAGATTCGAAATATTCATTCTATCGCTTGATTGATTTCATTCATTCAGCTTCTCACACAGATGGTCCGGAATCTACAGGCCGTTGGCCGCTTTGATTTCGATCGATAGATAGGCTATCTCACACTCGATATCCGGGAACGGATCGTAGTGATCGTACAGAACCCCTCCCTCCGGATTGAACAACAGGAGGGCTAGGGCGATTCGCCATCTCGCGAGGAGACAGCGGGCTGGCAGCAGAACAGTGTCCGGAGAAATTCGATGACGCAAAATAAACAAGTTTTAATGGAGCTGCCGATTCGATGGTTCCGAAAGCTTTTCACGGGTCAGTAAATTGTAAACTGTATTCAGATGCCTCGAGGAGCAATGATTCTGCGTGAGCATCAAAGGCCCGAGCACATGCTGTGTCGAGAAAACGGACCCTCCGAAATGATCTACTTGGTCCATCTCATAGGTCCGCCCAGGCATGCTAGAGGATACCGCTGGAAGAACGGAGTCAAAACCGGAGAGTTCCACGTCCAAAGCGCGGAAGCTTCCGCCAATATAGACTGGTGAGTTGTATATTATTCGGGGGCGCTGATCTTCCTGACATAACATGGCAGGTCGAGATAATCTCACCGATGGCAGACGCTGTGTTTGGAAAGGGAACCGAAGTGAGAGCCGCTGCAGAGAGATCTTTTGAAGACAGCCCTGTTTTCAGGCCACGAGGAGAGCGATCGCAGACACGCGCCCTCAATAGGTCCGTTTGTTGGGCTAGTCGAGTCTGGCCAGAAATACGCGTTTGATCACGTTCTGTTTGATCAGGGAGATTCTTCTCCTACTGAGAATTGTTGAACCCCGTCGGAGCGCCCACTGAACCAACTGCAATCGCAGCAGGTGAGTTTGCCTGCGCGACCCGAGACTCTGACTTCTCGAGTCATAGCCCGAGCTTCTCAAAGCGTATCCGTGGACATCTGCGCTGATGATTGTGAACTCCATGATGATTATCGCAAGCCGTCATTTCTTTATTTATGTAACTAGTAATTAGGCTTCCGATCTTCTGCAAAGTACAGTCCAGTCGCGATTTCTTTCGAGCGGAAAGTCTCACAAGGTACAATATGAGTTGGAGCAGCAATGTCGCTCGGCGGAGCAGGGTATCACAAAGACGAAAAAACGTGGGGAAATCCAGACAACCGAAAAAATTACACTACAATTTTACATTTCCTATAGTGTAGATTCGGGGTATTCCGTGGGTACGATGCGTTCACATGAGATGCGAACAGAATATATCCGGATGCGGCACCCACGCAGCCATGAAACGCCAATCGAATCTTATCTACCGTGGTCGGAGACACGCCGATCACCATCTGAAGTCTTGGGAAATGTTCCCAGAACTCTTCCGGATGCTCGGAAGCTGGTTCCGGAACGAGCGACGGCACAGCTCCTTCCCTGCCTCCTACGAGCTTGAGTGCTCACTGAGCCTGGATCTAGCTGAGGGAAGGCGCTCATGAAGTGATGCCTCCCGATTGAAATCTTCGACCCAGAGTGACCAAAATAGTTGATCGATGATCGTTTATGTTTATATTAGGACTGAACTCTTCCAACGTTCATTTGAAGTGCTCTTCGATTCTCGTTGAACAATCTCGATGGGACGAGATTTCCGTGTCTTCAAAACGCGATGACTCGTAGCTACTCTGACCAACCGATTCCGTTCTTGAGCGGCAGAAGGGCTCCCTGGTCTCCAGGTCAAGACCGTACGTCGGACACATGGGCTTACACATTTCGTCTGTCCGAGCTAAAAGTCTGGGACATTGTAAATTGAGGCTGAAATGCCAGAAAATACTTTCTGAGATACTAATTATTGCTCACGTGTTGATCATGCTCACTCAGACGTTGGTTACAGCGCTGTTTGCCCGCTGATGGCTGTCCCCACTCAAACGAAAATTGTTTTGCTTTTACAGGCATCATGCTGTGGCTTCTTCTCTGTCGGCGCAGATTCACTTAGGAATTGATCAACGCTCGAGCAGAGACCGATTATCGACGAGCTCAGAGCTGATCGAGTCCACCCTTGGTATCCGAATCGGGCTGATTCGAAGGTTTCGGGAGTTTGCCTCCCCTTGTTTGGAGCTCCGTCTGGCTACCGCTGAAGCCAAAAAAGGAGCTCGCTTCGCGCGTTGGCAGCAGCAGCGGCATCAAACAGCCGTTTTCATCTGGCGACCGACAGAAGATCCTGATCGAGGAACGCGTTCATTGTTGCCGCGACATCATCGGCTCCTTCGGATACGTGGTTCCAGATCCCAGTTGAGGATCACGAGCTCCTCCAAGTGCCTAATTCGGTGAGTTTCACAACCCTCTTGGCTTCACCCCTCGTGGTAGTCCGTACGGCCGACGCTCGGATGCATTCGCTCGTACACCAAGATCTCCGTTCCGTCCTCGATGTTTACCGAACATGGTAGCTGATTTATTTTGTCTCACCCAACGGCGATAATGTGCTCACAGCTCGTGATTCATGATCGGACCAACAGATGAGCTGCAGCGCACCGAACGGCCGCTTTGTGGTGGAAAACATCGACGCCGCGTTCTAGCTCTTGCTAAGCTAGGCTCATGCCGGACGAGAAGTCACGGGACGAGCTCCTGCGAGGAAAGTGTTTCGTGGCGCAGACTCGCCCTTGTTGGCTAATTATAAATTAGATTGTTGTTCTGAGCCCAACTCCTACACCTCGAGCAGCCTGCCTACCTAGCGCGACCTGGAAACGGTCGACGTCGAGGAAACCCTTCAGCGATCTCCAGGGCGATCGCGTGGGCGGTCAGCTCGAGAGGGCTTCTTTTCGCCACTGACACTGACTGAGGGCAGAGCAAAGGAGAGCATCTGTAAACAACAGTTTTGATATCGCAATGAAGTGCGTGGGCTCATCGAGAAACGACGGGAAATTTGTCGCGGTCGAGCGACCTCTCAATCCCGTGTTAGACAATGCGAGGATGCGTGAATACATTCTACGTTATGTAAAGAAGCTCCAGCCCCGGAATACAATAACAGCGATTCGAAATGACAAATAATAGAGGGGGAGAATTTTGGCAACGAGGAGCATCGATTGCAGCTAAGCTCCTCGCCCTGAGCGCTGGGTTCTCCTCTGAGATGGAGCCGCCACGAGACATGCTTTGGCTGAACACCGTAGGTCGGAGCTTATCGAGCCCGTGTACCCGCCTGACCGATCGAAAGCCCTCATTCCGGTGGAGGACTGCGTGGACGACCCGTTTTTTGCTGAGATATAGAATTCTCCCCACGAACTACGATTCTAGTGGAAATGTGGAAATCTGTTCGATAAAGAAGACTCTGTGCTTTGACGATTTTCGAACAAGTCAATGGGCTGACGCTCCTTGCTTCGGACTCGTCCGCAATTATTTCGCTTTGGCGACCTCCGCCCATCCGGTGGAGGAAGGAGTGAATGAATCCGAATTGAATGGGCCTCATCGGAGGGCGTCGCTGATCACGAGATCAAAAGATAAGACCTCCTTCGTCGCGGGCGTACCTATCATTTCCCGACGGCGGAACTCCCGGGTGAATTCGAACCATGGATGGCATTGGGTCCCATAAAAATATCCAGCTAGGATCCTCTCTGATGCCACTCTCATGGTACGCGGAGCTAATCAATGTGAGATTTGTTTTAGTTTGGAAACAAGAGGCGGGAGTCCTCAGGGACTCGGCTCTTCCCCACATGGCGGTCACAGTTACGCGCGTGTGTTATTGCTGTAGTCTGAGAGTGGCGTGTATCGCCATCGCCGTCGCTTGCATAGTAAGTTGCCCAGGCACGTCGCTCAATTGACCACGACCGAATGATTAGAGCGAAGATCGACGGCTCCGCCCATTCCTGAAGCGGAAGTTCGTTCCTTTCAGATAATCTACATTTATCAGATAATCCAATATGGCGATATAATGGAGTCGAGCGATGTCAAATCTGCCTACTCAAAGACAGGGAGTAAGTTTCCATCTCTGAGGTTTGATCTTACTGACGGGCGCGGTCTCAATATGTTCCGTCAACGATAGTGACTTTTGTTCCCCCGTCAGTTTCGTATACTGGAGCGGTACTCGGCATGATCGTCGATTGCGTTTTTATCATCGTCAACGTCATACTCCTCATCGGCATAATTCTGGTGGGCACCGAACCTGACTTTGCTTAACGGATTCCCAGTGAAGGGAATAGCTCCTAGTTCATGATGATGATGAAACATCCTCTATTCTCTCGCAGTATCGACGCCAGCTCTTTCTACCCTGGATAGGCGTCGCCGTGGCGATGGTCGTTAAGGAAATAATTTACATAATGTTCTATCTATACGCCAAACTGGATGGATCGAAATATGATGTGAGTTCAGCGCAGACGAGAGATCGATATGGGGGCGAGCTCAGATCACTGTCCGATGCCGACGAACGCTGAAAACTGACCTTAAGAGGGGATCAAATGCAAATCTTTCAGAACCTGCTTGAGTCTGCTCTGGTATCGATACTCAACGCGATTATCTTCGTAAGTTTTCGAAGCGATCTGAGTCATCCTCAGCGAAGCATTCTTCGCGATCGGATGATCACTTATGACCTCAAAGTCGTCGATGTGAGGGAGAAGCCAGTGTCCGATCATTGATCGGTGAGTTCCCGAGTTTATCCTCGCATCTCGTTCCAGCTTTTCTACATCGTCATTGTTCGGAGCTACTATGAAGAACTGAAAGAAGAAGACCGGATCGGAGGGATTATCATGGTTTGACCAGGAACTCAAACACGCACATACATGGGGGAGAAAGGACGACCGACTCTCTCCTCAGTGGAATCACAGCTCGAGTCACAGCGTGAACTATATGATATGTGATTGAAGCGATAACTCTTAACGCTGTCTGAGCCGACTGCTCTGAATTCTCCGTGATTGAGGGCAGTCTCGTTGTGTTTTATGATGAGAAGCGGCATGTTTCAATTCGATAATTGATTGTAATCATTAATGTCGGATCTCGGATCCAGAACGCAAGTGAATAAAACTCATCGATTAATCCCACCAGCGCCTGCTCTGGTGCAGCATTGGTCGCGGCAGACAAAATTCCAGGAAATCACAAACGGCGAGGATGGCCCTCGCGCAGCCGGACGAGAGCCCTCCGAGCACGGCTCACACTCTTGGAAGGAGCCCGCGATACGCACCGACTCCAGGAACGCGGGAGCTGCTCTTCAAGCCCCGTCTCTCAGGTCTCTCTGCGATGACGGAGAATATAGGTAGTTTCGCACCTGCTATAGTTCCGCGGCGAACCGCCCGGGTCTGACCACTACGATGCGGAGAGCTCATCACGAAGCCCATTCGGGATCCCGTCCTCGATGGGAAGGTCCTCGATGGGACCATTTCTGAAGGCTCTCCATTCGGCGATCGCGGCGGAATTCCTGCTCCGGGAATGGTTCTTGGGGCTGGTTGCCTCGAAGTCTCCGTCTCATCTGGCCTCCTCAAGACCGATGCCGACACTCCACAACGCCGACGGCTCGCAGTGGCTTCGAATCCGCTCGTTCTGAAATAATGGTACTGGGATCGCCGCGAACTATTCTGCCAGAGAATGAAGTATGCTGAGAGACCCTTCTATGCAGTGCTGTTCAAGACCTGGTCTATGTCATATGCCTTGTCAGATACTGAGTCCATCAATTCAAACAGGGTACATGAATATAATTAAGCGAAAATAATTTTGCGTCACCCAGTATGGGCTAGCTCCGCTGCTTTGTGAATACTGCGAGATTTGTGTAAACTAACGGACGCTCTGAATCAACGTTCACTTTCCCGGTCCGAAGGAGCGGACAGTGTCTCTAGTCTTTCGCTCGATCCTTCCGGCGGAATGAAACTTCTCTCGATATGGTTCGGCTTGTTCATCTCTTGCGATGCAGTTTTCGAAAAACCCGTGCTCGAGTCGAAAGTTGAGGTAAAATATCAGGCTTCAGATGAGTAAGAATGCATTGAAAGATTTTCCATCGTGTAATACCGACGGGAATTTGTCCGAAGGTGACCATCAATTTCTGCGGGGAAGAATTCGGATCGCCCGAAGTCGAGGAGACGGTATTCGAGGTGGTTGGAGAGACTCAAGGTGATGATCTCGTTAAGGCTTGTGCATTTCATCCGCTGCTAAGACGTCGCAGGTTGATTCAAGATTGTTTGAATATTATTTCAATGTGCTCTCGGTGACTGATTCTCCGCTTCCTAGGTTGGGATTCCGTAGCATCCATACGCCGGAAAAGAAACTGCAGTCGTCCAGATGCAATCACATTGCAGGTCGGTGGTGAAATTCCCCCACAAAGCGGGGCTTTGGGCGATATCATGGAATGCTGATACGGTCGTCTGCGGTGCTATCTCCTGTCAGAATTATATCGTTGGGACCACCTATGACATAATCCCGCGATTCCAGGTCTACTGTCCAGACGAGGAATCGTTGAGTGAGACTTCTCTACTAAACACGGTCTCCACACCGGATCTGAAGACTGCCTTGGTTGCCGCAATCATGGTGTGCCCGACCGTCAGATCTTTCGCATCTTTCGGCCCGTATGTAGAGACGCCGCCCATTCTCGGAAGATCAATTCTGGATATTCTTCATACAGAGGCATGAAGCTAGAAAGGGACCCGATCCGATTGCAGGTTCGATCGCTCAAAGCTCACGATCCTTCAATCAGCTATCTCGGATGAAGGAGACTCGATCCTATTATTCGTGGGTGACTTCGGACAGGACTCGCTCTTCTGGGAAATATGGTTGGACTCACTCCGTCTCCGACATTTGAACGTGTTGCGGTCTAGTTTCGGTGACTCCGGGAGCAATCAAATCTTTCTCATCAGCAAATTCAACCGGAGCACTTATTTGTATGTAGGAACGGCTTGCCCCGGGTGATACTTGAGGCATCTCTGATCGTCGGAGTGGCTTCCCCATGATAACGTTCCCAAACATTCGCAGCAACGGTGACCGGCCCGAGTTCGAAATTTACGTGAGACAATTGTTCGCAAACTATTCTTCGAGGCTCGACGAATATGATGAAGACGAAGTCGACGATTCGGTTGCTGACGACGAGGGCACCACATCGCAGCCACTCCTGACGAAAATCTTCGAATACCATCACAAGAGAGTTGTACGACTGAGAGAAGAAAATTCCCTCCGGAAGTACTCCGCAGGAATATTAGCTTTACTCAGTCTATTCATATTGTTGATTATCTACATGGTCTTGAGTTTGGTGAAACATTTGAGCTCAAGTCGTTAGCGAGCACGGAGGCAGTCGGAGAGCGGCGTAATTCACACTCGAGACTTTTTAACGTTCTCGTCTCTGTCTTCCTTGCCACCTAGGTCAATAAAATTGTGATGGAAACGACCGTGGTGGGCGTTCCCTTAATTTCCGAGCTCCTCCACGGGAGGTCAGTTTGTCGTAGATACGGAGCTGGGCAATCTGAAAGGTCCACCACTAGCAGTCCTCAAGGGCTGCTCATATGACTGGATGGCGTCAGAGCATCATCGCAGCATTCGGACGCTGCCCCGCAGTCTCTTTAGGAGATTTCCCGGACTAGCTTCTCGAACGGAAACGTCCTGAATAAGTCCACACGATCGGGAGCGTGCATGCCAGGACCCGACAGAGGCAGGGTCTTCATGAAAATCAGAACGGAAAGAAGGGTCCGGCCTCCACTGATGCTGTCATCTGTCAGTCACGGTGAGCCGACTTGCCTCGGAAGTTCCCTGAAAATGACCAATCGAGTCTTCTGATATTACGCGGGCATCGATAAGGCGAGGTAGGAAGATTCCTGGATTCCAGCAAAATGCGGACAGGAATACTCCTCGGACCCGATTCCCTGACCGGACGACATGATGTCGATTCGTACACACATACCGTGCTCGCTCGAATGAGCATACACAGTCGTAGTGAATCACCTGTTGTCTGACAGTTGCGCAAATTGATCACGTTCTACAAGAAAACGAAGCTATTCTAGAGATAGATGTATCCGGTACAGAAAGTCTCACCTCAGTCGAGATATGGAGCGCTGAAGATAATGTTCGGCAACAACCTCCCCGAGCGACTACCGAAGTCCTGGTACCCTCAAGAATTCGCGTTCCAGGACGCTGGTGAGGACGCTATCTATTTCGCTATCAAGCAAGAAGAAGGTGGTCCTTGCGGATGCTACGCTTCGATACAGGTAGGTTTTTGGATCGGGACGCCTCGGTTTCCGGAACGCTTTTACGAGCCGGCAACTTGGATGGCCGTGCCGGGGTGAACCACTCTCCTCCTCTGAGACGGAGTTGTCGTCGTCCCCCCGCCCTCTGCCCCGCCCTTCGCCCAGGGGGCAGAAAATAGAGAAAATCGCGCACAATTTGTGATTTTCCAGGCTTATATGCTGAGAGAGCTCTTGCGGGACACGACTCGCATGTATCATGCGAAAGACCGGCTAGCTGTCCGAACGAATGCTTTTGCCAGAGCTTTGGCGAAGATACTCTGGAAGGCCAGACGGCATTCGCCGGCGAGAAACGAGCCAGTATACGTCATATTCGATGAAGGAGACATGTTGTGGACTCATGCGCGGCCTACAACCTTGGAAGCGACAATCGACTGTATCTTGGCTAACGTCGACAAGATACGAAAAGGCGGGGTCGTTCCCTTCACCTGCTCTGTGCGTTCCTCCGACAATTCTGATATGTAGAGGCCAGTCCTGAGCTTCCTGGACCGTCCTGCTGATCGATCATGCGCCATGGGTCGCCAGTGCGTCCGATCTCCTCGTAGAATATCGATCGAAATGGGACAAGAGGTCTCCCCACAGTGTCACCCAAAAAAACTCTGAATGGCGTTCTCCAATTCCGATATTCACCCCTACCGAGATTCCATGGGGAAGTTCTCGCCAGACTTGACACGTACGACAAATATCTCCGCAGGCATAATCCAGCCCTCCTCACAACGTTCTATTGCAGATAATCCTGACGAAGGGCCTCGATCACATCAAAGAGGAGGCAACCGTGTTTGGATGTTTCACGCCTCTGGTGAACGATGATGGCACTAGCGACTGCGACCAAACGGTGACTTCCCTTTTGACCGAAAACCATTTGACCGAATCCGATCGACCGAATCCGATTGACCGAATCCGATTGACCGAATCCGATTGACCGAATCCGATTGACCGAATCCGATTGACCGAATCCGATTGGCCGAAGCCGTTTGACCGAAGCCGATTGACCGAATCCGGTGGGCTCCACCCATCGCGATGGAAGTTCGGCGCGTACGGATTCTCAAATTCATGTCGGAGCTGTCTTGACCTAGCCTCTCCTCCTGGAGACCCCGTGTCTGTCATCCAATCGGACTCTGATATTGCACGTCCCACATCTTTGTCGCGAACAGGCGCACGCGAACAGTATCCGAAGGCACATACACACCAAGAATTACGAACAATAACATTGAGGAAGGAAAACTCTTTTCCCTGACGACAATCGAACGCTATCTACTCCTGAAGTTATCATGGAAGTTCAACTAGTACCGTCGTCGCGAGGGAAAAATTTGTATAGCATCAATAACTACCTATATTCCGTCGAAAAAAAAGTGTCGATTTCTTGTATTGTCGATGCATCCGGAAAAAGGAGCACGGTTGTTCAGGGAGGGCGATAGTATCCAAGGTAGGCAGTTCGAAACAGTGAATTCGCTGAGCTATACCGCCGGTATCACTGGTGTTGAGTCAGATTTTTCTATCGCTGACGTTTGTGCTCACTATCTTCCGAAGGGACCCGAACCAATAGTCCAACGAACTTCCGGGTTCCATTGCCATGAGCCGGAGACCGGTGAGATCATCAAGAAAACCGCGATCGAGGAGATGAAGCAGCGCGTGATCGCTGAACCGCTGAGAAGCGGAAAGCAGGTGTACACGGAGGTGACGACTTCTGCGGCATCTATTCTGATGGAATCCCACCCTGAAGAGGAGGTCGGTGCCTCGTTGCCTTCATTCTCGAGCGTGTCGACCACGCTTTACCGTGCACGGGCGAGCGTGCGTCCGCCGCTGCCAGCGTCTCGAGCAGAAATAACACTAGGAGAATCGTGGACAAAAACGGTCGACGGACAAGATTTTCTCGTCATCAATGATGGGGAGGAAAGTCGAATTCTCGGCTTCACTACGGTCCAGCTCGTGATGGAGCTCTGTTCGGCGCCGACAGTTTTCATGGACGGCACTTTCCGTGTCGTTCCCAAGCTCTTTCTCCAGCTCTATACGCTGCATGCGTTCTATAGGGGAGAAATGATCCCCATGGCTTATTTTCTCCTACCGGACAAACGACGGGAAGCATATAACCGAATGTTCGCCTTGCTTGTGGGCTACGCTCAATCAATCGGCGTGACTTTCAATCCGCAGCGCTTTCAACTGGACTTCGAAGTCTCCATGCTGAAATCGATCGAAGGGACCTTCCCCATGGCAGAAGTTAAAGGTGCGCATTTCATTTCGCTCAATGCCTTTGGCGCAAAGTGCAAGACTTGGGAATTCGACAGTATTACGATGAACCCATTGTAAAAAAGTTCGTCAGATGCGTCGGTGCCCTCGCTCATGTTCCTCTGTCGCAGATCGACAATGCATGGCTGGAAATTGAGGCAGAGTCGCCCTCCACAGACCATCCAGCTCACTCGGCTCTTGAGAGGTTCAAAACGTATTTCATCAGCACTTGGCTTGAGAATGGAGCAGTATTCCCGCGTAGACTCTGGAACCATTACCGCAATTTCGGAGCTCGCACGACAAACCACCTCGAAGGGTGGCACCAAGCTCTGAATCGAGGCCTCGGTCGTTCGCACGTGAACGTCTTCGAGATGATCAGTCATCTTCAAAAGCTTGAAAAAAGTTTCAAGACACAGATGCTACTCCTCAGCACGGGTCGGAAGCCTAAGGCGCCGAAAAAAAAATACGTCAGAGTCAATCAAACACTCATGAATCTGGTAAATCAGTACGAATCGAACCAGATACCCCTCATCGAATACGTACAAAACGTTGGTTTCAATCTCAAAAATTAGTATAGTTGCGGTGCGAAGATCGCAAATGATAGGTGTCAAGTCCGATACTTACATGTTCGCGTCAACTTCTCTCTATTGTGGTATAACTTAAGAAGCTCGCCTCTATCCTCGAGAACGACCGGAATCTAGGCATAATCTCCGGGTTGCACATGAATAAACTAATAATGTGAGCGAGTCAGTTCCGCGATCTGTTTCAGCTGAGGGAGGAGCTTGATTCGGTCAATCGGCTTCGGTCAAACGGCTTCGGCCAATCGGATTCGGTCAATCGGATTCGGTCAATCGGATTCGGTCAATCGGTTTCGGTCGATCGGATTCGGTCAGATGGTTTTCGGTCAAAAGGACGGTAACCGACCAAACATTAGTCAACCTATATCTTTCGGGGCGGCCATGCTGCTCGCTTGCAGATGATGATGGAGCCCTCGGAGGGCATGGCGTGACCGAAAAACAGGAATTCGGCTTCTTAACAAACGAGTTAGGAGTAGCTGAGAACATCGGAGAAAACTTCCTGCGGCCACTCGAGCCTTTTTGGGTTCTCCACTTCGATTCACACTACTCCGTCATGTATTCAGCTGCCGAAGACCCCATGAACGAGGGTCCCGCTCGTCGAGACTATTACTGGTTCCCCGGAATAGATCAGCGCCGATACGTGAAATTCGAGGTTCATAGAAACTTGGAGCTAGATATGTCATCATCGTATCGGTGCGGAGACATGAAATGAACCATTGTCTTGTCCAATCGGAGCAAACTGAACTCGGGTTCGTCGTTTCATGCAAGCTGATCCCGGATAAGGAGGCAATCGCGACTGGGCAAATTCGAAACTCCCCGAGTAGAATCGAAAGTGCAGAGCAGAAAAAGCTCGCGAGCTGCCTTAAATGCCGATGGAAAGATCACTCGATCACCAACTGGAGTGTGTACTGTCACTCAGCCGGGGGAAGTTATGGTCGGAGTTGGAGCTCGACGCTACAGTGAAGATCGGATCGCCAAGGGAGAAATGATTGAGCATGCAGGAGCTTGCAGGATTCACTGCTGCGGACATAAAAATTCGGAATATTCGCGCCCTGCGTCTTTTCGGTCTTTCTCTGTGGTGATATAGTGTTTATATAATTTTACATAGACGCGCACACATGTATGTATATTTCTGCCCTCAGCTTGCCCTCTCACCCTTCCGTTTCCCCTCTCCACCCCACCACCTACGATGCGGGAGCTCATCCATCGAAACATTGATCCACTCATTAATAGCATTGGATACTCGAGAAGAGAAGAATGATAAATAAATATGATATCTGGTCAGTAATTTATCCAAATGATTGAGCTCTAGCTGCTGCGACCCGGCTGAAGCCTACGCATTCCAGGGGGATATATGAGCCAAGTCTACGTAACATCATCTTCGAATGCATCAACGAAACGTCTCTCTCGGCCAAGTCAATCGGGATGCTACATCGTCGCGCGAGCCAGCAGCCGCGCAGCACTGCGGTTCGGACATTTTGACAGGAAAATAGACTTCTCATCCTTGTAACATCAGTGGAGTGTCTCTCTCCAATTTTTACAGTGTGTACAAGTGTGTAAATAATCGGACTCGCAATTTATCGTCAAGAAGGCTTTTCACTCTCTCGGCCGTCAGTTCGTTTCCATCCGATCATATCTGATTCGCTCAATCCTAAGAGGTGCTCAATGCCGCCTCTCTGATTTATTGTTTGGTGGCTGATCTTGAAAACGTCTCTCACTTTTCGGAAGGCTTTGGGTTGATAGACCGCCCTGAAAATGATGAAATTTCATTACTCCCAGCGGTCGATACTCTCGGGACCGGGACGCGCTCAATTCAGTCGAGGGGAGCTCTTGCGCTCCGCTCACCTCGCGGTATTCGTGAGGTTGAAGGGTTCCTGGATGTTGATGAACTTCCAATCTGCCCGAGAACTGTGGTTATTATGCGGGATATCTGGGTCTTGATCGATTCCTTCCTGTTTGGTGAGTGTTCTACCCTCCCGTACGGAGATGCAAATATTCTCGAAACTGTGGACAGAATAAAAAATTCAGAATTCCCTTCATCCCATGATTTCACAAATACACACGTCATGGAGTTTGCATCCCAGACCCGAACTTCACTCACTCGAAAGCGGAGAAGTACGCAAGAAAGCCTTTGAACAAGGTTCCTAGATTCTGTGAGTTTGTGCTGGCATATCGTGGGAGAATGAGCCTATCCCCTCCCTTGAAGCCCAAACCGCTCTCGAATTCGGGAACGAGGTTGTGGAGGACTGGTACGACTTCTTGTTGTTGCAAGTAGTTTATCACCATGAGAGTGAGAGAGTAACTAGACAGAGTACTCTTATGTGCGTCCTTGATCCCCATGATGGTGGCCCAGCGCTTGCAGGCGCCAACAAGAGGAGCAACTCTTCCATCCATACGCGAGTAGGCGTATAAAAATTGTGTGTTCACAATGCCGACCTGACTATTGACGTTTATCTCCACCGACATAGGAGAGCTGAAAGATGGAGGTACCATTTCCGCTGAATGCATTGTCAGGATCGATATGTATATTTCTCGAAATTCAGAGGAAAGGGAAGGACTCACTGCCTGGACCTCTCGTAGGTGAAGGTCAACAGCGGGCATATCGCAGCGATTACAATCGGTCTCTTGTAGACTTTATTCCCCGCCATTTGGGTTCTCAGGTTGCGGAGAATTTTGCACGGATCGCAGACGAGCGGCGAGAAGCTGTTCCTGAGCTGGAAGAGATTCCGTAGATCAGAAATACAGACGCGGGTCATCATGAGTGTGAGATTTGGTGTTTGCGTTGTCGGCTCACCCACCTGCAGACACATGTCCACATCGCTGTCGTTGAAACCGTACCCGTTGGCGGAGGAGCCAGTGATCGAAAGTTTGTAATCACTGAATAAATCCGTCTCGAGAAATTCCTTCATCTTGAGTTTATTCGCATATGTTCTCGACTGTTGACGCTTCTTTTTCCACAGTCTCGCGATGGCTATCGACACACTATCGGAACCGACCTGTCGGCCAGTTATTGGTGTATAAGACGTTGGATCCCAGTCGTAAGCTCTGCGAGGGCAAATAGAGCTCTTAGGGAGGGCGATCGGTGTGGAGCATAGATTTCTTGAGAATCGCCGGAGCGTGGAGCGGCAATTCTCACGAATTGCTTCGATTCCCGACTCAACGATGTCTAATACCATGTCTTCTATCGAGCCGCACAGACCTCCGCAACTGAACGAAGCGATATTCTCGACTGCGTCTCAACGAAAACCTCGCACAGAGATTTATCCCGACCCTACTGAGGGTTGAAGCGTCCCGAGTTGGGATGGATTCAATCGTGGATAGGATTGCTACTCGGAAAGCGGTCTCGGCATCTAAACGACGGGGAACAAGCCCGAGGCACGGCTGACGGGCTAGGGGTGGTGCAATCACTTCAGACCTTGATTCCGAGACATTCATCATAGCCCTGGAGGAGGATGTCACCTCGGAGGCTTTTGATCCGAAAATTTCCCCCCTAGGCAAGATAGACAGATGCAGAGGGCAGACTCCGCCTCGTGCGCTCAAAGCCCTTGGGCCGAGCCTGCTCGAATCGAGGCTTTGAATAAATGCGATAGAGACAGCCTGACCCAGATTGAGCGAGTTTGCTCGGGGTCAATCCATTTGTCGCTCGAGCGCCGGCCCGATCGACTAAACAACTGTGAAGGCGTCCACCACGATATATGCGAGGAATGATAGCCTTCGACTTGCTTCGCGGAAGACATTCTTATCGAAAACAATTTTATTCCAGTTTTTTCCTATCATCAATCATAAGCAGTGCCCGCCGGAACTCATACAATTAGGCCGCGCACGATTCAGGGAGGGAGCGGCAGAGCTCATTTCTTGATCACTGGGTAATGAATGAAATCGGAGACTTCTTGTTCGCTGCATTTTCGACCGGCTCGAGGAGTCTCAACGTAGTCAGCTCTTAGGAATCCCTTCTTCGAGGAAACTGTGAGAGACATCTCGAGCTCAACTCGGGAAGCATCAAAGTTTAGAGCATAATCTTCCTCCGGGCTGGATTACGAACTTCAGGCTGATAGAAGGAGCAGTGTTTTTCACATTTTAAAAGCTGCTATGGGCCACGGGAAGCTACCTCCCTTGGGAAGCGCGTACCGTGACACAAGTTAGTTTCGGTAAATCAACAGGTTTTCCCGGAATATCCCCGTCACGTCCCTCATCGAATCCCCGGGATGGAACTTCCGGGAAGCAATCCCCGAGGACGAGATGGGACGATGAAATCGGGAAGAATTGAAAAAAAACATGGATTTCCTCTGCGGGATTGCTAAATCCGCTTCGTGGTATCCAATGAGATCAATGGATAGCCCTATGAAACACAAGATCAAAACCGCTCCTTCTTCAATTCATTGGTGATAAATTAGGCTAAAATTATGGGTTGCTACGAATACGGACTATACGTCGGTTTTGTACTGGTTAAAAGTTACCACACTCTTGAAATAAGACCAAAAAACAGGATAAAGTAATCGGGATTAGGGTCATTCGGCGGCTGCGCGGTCACGTTCAGGGGTCTGAGGCGTGCTCACTCCTGCTTCCTAGCTCTCTCTTTGATTGGCGCTAGCGCAATGATATAACTTACACCCGATCTCGGAGGGAATCTTCAGCATGTTTTTCTGTAAGATATGCCAATATTAGAGATATATCTTCAAAATTACAGGAATTCATTGTCACGGTGGATATTCTCCCGGACGGCAGACATGGTGATACTAAATGGACGGGATAAATGAATAGGTGAAAAAGCCTCACCGGCACTTGAGGTGGAATAATGCCGTTTCTGTCCGCAAAGCGAACGACGTGAACGAGCTTCTGATATCGTGGAGAATGAATGCGGTTTCCGCGAGCGCTCCATGTCAGTGTATGAGCTCGATGAGAGGTCTTGGTCTCCGTCGAAGGACGTATGAGATGAATAACGAGACGACTCCGCACACAGGTCTGAATTTTCTGTAGCCCTGTGCTCCGCTCTGGAGAACGGAAAAGGGCTCTTGCTCCTCTTCGCGTCAGCAAAGCTGGACATGGATCGATCGGAATCGACGGAGTCGAAACTGGGTATCTTGATGCTAGATTTGGCAATGTACAACTGAGGCTCCTGCTCCAGCAGGCGGACAACATGTGCCGACAATCTGTAAGGTTCCTCGGGGGTCGGTCGATCCATGACTACCGGACAGTTGTCGGGGATGAGACCTTCGCGACGCATAATGTAAAGAAGATTGTCGCTCCAGTACTCTCGTTTGCGCTCGATAGGCTCTTCAAGTTTGCGCAGATGAACCGGGTTCCTGACGACGAGTGGGGCGGCGTTTTCTTTTCTCGAATATCGCTTTTCCGCCAAATTTCGACCACAAACACATTCAAGACGATCACGTTCCGAGGGAGACCATATGCTGGCTGACTTTGAGCGCTCCGGAAAAGCGTCAGAATTTTTGAAGCAATCACCCGAGTACGGTATTTCCATCTGCGATGGGAAGAATAAGTTCGATCAGTCGCCGAATCTTCTTCTGAATAGCCTCTTCTCAGATTCTCGCTCCTCATAGCGACTCTCAGCATCGGCGGAGCAAAGTCATTCGGGCACTTACTTTAGATGACGGGAGTTCTGTGTGCGTTTTCACGGGACGTGTCGTGTTGATTCTTCGGAGGAAGACCACGCTCTGAAAGTGAAAAGCACAAGCACCAGGTGAAGCGTGACGTTTCGCCCTCGCCTTCCCTGTTCCAAAGGAGCATGCGCTGGCGCGCCTACGTGCACGAACGCACTCGCAACCTTCGTACATCCGACGTTCGGACCGAATTTCTTTCCGCCGATTGGAACCTCTTCTCTCCGCCCCCGAGAGCGCCGCTGCAGCCCAGCTTTATTTGAGGCCCAGTTTCGCCGGATAAGTAACTCGCGTATCAATGGTCGTGAACGAAACTAGGTATTTCAGGCACGCATCCTCTCGGAGGAAGGAGGCAATGTCGGAGGTTGCATTAGTTCCGGATCACCCAGATCGGAGCTGCAAAGTCTCAAACCGGCTTCAATCCCAGAATCAGAGTATGGTGTATCGCGCGAAACTCTGGAGTTCTCGTCTTGATTTCGGCACCGCGCTGGGGGCAGGCACCGAAAGATACAGGAGCGGGCCAGCGTTGGAGGGGATATTCTCTGGAAACATTGCGGCAAAGATTTTCGCTCACCCTCCGTCGTCCCGACATCGACCATGGTCCCACCATGCTTCAGCCTGCGCGAGCAATGCTCCTCGCCTCCCCCGGAATATTCCCGCGTCCTGGCACGTTTCTCACGTCTTTTATCGTTCCTCACTTCACTGCGGGGTCAAACTATTTCGGCGTGTCCTATATCCCCGACCACGACACTATCTCGTCGAAGCTTTGCGAGACGACGACAGAAAAAACTCAGTGAAAACACACGATCACGCACCCACGACGGGAAGCCGACGACTGTTCTATTTTCATTTTCAAATCTACCCGCGCTGGAGAATGCCGTCTGCTGAGGCTTGGCGCGCAAAGTGCGCCCAGCTCTATCTTCGAACGAGCCGTCCACCGCAAAGACTTGTTGTTGTGCGTTGATGTGCATATGTAGGAAGACGCTTTGAGGAAGTTGTTGCATCGCAGGAACGCTACATCTTGCGAGGTTCCACGCCTACCAAGCATTGAAGTGAAAATGAAAACAGATTCTGTAAGTAGAAAATCCGTTGACGAGTTCAGAGTCCTTATCGTGTCGTCCATGTTTAAAACGGCGAATCGACCGTTGCGCTTCGACGTTTCACAAAAAATCGGGGAACGGGTCGTCCTCGTCGAGTTTCCACGCAACGTGTCCAACTGATGTCGCTCATGGCTTGCTGATTGCTATGATTCGACACAATACCGGAATGAATCCCCTGTATGCCTGAATAAGTTCGGCGGCATGGGGTCCGGGGCAGTCCTCGTTCATTCCGAAACGACTTGACTCTCACCGGTCGAAGCTCCTATCGGCCGTAGTAATCGATCCGTCAGTGCGAATTAAATTCACCTATGCCCTTCCAGGGAAAGATTCTCCGTCGAACACTTGGTACACTGCAACCCTCCGCTGAAGACCAAGCTGTGCTCGTAGGCTCTGCGGGGAAAGTTTCCATCGACAAGAAAAAGCTGGTGAGTTTTCGATCCTAGGGCTCCGAGAATATAAGCTTCCCTCGAAGCTGGAAGAAGAGGAGTCTGGCATGGAATTGAAATTTATTTTCCGGATTTCAGGATACGAAAAGAAGACGGTTGAACTTTGACTTGGAGAACAAACCACCGAACGTCGGTCTGGGTCCAAAGAAAGACAAGGAGTGCAAAACTCCTAAATTCTCCCTGCACAAAGATGATCCCGCTCTCGACAATGCCGATCGTTGTCGAGGACCCGTCGTCAGTCACGAAGCTTACAATTTGATGTTGAGAGACGATGCCACGGAAGACTATTGGAAGCAGCTTGCAGGTATGTAGGGAGGACGTGTTCGGCCCCGAATCGAGACTTTCGCAATCGACGGCGTGGAAGATTGCGATTTTTCCGGCCGATGCCCATTCGGTGATCATGACACGTGCGGGCGGGGAAAAAGTCACGTACTACAGATATCTCGTGCTCGAGTGCGGGTTCCGCGTGTCCAGATGTTCCGCTCCCCGGATACCTGAAGAATACAGCCAGAAGAGGCAGGCGGTTCACAATGCGAGTTCGGAAACCCTCGGGTCTCCAAAGTTTCCTCCGCACAGAACAGGATGCAAACCTTTCAATCGGTGCTGGGTGACTAATTCGTGGTTTACTTCCAGAGGAGAGGCGTCTGGCCCTCGAGAAAGCTCTCGAAGAGAACCAAAGGCTGCACGAGAACATGGAAGTTCTCGAAGCTGAAAACAAGCACCTACAGAAAATCGCGGATCAATGTGCCGAGTTAGCCGATATCGTCAAAACGCTGACAGCCGACGACGAGGACGATGAGGTGGCAGAGGATGATGCTTAGATAGGGGGATGTCGCTCCAATCATTGTACATAAAGATCTCAGGCGAAACACTCGAGAGAATCGAATAGGAAATCATAGCTCTCTCGTCTTGGAAACTAAATGATTTGTTCTGTACGCTCTTAATGGAAATCTTGGCTTTCATTACTCAGAATAGAATTGACCGCTCGAGTGCCAAAGTATCTCTAGAATTGCCGTAGGGAACTACATCCCAAAACACCCTTCCGGATGGGGTGGATATCGGAACACTTCGAGGAATCGCTGCCCGGGAGGACTGTATCTTCCAAAGACAACTCTGTGGACATGGAGGGCGAAACGGGGATGATCTGCATGGGACTCATTGCAAAAACTGTTTTGTGGGGAATATTTCATGATATGGTGTGAGTCAATAAATTCCGAAAGATCCACCAAAACGTTAGGACTACTACCACTCCTTGATCCGGGAAACAATCCGCCGCTTCCTGAATTCCTGATAGAGGATTTCGCTGACCCGATTCAGCTAGCACGTGTAGCTGACACGGTGGAGCACGCGAACAGGTGTTTACGTGACATGGAGCAATCTGACGCGCGGATGCGCGGCAAGGACGCATTTTCTACTCGACTGTTTTCGAAACGGGAGCCTGGCAGCGTCCCAAGGAGTCCGCAACCTGAGTCATTCAGAGGTTCGTATGGACACGACGAAGTTTCATGCGAGGATCCGAAGCCGAGAGCTGCAATCTCTAAGGATAGCATGGTTTGGTTTCGTTCGATAAAACGTTGACGGGAAGGATCTCAGACTTAACGAACAGGCTTTCGAACGTGCCCATAGATCTGAGCATTTCAATATTCACGGTGACTTCGTGATGGATGATCCATCTTCAATCGACACCCGTTCCTAACAAGCCTGGGTGGACACAAGTGAACCGGCTGACGCAACTCAACCGATTCTAACAGGACTGTCGGTGGGCTCTTCGTTGCCTCGAGACTGAACGCTCCCCTCGGAAATTCGTCTCTATGACTGCGTCTGACTTTCCGGACTACGCATATGATCGAGGTCGAGCCCATCACGATGTTCATCGAGCATCCGTCCCTTCAAGCGACCTGCGTATAGTTCGTGAACCCACGAGCTGATCGAATGAGCATCCGAGGATGCCGCTCTCTGCCGGAAAATTCTCATTTTCTCGGATAATCTCAGCAGTAACGACGGTCCTCGGAGTATTACACCTGAGGAGCAGCCCGGCCCTCCCTCCGCGCGCTGGTAACTGGAGATTGGGCTCAGTATTCGAGATATTCAAATACGAGCTATGGAACGATCCACTATCTGAGATTATTCACGGGTACCTCCCTATCTCTTCCATTCATTCCGTATCGGACCATGTTCCTTTCGCTAGACAAGAGAATGGAGCAACATAGTCGAGATTGCTTGCGTGAGCGTCGACCGAGGAATATATGTGTTGACTTCATCGCGCCTGTGCTCTCGAATTTTCTCTACGTCAATGTCTTGACTGAGTGTCACTGATGAAAAACAAAACGGTCGTTATCAATACTAGGATATGGTTCTGCTGGAAAATCACAGCGGAAGGAGGAAGCTGATTATGCGAAAGGATTCCACGATCCGCATGGCTAATGGAAAGACGATCAGCGATTAGCCTCTATGCACCATAAACATGGGGGTCAACGATGCAGGAGAGTTGATCGAATTCTCTCCCTAATTTCAGAAGACGATGGGTGCCATCGAAGGTGCCCCTCCCTGTATCGTTTCATTCGTCCTCTACCGATTCTTTGCTTCTTCTCCGTATCGGAGCTTATCATGTTTACGTGTTCGACTGCACAGTGAGAACATCCTAAACACGATGGGAAAATCTGCGGGAGGTCTCCAGGCTGCTTCCGAAGCATGATGTCGATTTTCTTTCCAATAAGCAAGTCATTCCTCTCTCTCGCTCCGTTTTCCTTTTAAAGGCCAGCGGAGCTCTGCGGAAACCATCAATCTACCTGCTGCTACTGCTGTCGAAAACGAAAGCTGAGAACAAGGAAGAACCATGAGGATTGCTTTAACAGCTCTATGTACGTACCTCGCCTCATGTGCTGGATCACATGCGGCTGAGTCTTCCAGATTTTCGGGCGTCCTCGACTAGATTCTCGTTCCGATTTCAGTAATCATGGCTACCGTAGCCATCGAAGCGAGAGCGTTCAGCGTTATAGCACCCATGGATCTTGATCATTACGAGACCTCAGAAAGTATGAGTCCCGTCCACGAACACCACGAGCGAAAATATGTGGACCTCAGGGGCCATGACAATCACCTCGCACCGTCGGAAAGTACAACCACCGAGAAGCCAAAGGATACCAGGTACTTGGAGCAGATTCGGCTTGCGCCCCCCGGATTCTTCTCGATTTTTTTTCCATTCGAGTTAAGGAAGGGGGACGAACGGCGCCGTTTTGGACTTCAGGAGCTCTTCTAAAAATCATTGACTCCCAAGGTGGCGCGAAATCACCCGACATTTACGGCGATGGATGGAAACTCAGAACCACGAAATTCATCTGGAGCGATTTTGAGACGCCTCACTTGACAAATGTACCTACTTGAAGACCGTATCATTGAAGAGTCTGGTCTGCTTGGAGTTGAACCCTGTTTTGACCGATTCGGGACGACGACAAGGACCCAGCTGCCGGCAGAGACGTATCGACTTGCGAACTCAACCCAGTGAAGATATTTCCTGTCTACATCATTTCTGTCCACAACGACATTCGGGGAACCACCGATTGGACCGATATCTGATGACGGTAGATTCCACCTCAGATTTTGTCTCCAAGCTTTGTAAAAACCGTACACTTCCACGAGTACCCTCCAGAATAAAATGAGCGATAATGTACGAAATTTCTCGTGATTGCATCGAGTCTGATGAGGGAATCCCATCCGAGCCTCACGAGCCTCGAAATTGGACGAGCTACACCCATACTTCTTCCGCAACCACAAGTCAATAGGCACGAGGTAGAACCACGCTCTGACGATCATGAGGAAGGGATCCGAGTCCCGCACAGTCTCGTAAGCTTCAGCTTGTCCAGGTGATCGCAATATAGTCTTCATAGGATGCCATGGGCTGCCAGTATGATTGAAGGTCGTTCACGACCCGGGGATTATTAATTCCGGGATATAGAAGGCTTCGCAAGGAGAGCGATTTCTCCACCGAGCTCACTCGTTATCCTGCAGAGATCACCATCGAAGGCATCTCACACCTTCCGACCCCGTTCATACAGGGAGAATGTACCTATATCGAATCTTTGAGCTCGAGCGTGGGAGCAGAGCGGGCAATAGAACCGCCCGATGCTGCCCCAGAACTAAGCAAGCATCATCAGCATCATTTCCCCTCCTGCATGTGTGTGCGGAGTGCGGACGAGTTTCAACATTTCTGTAACAGGGCGTCCAGGCTCCAGCTGACTGGGCATTGGTTCTGTATTCTATCACGAGCGGACATGAATGGGCCACAGCACTTGATATACCCTCTAACGTGGCGCGAACTGCTTCCGATTGGGAAACACGGAGAGGGAAACGCATACGGGGATACGCGAGCCGCCAGCGTTCGTGTCTGGGTTTCCACGGGTTCATAACATCGAAACACACCGAGTCGTAAATATGAGTGAGTTGCGCTTTTGAAGGAGTGTGGACAAGACGCTCATTTTCGCAAGAAAAAAGTTGACATAGCCCCTGCTGTATTCCTAGCCTCCGTTTTCGAGTGACTTCGCAACTCCCAAGATGCCAGACTATCTCAGCGAAGACATGAGGAAGGAGAAGCCGCAGGGGGAAGATAAAGAAGAGGAAATCCGAGGTTAGTATACGGATCGGGCGACATCACCATCCATGAACGTGATCGCTTCGGAAAGATGTACGGGAGCTATCGAGAGGATTCTTAGATTCTTGGTTGGGGTCGGAACGTTCGGAAGTCGGAGGACTGCGGCGAACGTTCGCAGAAGAGTACTTGATTCTGATCGGCTCTGCTGGTATCCCGATTCGAGGGAACAGTCAGTGTTGCGTGATCGATGAAACAATGAGCTTCAACATTTGTGGAATATTACATGGACAATCGCGGCCGAGAATCGTTTAGGGATCCCAGCTCATCATTTTCATTGTCTCGTCGAATTTTCTGTCTGTCAGGAGCGAGGGGTCTCTCTAACAGTCAGCTGTCATTCCAGTCTTGGACGAGGGCGACATCGCTCTCTTGAAGTCCTACGGAGCCGGGCAGTACACAAAGTCAATAAAACAGGCCGAGGACGACATACAGACGATTCTCAAGAAAGTCAACGAGCTGACCGGAATCAAAGAATCGGACACTGGCCTCGCTCCTCCGGCCCTATGGGATCTAGCAGCAGACAAACAGACGCTGCAAAGCGAGCAGCCTCTCCAGGTAAAATCGAAGCGCGTGAGCTGTACCTTTCCTCTCATACCGGTGATAGCCTTGCCAGCTTTTGATGGATATACTCCCCCAGAGGAAGAAATTTCTCATTCCTGAACAATCTCTGCAGGTCGCCCGTTGTACAAAAATTATCAAGACTCCTTCGGCCACCGGCGGTGAAGGTGACGCTAAGTACATGATCAACGTCAAGCAGTTTGCCAAGTTTGTTGTTGATCTGGCTGAATCGGTGGCGCCCACGGACATTGAAGAGGGTATGCGAGTTGGCGTAGATCGCAATAAGTACCAAATCCATATTCCTCTTCCGCCCAAAATTGACCCAACAGTCACAATGATGCAGGTTGGTAGTCTGTGATCGACATGTTTTCTCATTACTTGAACGCTCGTTCCCCGGCATTCGCAACTTGACTTGAATCTCTACGTGCAGGTCGAGGAGAAGCCCGATGTCACCTATACCGATGTTGGTGGCTGCAAAGAGCAAATAGAAAAACTACGAGAGGTCGTTGAAACACCTCTCTTGCACCCCGAAAGATTCGTCAATCTCGGCATTGAACCGCCCAAAGGCGTTCTACTGTTTGGACCACCTGGTACTGGTAAGTATCTGCGACGTGTGCTTAGCCGGTTGCGGGTCGGATGATTGAGCGCCGTACTCGGCAATGTTTTCAAGTGCAAATAGCTAATGTTTTCGCGCTCCAGGCAAAACCCTGTGTGCCCGAGCTGTCGCTAATCGCACCGATGCGTGCTTCATCCGAGTCATTGGTTCAGAGCTGGTCCAAAAGTACGTCGGAGAAGGCGCTCGTATGGTGCGTGAACTCTTTGAAATGGCCCGTACCAAGAAAGCCTGTCTGATATTCTTCGATGAAATCGATGCAATCGGAGGGGCCCGATTCGACGACGGAGCCGGTGGAGACAATGAGGTGCAAAGGTGGGTCATAACTCATAACCTCTCGGTTCAGCCGATGAGTCTTCGGTCAGCATCGAAAATTCGGTGTCGAGAGGACTCTTTCTATTCATACTCGTTTTTCTCCTATTTCGCAGAACTATGCTGGAGCTAATCAACCAGCTGGACGGATTCGACCCTCGAGGTAATATCAAGGTGTTGATGGCTACTAATAGACCTGACACTCTTGATCCGGCATTGATGAGGCCCGGTCGTCTCGACAGAAAGGTAAGGGGTCATTCCCGAGATATTCAGAGGAGGAATCTCCGCCGATCGTCTGGACGTGGGGGCTATACCTCATCAATATTAGGGATACGATATCGAAAACTTGATGGTTTCTCCGTCATCCAGGTCGAGTTCGGTCTCCCGGACCTGGAGGGTCGGGCTCACATTTTCAAGATCCATGCGCGTTCCATGAGTGTTGAGAGAGACATTCGATTCGAACTGCTAGCGAGATTGTGCCCGAACAGCACTGGTGCCGAGATCCGGTTAGTTTATGCTGAAGATACTACTTACTCATTTCATTTCTGCTCGTATACCAAGGAGCAAAACCAGGATAACTCTCATTCGATTTCAGATCGGTTTGTACGGAAGCCGGTATGTTCGCGATTCGAGCCAGGAGAAAAGTTGCGACAGAGAAAGATTTCCTCGAAGCCATCAACAAGGTGATAAAGTCTTACGCGAAGTTCTCCGCTACGCCGAGGTACATGACCTACAATTAGAAGCATGGATCGTGTAGGGAGAGCTCAACCGGAATAATTCTTAATAAAGATGAAGGTGTCTCGTTCGTCACTCAGCGTCTAAATCGATACCATTGATGTCCATGTCGCGGAAATATCCGGATAATCGGCTCCGTGATCTTCGGTGGAATGCGAACCCTGCGTTCGGATATCTGCCCGGCATTTTCCTCTCTAAACACGCTCCAACCCTCTTCTCTCACTGGGATACGATATGTATTCGCTACTCGGCTCATACCCTTCCATTTCTCACAAGCGGAATCATCCTTTCCGGCTGAGAAGTATGTGTGTAGGCTACCTCGGTGTCGGAGGACCCGAAACACCCCATTTCTGAGCCTTCTTCTGGTCGAACCCATCTTCGATCTTTCAAATACTCGGGATAGGTGCCAGACTTTGAGAATATCCCATTCCCAACCACCGCGAAGCTGACGATCGGATCTCGATCGAGCAGCTCGTACGACAACGATCCCCAGATCGACTCAAGGACCCGCACCGACCCCGAGGGATCAATCACTTGATCGTATAATGATTGAGCGGGGAGATGATCAAGCCCATATGTTTTATTGCTCAATGCTCATTACATCCCCCGACTCTAGACAATCCGTGTAGAGCCTGTTCGGTGTCCATAGATGATTTGGTGAACATCAGTTTATGCCCCACACCATCATATGTACCAAACGACTTGACTCGTGCGTAACGTCTCTATATCACAGAACTTGGTAGGATTCTTGACCTTCCCGAACTATCTCTGGGACTCTACGACGAGAAGTCATGATAAATCTCAGGTACGACTCGAATCGCAGTCTAGTATCTTATCAAGATCAGTACGCGCTATATGAGCGTCGAGGTTTACTGTAGGTGCGCAGCATCAATGAGAAGGCGCTCGAAGTCACGCCCCCGTTGTCTGATTTTCGTATCTTAACCCGATTCGATCCGGAGTAGTCTCACGATTCCTCTAATGCCTGCCGATCTTCTCGGACTGAACTATTTCTGATTCCCCGGACGATGCTAAGACAGTGCGCACAAAGTGTAGTTTCCTCGAAGCTATTCATGAGGCCGTGAATTCTCTCGTCGAATTTCGGTGTGGGAGAGCATCGGCGGCGAACCAGAGCATGATTGGGCTAGGCAAAATGATCCCCACGCAGCAATGATGCGCTCGCCGAGTAGAGGCAGATCATCAGGAGGGATGAGGAACCGAATTTCAAAGATTCATGATCACCTTGTTATCACAGGGGCTGCAACGGATGGGAACCTTCACATGAATCGCAGCGCCACGCTGTAAGGCGTCGGCGGACTAGATGTGGGACATCATGTGATTGTGTAGCTCAACTGCGTCTGAGAATTCAAAAGTACAGTAGTCGCAGGACAGGGGAATGACATCGGGCTTCGGGCGAGGGTTGTTGGGGGTGAATGACGAGCCGGCGCCGTCCTGCCGATGTATCCTCGCAATGTGGCGCTTGAGATTGTCTGAGCGGTTCGTGGAATAGCTGCATTGATGACACGAGTGAAGTACATCGCGACGACGCCCGGATGAGGGTCGTTCGTCGGCGTCGTCGTCCGTCTTCGGGGGCTCTGAAGAAACGAACAACTCAGAAAAAGGCCAAAACTCGACAGAGTTCGACGAGACATCAGAGCTTTCTTCATCCCCTGCCTCCACGAGATCGGGAGATTCATCATCCTCACACGATAAGCGCCCGAGTTCAAAACAGTCTTTATTCGAATGGGAATCGATTCGGACAGGACACCGATGGTGCATACATATGTATGTCAAGGATGGTCCTCGGAGCGCTCTTGTTAGGTTGTGACCGTAGATCTCCTCCGACCTATCAGGAGCGGCTTCTGAAAAGATAAGAATGCTTACTGACGGTACAAATTAAGCAACAATTGGGAATGGTGGATTCTTCCGCGGCTTTCGCATCCCGAAGCTTCCTCTCACGAACGAAGGATTGCCCTCCAAGGCGGAGCCATGAGCTTGCCGTCTTTCCCATCGCAAGAGGTATCGACAGCTTTCATTCTGCTGTTCCAAGAACAGCTAGAGAACGACGACAGGTACTGCTTTCAAACTCTAGTAAAAACAAATCCTCCCGCTAGAGCTGTTCGCGAGCTCCAGCAATATCTCATTCGCCACGATGATCGTCTTTCCGTGAGAGAGGAAGTGGTGTTCCCGCATAATGGTCTGTTTTCGAACATTCAAGTCGAGGTTGTATGGCGACCGAGACCCTCTGTTCCTCCGGGAGAGGCTTGAAGTCTATCGTGGATTTTTGTGCAACATTCAAGATGACGTGGCGCAGGCCTGAACACAATCCAGGGGAGGGTTCCTGCCTTAGGTCTCCTCTGAACCCGGGGGACCGCATTCGGTCTCCTTAGTGAGGGAATGCTCCCTTCCTCCTCGGCTGGATTACCGAGGCTGAAATCCCGAATGCATTCTACAGCCTCGAAAGCGGATCGAAATATTCCGAGTACATGATGTACGGCAGGGGGAGCGGCTTCGAGCAAACCAGGGTGTCGGCAACGCAAGGCGTTCCTTTCGTGTTCTCGCTCTCAGAGGCTCCGCGATAACTCTATCCATTATTCGCCAGAGCGATTTTGTCGGGCTCCGTCGGGTGGACTCTGGTCCCTATCGACCTCTCCATGTAAGACTTGACGAGAGACTCCCTACCGATGAGAGTATGTTGGCACCGACCAATCTCGTCCGCTGGCAGGTATATCCGGCCTCCAACCAGAGACATTCCCTAACGCTCTTGTCAAGCAGGTCTCTTTCGAATCTCCCTCACTTCTAGAATAAGGATGGGTTCACTTCACGACGCTTTCGGGAGGGGTTCGAATTTTTTATTTCTGAAACTCGCCGTCGGTCTGAATATAACCGATTACCGATAACACAGAGTATTTTTTCCCCCTCCCACACGCAGACGATATCCTTAGAGGCATCCTCATGAAGCGCTTGCGGGCGCTCTGTGACAAGCCCAACGCCTGTCTTTTCCCTGCGTACCCTCTCGGCGGTAGCTGGGGACATTCACGAGTACCTGGAGGGAAGAACCGTGGGCGGCTGATGACTCATCATCATCAGACTCGTGGAAATGAATACCCATACGCATCTCGGAGAATTCTTCTGACTGAGAATGGTTCGAAGGGTGTCGGGATCCTTTGCTGCTGAAGCACGTATTCGAAGCACGTTTTCGATGACAGTGATTTGTGCGGAAGAATTGTGACAGATCCGATCCATGGGGCGCCTCATAGGGCTTCTTACTCGGTAGCGACCCTGCTTGCGTCTCGATGGAGTTTCATTCTGGTGCGCGAAGGAAAACTTGCATCTCGAGCCCGCGTTCAAGATTGGCCCAAAACACGATGCGTTCATGGGAGCTGTTTTCCCCATGGAATCCTCCCATCGAACGGAATCGTTCCCCGGACCGTTCTCTCTCCCTGACAGGGAAGTTGAAGAGTATCTCACAAGTTCAAATAGTAAGCATGAGCTTCAGAGTCGCGAGCAAGAAGTCTGTTCACGGAGCTGGCTTAGCCTGGCGAAACACTCGTCGTTCTGAGCCTCCATCCTTCGCAAGAGTCCTGTCATTCGGATCTGGCGTCTTCCTCGATGATTTGTCATTTATCAGGTTGTCTTCCGCGTATGAATCGAGGCCATCTAGAGTGGAATACGTTGGATTTGTCGAGTGAAGATTTCAGTACGCGTAAGATAAAGTATTCATTCCATAACTTTTTGTGAAATGGAAGGAGTATTCTTCGGGGCATCTCCATTCTACAGATAGAGACAGATAACCGAGGACCTGACTTCTCAGCTAGAACCACTACTGGCGCTTCCTTGAAGAGCAGTAGACCGACGTGCGGCACAAAGGAAAACCTCGAAATCCTCATCCCGCGCTGGAGTCGTTGGCTGGGGACAACCGGCCCGGGAGACAACAAGAAGTCCCCTCTCTCTGCAGGCACGCCACGGTATTAGCGGAGTAATTCGTCGCGAATAGAGGGAAAGCGAAGGGTAGCTCAGGTAGGGAAAGTCTAGGAACTACGACGAAGTCTCGTCTCTCATATGACACGCTCTGGTCCAATTCAACTTCCGGGATAATTAGATTCTATCTCTGTAGAGCTAGAGATCAAGCTTGAGTCTCGGGAGAGTTTCGGGACGCGATCACTTGCTGAAAGACGCGTATTGATGAAATGAATCATACATGAGTCCAAATCCCTTTGGTGACGGTTTTCGTGAACATGTGTTTCCTCGAGCTCATGAAAATGGTGAATTGATTCCCAGTGCCCTTGCTGCGTATTCGGGAGCCGCTTCAGTCGGAGCTCCTGGTTTTCTTGCTCTGCCCATGATTCATGACCCGCCCTCGGAAGGAATCGAAAGATACTGCAGGGATGGGTCGAGGTCAATTTTCCGAGACCTCGTCTGACAGGTTTCCCTAAATCAGATCATCGAAGCCAGCAACCAAGCTCCTGCTATCCGAATCACAGACCCAGCTCCGATCGACTTTCTGAGAGCCAAGAAAGGGGTGGACAAAAGTACTCGTCAAAAAGCAATCGACAAGCTATGTTTCAGTGATAAGTGATTACTGATAACAATAATTGAATGAATAGATGCTCGGACTCGAAGAGTCGGCCTCTCATTCGATCAAAACCTCGCTGGACGGAAGGACCTCCATCCTTTGACTTCCGATCGAGAAAGACCCTGACGTGGGAATCCCTCTCGTTCTCCTAAAAGATTTTATTGAAGTCGGCTGGAATTTTTCGAGCTCGAGTGCACTCCCCATGTCACGAAATCACTTTTTCTCCCAGATTGTCCCATTGTCCTCCACGGTAGCCTTCTGCAATCTTATTCATGAGGCTGCCGATACTCTATACGATTCTGTCTCTCCGGGGTGGACACTACGCCCCAGAGGAGTCACAGCTGCTTCGGGGTGCGCTGTAGGAACGCCAAATAGCTCCGTGAGGAGATATGATCCCTGTTAGAAGCTTTCGCACAAGTTTATGCGTTTTCGTCACAAATGATGTAGGGACATATGTATATTTGGAGTAGAACGAGAGGTTCAAATGCGGAACTTGATAGCGAGGTCGAATAAAGCCTATACAGCATTCAAGCAAAAACTATTAATATAGAGCTAATAACGTTGCGTTACCCCCTGAGGAACAGGTGACCGTGATTTCCCTGTCTCTCCCGCGAGCGTCGAACACTATCTTTCTCAATTCTGTCCCTTCTAGTTGGGACTACACTGCGGGTCGATGCTCTTCCCGAATAATGTCGCCAGGTGATTTGGGATACCCTCCACCCTTGAAAACGTCGAGCCCAAATCTATTCCGTCGCGGGCTGGGGCCGATGGATTCCAGCGGAGCGACTGATCGATGCTGAGGGACTCGTGATAGCGTTCGATGTCTCTGATAGTCACTCAGTAGTCATGAATTGGCCTCAATGTTGGCGCTGGACGAATAGGCAACGGCGCCCGACTTCGCTACAACGTCTAGGGAAGATCATTCAAATCATCGCCTCCACTCTCTTAGTCAACAAGTTCAATTTTCGCAGAGTTGTATCCCGTATATGATCTGTTGTACTTTTCCCGCTGACTTGACAAGTTCCAAATTCAGGGCTCCCCTGTCGTACGCGAGTTTGGACAAGAAACGCCGTGAACATTTGAGCGAACGTTCAAGCCGAATTTCAGGTCTGCAGACGACGATCGCCATTGGCGATCACGGAGGAGTGCTGCTGCTGATGTTGTCGTCGGGAGAGCCGAGAAAGTTACGACTGTTCCACTCCTCGCTAAGCTGAAGTGAGGCGAGCCGATTAGGTTGGATTCTCCGCAAGTGAACATTTTGCTGACGTTGTGAGCGGCTATCGAGCACAGTCATGGATAACTTCGGGCCATCGAGCCAAACGCTGACTTTCTTCGACGATGTCGCCGGAGAAATCGCGGCCGATACACAAGGCTCGCAGTTTGATTTCACAGATTTCACCGTGCCAAGTCAGAGTCAGCAATCTCAGCTGGACTCGAAATCACAGGTGAGCTTGACACTGAGCGCCGCCTGAGCTATTTCGTTGAACGCTCCCACAATGCCTTCGATTCCGCCTCGGACGAGAGCGAATCGGTTTCGCTTATATGTGCGAAGGCAGTCGACAGAGATATGACGTTCTTTAGAGGAAGTTCCTTGGCTCTCAAAACAATACGTTCGCTGTTGTTCTGTCGAGCGACCGCAGAGAATCCGCTCAGACATGCTCGCTTGACGCGCTACAGGCGACTCGAGCCGCCAGTCTCACCGAATGATTTGAGTCCCAGGACAATCTTTGACGCCAGAACATCGGGTGCTGATTCCCTTAAACATCACGAAGGGTCGCTCCATCTCATGTTTTCCGACCTGCATCGACTGTTGGCTGTCATCTTGATTGCTATCGAGACGGCTCTCGAAGACAGGGACTCTGGACGGAGCCGCGAGCTTCCACCAATTCGAACCAGAGTGAAACGAGGATACCGTCTAGGTTCTCGATTTCTCGTCGAATCCTCATCTGATCGGAGCAGATAACGACGTGAAGAGCATCGGGAGCCAGAAATGGAGGGGGAGAAGAAAGTTCCTTGTCTATGACTATTATGTCGGGGGTACAGAATCGAAAAAAAAGCAGCGCGGCATACAGGAGATCGGGAGCGATGAGAATCGCGAATTTCCCGGGGACTATCCTCAACTCTCCTAGATTATGGCTCATACATTGAATCCCGCGAGGGAGGAGATTCGTCTCCGTTCTTTCATCATGCGAACGCCCCTCGAATTCGGAACTTCGAACGAAATAACACAATCCTACGGTTGGAGCGCTGAAATTTCGCTGTTCGGGAGCTCCTGAACTTTGACTCATATTACACCGCGGTCTCACTTTACAATTTACATGATGATCGTGATCAAGATGATTATTCTTTGCAGCTACTCGATATCCAGGAGGAAGATTTGGTGAGAACCTGTGGAGCTTTGGCTGAGCTGAACTTCGAAGACGAACAAGAGGATGCAGTCGAGCCTCGAGAATTACCCCAACACGCCTGCAAGTACTGCGGTATCCACGACCCTGGCTGTGTCATGCAGTGCAACATATGCAAGAAGTGGTTCTGCAATGGAAGAGGGAGCACTTCCGGAAGGTGATTGGCATAGATTTACGAGGGAGAGTCTCGTATATTGTATCCGTAAACTTCATCAACATCCACCCGAGGCTGATTTACGAAGGTCTGCATTGCTTCATCTCTTCCACAGTCATATGGTCAACCATTTGGTGAGAGCGAAGCATCGCGAAGTTACGCTCCACCGAGACGGGCCGCTCGGCGAAACAGTGCTCGAATGTTACACGTGTGGATGTCGGAATGTGTTTGTTTTAGGTTTCATTCCAGCCAAAGCGGATTCTGTGGTTGTGCTTCTATGTCGACACCCTTGCGGGACTCAGGGTACCCTGAAGGTTCGTGATCAAAAAATTTCCTCTGTCTCGCTGACGCGCACTGGTCGTTCGGACTTCGGACGGCTCGGAAGTCGAAGAAATTGGGATAAGCACTCGAATCAGTCCTCCCGATGATGACAACGCCGACCGTCATCACTGAAATCTCCCGTTGATTCATTCCAGGACATGAATTGGGATCCAGAACAGTGGAAACCTCTCATTCATGATCGTAGTTTCCTCACATGGCTGGTGAAAGCGCCGTCGGACGATGAACAGCGAAGAGCTCGACAGATAACTGCTCAGCAAATGGGCAAGTTAGAGGAACTCTGGAAAGAGAACGTCGACGCGACCTTCCAGGACCTTGAGAGACCCGGTGTCGATGAGGAGCCTCAACAGGTGAGCGATGATGCTGAAGACTCGGAGTCCAGCGGACTCGACGTCCTTCTGGCCACTGAGAGCTCCTCCCACGAGTTGCCCTCGGCGCCTCTCCGCGCAGTATCGGTCGGGGATGTGGGAAATGGTCTACGATAAGGTTGTTCCCATCAGGTCCTACTCCGGTACGAAGACGGCTACCAGTATCAAAACATCTTCGGACCCCTGGTGAAGATGGAAGCAGATTACGACAAGAAGCTGAAAGAGAGCCAAACTCAGGAAGACATAAGTGTTCGGTGGGACATGGGTCTGAACAAGAAAGCAATCGCGTACTTTGCCATCGCGCGCAGCGATACCGACATGCGTCTGATGCATGGCGACGAGCTCCGACTCCGATATTTGGGTGAGCTGCAATCAGTGAAACTCAGATTCTTGGTCCGAACGAAAGTGCTCTCCCTGAGGAAGCGACTCCGAACTGTCGTACGAATAAGGAGATTTGTTTCTCCCCACAGGCGAATTGCACAAGCCATGGACGGGGGTAGGGCACGTCATCAAGATCCCGGACAATTACTCCGAGGAAGTTGGTATCGAAATGAAAACCAACGCCGGAATACCCTCCGAATGCACCCATAATTTCGTTGTGGACTTCGTGTGGAAATCGACGTCCTTCGATAGAATGCAGGCCGCCCTCCGCAAATTTGCTGTCGACGAGGCATCTGTGTCCGCCTACATCTACCACAGACTCCTCGGTCACGATGTGGAGGACATCGTCCTCCGCTGTCAGTTGCCCAAGCAGTTTTCTGCCCCGAACCTACCTGAGCTCAACAGGTAATCACGAGACTTTTCAATCTATTACCCTAATCGCTGACAGACAGAGACTTCCCCGATACGATCTCGTCATTCCGGGTCGGACACGCTCCGAGCGGTCGATATATCCATTTTCTTCATTGCAGATCGCAAGTTTACGCTGTTCGACACGCGCTCCAGCGGCCCTTGTCCTTGATCCAAGGTCCTCCTGGAACGGGAAAAACTGTGACCTCGGCCACAATCGTCTATCAATTAGCTAAACAGGGTCACGGTCCGGTTCTGGTTTGCGCTCCGTCGAACATCGCTGTCGATCAGCTAACGGAGAAAATTCATCGCACAAGACTCAAAGTAGTCAGACTCTGTGCAAAGAGCAGAGAAGCCATCAACTCCCCCGTCAGCTTCCTGGCACTCCACAACCAGGTCCGCAACATGGAAGTCAACGCCAGCCAGCACATATCGGAGTTGAAAAAGCTACAACAGCTCAAGGACGAAACCGGAGAGCTTTCGTCGGCTGACGAGAAGAGATACCGCATTTTGAAACGCTTGTGTGAACGCGAGCTCCTCGAAGCGGCTGATGTGATATGCTGCACATGTGTGGGAGCCGGGGACCCCCGGATTCTTCGTTTCAAGTTCCACTCGATATTGATCGACGAGTGCATGCAAGCCACCGAGCCCGAGTGCATGGTTCCGGTGGTCCTCGGAGCGAAACAGCTGATTTTAGTGGGCGACCATTGCCAACTCGGTCCAGTGGTGATGTGTAAAGGCGCCGCGCGAGCCGGCCTCTCTCAATCATTGTTCGAACGACTCGTGGTGTTGGGAATCAGACCGCTCCGGCTAGAAGTGCAGTACCGAATGCATCCCTCGCTTTCGGAATTTCCATCTAACTTCTTCTACGAGGGCTCGCTACAGAATGGAGTCTACGCCGAGGAACGTCGGCTCAAAGGCGTCGATTTCCCATTCCCTCAGCCGGATAAGCCAATGTTTTTCTACTGTTGCAACGGGCAAGAGGAAATAGCTGCCAGTGGAACTTCGTATCTGAACCGCACAGAAGCCGCACTAGTAGAGAAAATTGTCACTCGTTTCCTGAAGAGCTCCGTCAAACCCGAGCAGATCGGAGTCATCACACCCTATGAAGGACAGAGGGCCTTCCTTGTACAGTACATGCAATATAGTGGTTCGTTGCACTCGAAGCTCTACCAGGACATCGAGGTAGCGTCCGTGGACGCCTTCCAAGGTCGAGAGAAAGACCTGATCATCATGTCGTGTGTGCGATCCAATGAGCACCAGGGCATAGGTTTCCTGAACGATCCGCGGCGTCTCAATGTCGCTCTCACCCGAGCTCGATACGGCATTATCATTGTGGGCAACCCAAAAGTCCTGTCGAAACAGCCATTGTGGAACCATTTACTCGCGTTCTACAAAAACAACAGCGTCGTTGTCGAGGGTCCTTTGACCAATCTCAGAGAAACGATGTTGCACATAACGCGGCCGAAGAAAATGATGAATTCAGCGAATCCGGGATGTCATTTCATGAACACCGCCATGTTCACCCGAGATTCTTCGCAATCGGGCTCCAATTCGCTCGGTGGGGTGAGTTTCTCCGCTCATTCCGCTGCTTTGTCTCTCTCTCGATCGACGGAACTCTATCGATCACGGATCGCTCTACATCCGACCCAAGTTTGTTTCTTCGATTTTCAGCTCTTGGACCGTACTGGACCGGGGTCCCATTACTCCGCACAACAGGCGCAGTGGAGGGCCGAAAATGTTCTACCCTACGGGAGGGATCCCATGAGTTTCATTTCATCGGAACGCACGGCACCCTCAGCGTTCAACATGTCGACCACGCTGCCCATGTCGATGTTCATGACTCATCTGGGCCAACACGGTCCGGGTCTGCCTCACGGGCCTGCAAGATACTTTTCGATGCCGTCGATGCAGCAGACGGTAAGTGAGACTAAGGGCTACCGGGTCGAGAGGATCGTAGGTTTTCTTCTCCTCTCTTATCGACGGGGATCCGCTGATCGAGATGATTTTCTTCCAGGCCGCGCAGTCTAGAATGAAATCCACTAAAGGCGCTCGGGTCGCGACGAAGAAACCCGTCCGTGTCAATTCGACTCCGAACTCGAACCATATGATGTCCCAGCACGATCAGCTGACGCAGAACTTCGGCCAAGACGCTAGTCTCTTCTCCCAGAACCCACTGACTCAGGGAGGCGACGGCAGCGTTCTCACCCAACCCCAGAACGATGCGTCTCAGATCGGCGATACAGGACGAAGCCAATTCTCGGTCGGCGACAACCTCATGCTTTCACAGGATCCTTACGGCACGAGCGGACTCGACTTCAAGTCCCAAGCGGACTGCGGGCTCCTCTCGCAAGACGGGTGGCCATGCTCGTCGAACGACACGGCCACGCAGTCGCAGTTCTCCCAGCCGTACTGATAGTCGAGGATATCGGCGCCACGGATGCCATCGAGCGACGACTTCGACTGAGAGCTTATTACACTTCAACAACTCCCCCAGCAACGGATCCTGACTGATACCAAGTGGAACGGGGCCGTCGTTCGGCTTCATCCGAAGCTGGTCGAAACGACAGCTCAGAGGCGAAATTTCAAAAACGAAGATGAACTTGGCCAAGCAACAAGTACTTCTACTGGCAGATTTGACGATGTGGAATGGACAGATGAGAATTTACGGGAACGCGAACTCGGATGCCGCCGCTGTCGCGACACACCGCGGCTGCATGTCGGTAGCGCTACCAACTGACGCTAGCCGACGCGACACCGACGAACTGGCGTTTGTTACAACCAGAAGCTCCGCCGTTCAAGATGCGGGAACGAAGTGTTGACAACTCGGCATGCATCGTCTGGGATTCTGAAGATGCGGAACAACGGAGTCGGAAAGAACGAGGATGGGGGGAAGGAGATGGAGCGCTGGAAAAAAACACAAGAGAAAAATTCTGAACTTGGTCAGCCACAGGAGCTGAGGGAGCAAGAGCGAGATGGAATATATATGATTAAGTGAGAAAGATGATCTTAAGTTCGATGGGGCTCAACAACGATCGGAATCAAGTTGCCCAGACATGTTGAGCTTGAGATCGTTCGCTCCGGAGCTCCGATTGGTTATCGGACTCGTCAACGAGAGATTCGTGACGATGTCCGTCGGTCACCAACCAATCCAAACTTGTTTGAATTAGTCCTGCGTTGTCAGTGACGAGCGATCGCCGACATGAGCGAATCCGTGAAATTGTCGGGTGACGGAATTATCGCCTCGAGGCGATCCGCGTCAACGACGACGGGAGCTACCATGAGAAGCTCCTGCAGGGCCTCTCTTGCACTGGTATGCCATGCGGAATATCTGATGGCGACCCATTGTAGCTTATCCTCTCTCTTTCCTTATCAGTCTCATTATCCGGGATTTTCACTGTTTGCAATGTTTAGCTATCTCGACGAACGGAGCTAGGTGTACATAGACGAGAATCGACGCGGAATGTTACCAGATCCCTTCCGATCAGTTTCGGATCAGTTGCATGGATGTAGTGGAGAGACAGGCCCTCAAGGCTCAGCACACGAAGTTACCAAACCGGTTCAATATTTTCGAGAACGGAAGTTGCACAAAAGCGCACGCCACCTGAAAGGCTGAGCTCAAATCCCTTGTCGGCAACAGCGTATCGAGGGCATGGATTCTCTTAGAGATTTGTTTGAGAGTGAGATGGACAGGAAACAAGTGTGTCCTGTGACCACGGAGAACGACTCGGCCCCTGGTCGCTCGTTCCGTCGAGGGATTGTAGATTTTTGTAGTGAATATACCAAGTATAACACGTTGCTATATAAAGCGTTTCATTTCTACTGGAGAAAGCCAGCTGGGGGTAGAACTTCCGCTAGATCCCGACCGTGTTTGTTGGACTCAAGTATAAGGCCGGAGGAATGAGCCCATGTACTTTTGTTTAATTCCGTTGATTGACCACGTGATGATTAGGGGTAATGAGTGCCCGCACGGATCTGTGACGGAGATTCCATACGTGGTGGCCAATCATGAGACTAGCGGGATTGGGAGTCGCAGGCGCGACAAGTGCGAGCTGCTGCGCGGCGCAGTAGGTCCGAGCATGTTTCGCGTCGCGTCCAAGACATGCATCGCAGAAATGAAAGATTCGCCAATCCCAAACTGAGATCCCGGCTTGAACGGTCGTCCAGGCCAAGCGACACCGAAGCTGTATTGTTAAAACTTGGAAGGGAACAAAAACACACATTTTAAAACTCAGGTAGCAAAACCGAAATCATGAGGAAGAGGCTCCAGGGAATTCACTGTAGAAGTTTCGACCTCTTCGCCGAAGCTCCGATCCGCTAGCCATCGATTCACTATCCATTTTCATCATCGTTGAACAGACAAAAATGATCATCAATCGTAATAAATTGAAATAAATGTGAGACAATTGGCTCATCGGAGTTTTCAATGCTTCCGCTCTGCTCTTCCTTCAGATCATCTGTTGCGGGTCCGAAAGACGCGGGGGAAGTCCTGAACGTAGTAAGGCTCCGGGAGTTGAGGGCGCAATGATATAAGGAGAATGCTTCGAAGAGATTTTCCGAATCCTACTCCGAGCTCTCAGCTTCCTTAGCGGTATTCCGTGTACTCAGTCAGAGCCAAAACCAAAAGTTCAAGTCCGAAGCAGATCCTCCCGAAAAATCCGATGGATTCAAATCGGAGAAAATCGCAGAGGTGGCCTCTTGTTCAGCGCTCTTCCCTCGATATCGATCCTCGCACTCTCGAAGAGCATGGGGAAGAGTGGCCCTTCGGACAGGATTCCGTGACAACAATGAGGACTTCTCTTCGAGGCGCGTGGCCCTGTCCGCGTCAAAGCTCCGTTTCCCGGGAATGTGTCAAGATTGCGGTAGACAAACGCTTTCAGTAGTTGTTTAAATTCTCATCGCCTGCTCAGGCCAGGATTTTTTTCTCGCTGACGGCCTCCGAGACGACCTAATTCCAACGGCGGTAGCGGAACCTCGATTTTTCAGAGAAGGCTCCTTCAAGAACCAATGATGTGCGAACATCTCGGTTCCTCGCGGTAAGACCTTCTTCACCCTCAATGAAGCGCCTGAAGGCTCGCTGCCCTCACCTTGGCTTGGCCAATCGCGGAGCTCAGACCGATTCATGAGTCATTAGAAGGGGAAGGAAGCCTGCGCTCGAGCGAGTGTTCGTGTTCTTGAATAAGGAACGTGTTTATCGAACTGAGGTTCGGGCTGACTGATTGTGATTTGTAGCGGCTTTCGATTCCTTGCCACGGCTAGTTCGAGCAGGAGGACAGGGGAACTTCGATGATTCTCGAAACCAATAAAAATGAGCCCGCGATTGCGTCTTCTCTGGAAGGATGGGGAGGTTCACCGAAGAGGATGAGCCGGCAGCGCGAAGTCGAACAAGAAGAAAAAGATCGGGTACACTTTCGGAAATCCTCCCATGACGGAACGGAGCCTGATCAGTGCCCTCTGGCTCAAGGAGCTCGAACGCAATACTTCGCTTTTCTTTGGATGTCGCGCGGTGCCTACGGCCCCGAAGCTGCCACGGGAATCGAAGATCGATTCGAACGCCGACGAGATTGGCGATATCTCATGCTTGATTGCATAGCTGTGAAGTTCTCCAATACTGAGGTTTCCGAGACTCCGTCGCTATTTTGAGGATACACATCGAATCTGTGTGGAAAACATTTTCAGAGTGCTTCTGAAACTCGTCGACTGCCATATGAAGGCACTCGCCTCATTCCCTTTTGTTGGAGAAACGGTGTTCGATTAAGTATTACCGTATGGTTCCGCACTTAACGTACCCCTGTTTGTGCGGAGAAGTCTCCCGTACAACGAGCCTTCCGGGTTACGAAGCTCGCATGGAAATGACTCCGTGAAATGAACCTTTCGTGTGAGGAACCCCCCCCCGTTCAACGGAGCCCTTCGTACGACGAACATTCCGTGTAGCGAAGGCCCTCGTGTTTACGCTAGATTCGTTGTTCTTGGGGGTTCTTTATACGGAAGGTTCGGAAAACGAGGGGCTCCAGAAAGACCAGATTCGCTAACCGCGAGGTTGGTTTTAACAGGACTCCGTTTTACGAGGTGTGCTCTATGTGCAGAACTCCACGGTATCTCAACTTTACTCCATGAATCATTAGACCCACTGATTCCATCGCATTCACGCCGGTACATCATGTGTAGAGCATCAGCAGCTGTGGGGCATGGAGCAGCTGCAAGTTCTGTTCTTATTCTGAAACATGAGAATGTTGCCGGACCCCTAATTCACAGATACTAGCTGACGGCTCAAGGAATAAGAAATTCAGGTATAATTGCCCACGTGCGATGGCAGATTGTCTTGAGATAGGCACAGCTGACGCTTGTCCACCACTGTCTGAAGCTGTTCCGACTCTTCCGAACGCTTCAAAAAGCGACAGGAGGCTCCGAATGCCCTCGGGAAGACCTGGAAAATGCGACGAGATCGGTATTTGGATTCGACAGGAACACTTTCCATTCTGATTCACCCACAGGATGAGGTGGTTCCTGGAGAAAACAATATCCTTCGGTGATGACGATCTCTCAAAATGATTGTCCCAAAACGAGAGACTCCTGACGCGACCCAGGTGGGCAAACACCTATCCTACTTATGCCTCAAGCTTCCTATAGCAGCGGGCTCTTATACCAATAGCTAACGAGCCGACTTTCCGACTGAAGTCCACATTGAAAGCTCTCATCGGCCTCCAGGAATATCTTGAGGGTCGTGTCGTGAGAGGCTACTCCTCACGCAATTCGGACGCTCGCATAGTTCGACACTGACTGGAGCACGATATTCATTGAATGAATATATATGATGACGATTATGCGTCCCGGCTCATGGATCATTATAGTGTTGGAAGTAGCAGCGTGCGAGGGAAGACTGCTGTGATAGCACGAGATGACGGATCGCTGTGAGGACGTCGCGGCTTCGCTGACAGCTGCCATCGGCCTGCATGAGCGCAGCACCCCCTGGTGTACTCCCCTCTGACTAGGCGAATCAGGTCCAGCTCGCGCAAGCTGAGTGCGTGCGCGACAACTCCCGCCTCGTTTCTTCCCTCGCACAGAGGAGACTTATTTCTCCGAGCTGTCTCGGAATGACGTCACTGCCTCGCTCCTCATATACGCTGCTGCTGTTTCGAACACGGCTGACGGGAAACTCTGAGGCAGCAAGCTCCCAAGAGGCATCCGTGAGGTAGAAGGAATGTTCTCCTCGGAGTATAAGAGGCGAGACGTGTCTGCAATTATTTGTGTCGGAGAAAAACGGCCGAATGCGACGTCTGAATCGCAAGCCAAGTCATGATAAACTGCCGACTTCCCGTTTGGAAACGCGAGAATAATCCATTTGGACTCGTCAGCACTGAGGATAGGAAGAAGATTGTCCGATTACGCAAGCGGTTATTATCGAGTCTGAACGCA